ATCTATATGATGCAGAAACAATGGAGGTATTCCAACCATAACTGAGCTATAGAGGCCACCAGGGAGCAACCCCTCCTGGTGCCCCTACCTGCCATCTAACCTGCCTACCCAATTGGGACAGGTGGCGATCAAAAAAGCGCCCTAAAGATAAGAGATTACAGTACATGCCTGATCTGGCCAGGGAGATAAACCTGCAGTGATCAAAAAAGCGCCATAGAGATAAGAGATTAAGGTACCTGCCTGATTAGGCCAATGAGATAAGAAAATGCCTGTTATCTACAGTTGATAACAGCCCTGCAGCCATATCTGCGCTTTCCTGCCTTATTAGGGAGGTAGATTCAAACTCAGACCCCAAATAAGCGAAGAACAGGGCCTGTTAGAGTAGTACCCTAACAACCTAACTATGATGCAACGCATGTTCGGAACGTATCCGGGGTTTGATGCATCAGCGTTACAACAGTAGGTGTCTTGCGCTTGGAGCGCTTCTTCTTCAATGCAGGCTCTGGACGACTGTTCGACGAGGTCGCGGCGGTCCGCGCCTTCAAGCTTTGCAGCTCGCGCGATAGCTCCTCGACGCGGCTGGCCCATGAGAAGGGATCCAAGACGAACGGAGCCGCCTCGCGAGCCTCAGTGGTACGGCTGGCCGGCTTGGGAGACGGCGGAGCTTGTTGGTCAACTGCAGGCTGGGGTTCCTTTCGTGTCCACCAGAACTCCAACATCTGGTGTTGTTCGTCGCTGTTGTAGCCATCCAAGGCATTGCTGCGAAGCGACCGTTCCACGGAATACATTTGTAGCTCACACTGTTGAGCTTCCGGATCGAGCTCATTATCCGGAATGTCGACCGCGCCCCAGTTGCGCGCGTCGGTGGTCTTGCCTTTTTGCAAAGTGTTTGAGGGACCCTCTCCGCGAGAGTCCGAGCTTGTAGAGTCGGCGCGACGTCTCGCATCCCGACTGGATTCCATCCGGCGCGTGATCTGTTTGCGCTCGGCCGGGGTAAGCGACTGCTCCGCGTAAGGCTGCACATAGGTTGATCCATAGGTGATCTGGACCTGTACCTACAGGTATTTGCAGATCACAAGCCTTGATCTAGAACTGGTATTGATCCACATATCAGGTACCTGTGATCTAGTGACCTAGACCTGGTATCTGCAGGTCAACCTACATGTGATCTGTGTTTGTATGTGTCCTATTATATGTAAAAAAATATACTATCCCAGGATATCAACACACCCATGAACATTACAACTGGCTTACCTTTCAGGTGTAGACTAACACACATTCCAAAACTTCAATATACCTTCATGATTCACAAATGGGGCTTGTGCAATGAGTGGAAAGACAATGAAAGACTAGGAAAAAAATGATAAACACATACCACAAACCAAAACCACATGTGCATTCCTGAGATAGACAAGGCTTGTGCCCTGATACAATGCCTTGAAGTCTTCCAAATGGTTGTGCCAACATTGAGAAAATGTAATGTTTTATGTAGATTGTATATAATTCTGGACTTGTTCAAGCCACAACACCTGAGTAATGCTTGAACTGTAGCTGTATATGTGAATTCTACTGCACTACACTACACATGATACATTTTCCCCACCAATCTGCACTGTAGTCAGCTTATATTCCCAATATACAGATCATACAGGTCAGGTGACGTTATTATTTCTATTATCTCTTCCATTAAGTAATGCATATCAGTGATTAGTTCTCCCATGTAGTAAATTCAGCCATTTCATGCACTGATCATCGTCACTGTCATTAGCCTGATTATACTCCCTTAAAACACAAGTGTGCAAAGATTATCAGAGGTAATCATACAATAATTACATGACCTCCTTTCAATTCCGAGATAATCACGCTGGATATCATTGTGTGCAAAGTGATTATCATTACAAGTCCACGATAATTCGAAGCTCATCTCCAGATAATTAACAATAATCATGATGCATCAGATGCAAAGTAATGCCAGTGCTACCCCATACCTAGCAGTGTAAGGGCGTCATCATACGCACTTGCATCTTTGAGGAGATCACGTAGCTCTCCACGCAAGGACTGTATATAGGCCAGGAGATCAGTAACCCTCCAGTATACACCATCATTGATGCACTTACTAGTGTATGATCGAGCTGCTCGCCATCAACACCTTCATGCCTAGTGGTATCATATAAAGCCTTACACTCATCATGCATGCGCATGTACATCGCGGCCTGCTGGTGCGCGTACACTTTGTGTCCAGCTGCACAGCCTTCTCGATCAGCCACACTAACCCATGCCTTACCGAGTGTGTCAAATCCATGTATGGCCCGACGGAACTCGGCACAGAGTATGTTGACCTCTTCGTCGTGCCGGGTCTTCTCTGCTCGTGCGCGCTGCCATTGAGTAAATTCAGCTATGTAGACGATCGAGGTCAGGTTGTGGATCATAGCATACTACCCCAGATATGCAGGCTACTTACCGCAGGTTAGCCACTGGGGCCTACTTGTACTTGTGGCTGGCATCGGGTCTCCTTCTACTGTCCGCTTGCGGCCGCTTTGACGTTTCTTTCCCTTGGGGGGTGTCTCAAATACCGCCCAGATCCAGGATCCCGATCGTCTGCTATCGCCTTCGGTGCGTGGAGTATGGAGGCTGGTGATTGACAAATCACTCTTCTTGTTGATAAGCTGAAGGCGAGACGAGACATCGTCGGCGGCAGATTTCGAATCCAGCAGAAGACGCAGCGTGTTGATGCGTCCAAAATTGTGATTATACCGATCTGCCAGTTGTTGTGTGAGCCGACGCGCGGCCACAATCTCCGTGTTCGCCCGTGTGTGCGCTTTGGTACCGCTCGCGTGAGTCTTCTTGCTGTCAAGGAACACCGCGCCGTGACGAACTGATTGTCGAACTTCTTCGAGGCAGTCAAAGGCAAGTCCGATACGGATCTTCAGCTCATAGGTGGCTAGCAGCCTTAGGTTGTACTGCTTGAGCTCCGCACCGTTGAAGTCGGATGGTAGACCGAGTACGACAGCCTCCTCCCCGTCGTCATCATCGTCATCGTCGTCAGGTGACATCGAACCGTCGCCATCGCCAGTGGAGAGCGAAAGCAAGGGCATGATCTTAGGCTGAAGAGCCCACCACTGCTTGAGCTTGTCACGATACGCGGCGAGGGAAGCGGGTAGGCTGCGTGTGGCATCGTCGGTAAGCTCAGTGCCATCTCGAACCATCTGCTTGCGCATCCGCAGTTTGTATCTACATCCAGCATAATCAGTATGGCTTCAACAGAACAGCTGCGTGATGCTCACCGGTCTGAGTCAAGCTCAATACCAAGTTTGATGAATTGTGCCGCACATTTACGCAGTTCGGACGCCGCTGCATCAGCGTGTTTGTCTTTCCCGCTCTCGTGGATCTCGACCAAGTTCTCGAACGCCTTCTGATGAGTGGGAACTTTATGGTGTGTTAGTGTATAGGAGCTCGGGCGAGTAGGTGGTTACGTACATTGTGAACGGTCAAGTACATAGACGCTGCGCGAAAACATGGCTTCCTTCTGGTGGAAGGTGCTCGGTGTAGGCGCAGAGCTGTTGATCTCCATGTTGGCCCATTCGGTCACATTTTTTGCGGTTGCAAGAGCGGTGAGACTCCCCAGGTATACGGTTGTCCGAATTTGGCCCTCGTAGGCCTCCTTGAGTTTCTTGGACAAATGAGAGCCTGTCGTGGTGTCAGTAACTGCCCCGAGTTAGTGTGGTGTGGCTTACCGATGTTCTCTAACTTTTGCCTGTTCCAGAAGTTGAATAAGTCATTCAACACGTCGTGGTGTGCACCGGCCGTCATCTCGCGTGTCGTAAGACCAGCGAAGTTGAGCTCGGCCCAAGGTGTCTCGACGCCCTCACCGTGGCTCAGGCCAAACCCGGTGGTGTATGAGAGCGCATAGACAATCTGACAGAGTTCCTTGTGGGCATGGCTGTGGAATTTTGGCAGGCAGCACAACAAGTCCTCCACCAATGGCACGAGGTCGGGGAAATGAACACGGAATCGTTCCAAGAGCTTTCGCAGATACATGCAGATGACGTTGTACGTGAATGCACGCTCTTGAAGGTCTTGTGTTCCGCGCAGACCGCCTTGAAGCGCCAGGTCCATGAACAGATACCTATATATATGAACCATCAGTACACGGACCGACATGCAATCAAACTTCGTAAACGTACCGCTCGCCGGTGATGAGATCGACAACTGCCCCAGAACGAAAGAAAACATGACGACATGTTATAGCCACAATGCCGCTGAGCTCAAGGAAGCGGAATTTTCCCAGGCGCTGGGAACGTGTGACCTGGAAGCCACTGCACGTCTCCACCTGTCATGTTGGGCGTAAGTACAACACCTCCGAACGAGCGACGAGATAGAACGTACCACTTTGGTCTCATCATCCTCGTAGGATTTGGCAACGACTGGACGCACAATCTCAGGGGATACAAAGAAGCCGCTTCCGACACCAAGGCTCGTATCGTTAGGGTCGATTTTCTTAGACTTCTTGTTCAAGCTATAGTTACCATCACCGCCCAGCACGATTCGATACAAGTATCTAAAGGCTCCGCAAAGGTCAGCGAACGCATGACTAACAGGGGTCAGAGACGCACCTCAAATGCTCGGGTGTCTCTTTCCAGTCGTCAGGCAAATTGAACCCAGGGGAAGGGCAAGCCACGCAAGGCACGGTCAAGTCACCCTTCGGACGATTAGGGATGTTGATGTCATGGTACACGCCCGCACGTTTGCTCATAGTAAGGTGCGTATAGAGACGAGTTACAACCCGGAACTCTCGATAGCGATCCTGCCGCAGAATGAGGGTGGTTCGCATGAACGAGTCGCTGGTTTGCTTACCTTGACGTTGCTTGGGAAAGCGCTATCTGTCAGACGGGCGAGCGTGCACAAGAAATCGTGAGTGCTGATCTTGGCGGTCAGCCACACGGTATGCCACATTCGCAGAAGGTCGATGGTGAAGCCGCTATGAGGGGAGCTACGCGTGGCGGGGAAGATACGACTGCGGACTAGCTGAGATGTTATAGCCAGACGGTCGGGGCAGTGACAGTAGACAATCTTGCAGTGGTGGAGACCGTTGGTGTGCCCGATGACGAAGTTTGCTGGTGTCAAGTTATCGGAGGCGTCAGGACAACGCGCTCCATGATGGCCAAGGTAAACGACCAGGCCGAGGTCGGCCAGAGCGTGGCGTGTGTGGTACTTTCCATTCCAACGTCGAACCCAGTGATACCATAAGTTCTGGTGGCCCTTGACTATGCAAGTTCGACACTGCGGGAGAGTTTGGTCGCAATCCATGCAGCGATACCGCGCGTCAGAGCCGCAAACACAGGGCTGGGCGATTGGGGCTTCCCAGGCGAGGAGATCGCCAGCGAGGAGATCAAAGTCTTCTCGCCATGCTTCCAATACATCAGAAATGGCCTTCTGCAGAGCGGAAACATCAGGCACATTTTAACGGGAACCAGCGTGTGACGCACCTTGCCCTTGCGCTTACTCGTGTTCTTGACCGGCTCTGTCTCAACATCTTCCCATCCGCTGCCGTCCAGTTTCTGTACTGTAGCACCATTGGCGAGTTGCGCAGGCGACGTCGTTTCCGGTGGGTCTACGGCAAGCTCTTCGTCATGGGGCGATGCTAGTCGCGTACGCTTGGCAGGCTGGGGAGTATCGACGACGGCTGGACGCGTGCTCTTTGTGGCAAACTTTGTGTTCTTGACCTTGCCTCGCACCTTGCGGAACGCAGACTTCGAGGTCGAGGCTGAGTGTGGCATGACGAGAGTGAAGACGAGGACAGGGTGAGGGTTGGAGATGTGGAAGCATACAATGAGCCACAGGTAGGTAGGCAGCACGGTGCTTTGACTACTAATGCCATTGTATCTATCTTTCATTATGCCCCTGAGTGACTCGGTGGAGCAGGTGTCTGGTACTGTCCTATTCTATCGCCGAACTCCCCTAATGAGCAGTCAACACATGGGATGTATCATATTAACTATCTACAGTGGAGAGGCTACATTATTTATTGTAAAAAGAAGCTAGCGTCCGACTCTGACATAGGGAACGCGTGAGGTACAAGCGGAGCACGACCGGAATATTGGAAGAACATATGAACATAGAAGGCGGCGATTTCTTTCTCGAGATCGTTGATGACGCGTGGTTCGCTGGCAGTCGTGAGCGCGGACGCGCCGCGAACGTTGGGCGGGCAGAGCGGCCACTGCATGACTACCCTACGCAGTGCTTTGAGACATTGGACACGTCCCTGAGGAATTGGGTTGGCGAGACCCTGCGGTGTGTCGGGGAGCGTGTTGAGCTGCAGCAGGTCGTAGTTGGAGAAGACGTGCGAGAGAACCTCTTCGCGCTGTTCTTCGGCGTGGGCGTGCGCCGGGCTGGGAACGAGGACACGATCGAGCGCAAGTAACTCGTGGCGGAACCCCAGCTCAAACATCTCCCAGATGACTACGGGCCGGACGATGGCGGGTACTTCAGCGAACCGTAAGGTAAACCAAGGCACCGAATGGGAGGCGTCATTATCGTAGTCGTCGAGATCGAAGACCTTGCCGAAGACCTTGAGGATGCCGTCCAAACGTTTGCTCCGAAGGGTAACCGTGGAGCCCTCCGCATGTCGTGTCTCGACCTCACCGTTCAACACATCGCGCCACCATTGGGTCGGGACTTGAGTAACGCCGCTGCCAGGAACCCTCAGGAGGTACAACCACGCCGGACGGAGACGAATCCAGTTTATGAAGTAACACGAGGTACGTTCCGGAGTCGTGCACCCCAGGAGCAAGGCCGGATCGGGGATCCAGTAACCCCACAACTCTGAGGCGGGTTTAGCCGGTTGTGTACGGTCAGTAGATAGCATGGCTTCGCGCCACGCCGGCAGGCTAGGAGGCATCCATTCGTGAGTGAGGTCTACGAACTTGTCGCGGCCGCGAACTTGGCTAGGATGTACGTTCCCATCTGAAATGTCTGATTATCAGTACATTGCATGCAGACACGTTAAAGTTGTCAAAACTCACAAGGCTTTTTACCCGCTGTCTTCTTGGATGTTCTCTGAGCACCCGTCTGCGCTCCACGACCGGATGAAGAAGCGCTCTGGGTTGAGGCGGGTTGTGCACGGTAGTCGCTGAGGTCGTCTCGGAGGAGGAGCGGTGATTCAGAGATGTCGAAGTAGGAGAAAGCGGACTGTGAGACAGCCGCGAGATGACGGGGACCGCTGAGGCCAGAATAGATCGGCGTAAGACCACTGACGAGCGGTTCGGTAGTGATGTATTCTGTCTCGGGCTCGCGCACAAGCACCATTGCGACCACCGAGATGTTGCTGGTCAAAGTGACCGCCGGCCTCAGAAACCACACGGGAATTCCAGCGTGGTAGAGGTGTTGGACATGAGCGGGATCCGTCGTGAATGCTCCCATGTACTCTTTTGCGACCTGGCGGTACCCCGAGTCGTCGGGTCGCTTCATGATGCCCGCGAAGTCCAAGAAAGCCCTAGCCATCAGCCAAAAGCGCTGGACTTGGCGAATCTGGATGCAGGCGTCGCGCAGCGTGGAAGGGAAATACATTGCACGCTGGAGAGCTTGGTGCATCTCCCGCTGAAGACGCTGCAGCTCGTTGTTGTGCCCGACGTTCTTTGTGTGCTCGCCGATTTCGATCGTAAGTTCTTCGACGAGTAGGCGCAGGGGTCGAAGCTTGTCGGCGGACAGAACTCCTAGACACTTGAAGGCAGAGCCCCCTAGAAGCTGGAAGTCGATACCCGGCAAAGGTGTCCACCACAGAGCTGCCCAAGAAGCTCCCATAGTTTCGTGTCGTCGGACTGCAGTGAGATACTCGTAACCCGGGGTGTAGATCTGAGGCCACTGCAGGGGATCATAGATACTGTATCTAAAGTCCTTACAGAGCCTGACTTGGATAACGCCGACAGGAGGTCGAGGAATGAAATCCATGTTTGGCGACGTTGCAGCGTATTCCGGCGTCATGTCGATGTGGGCCGCCGAGAGCGCGTCCTGTCACTCTAGAATACCTGAAACTAGAATGAGATACTATCACGGCCAATGCGCTTCTAACAGCACGTACTGGGGTGTATAGGCCTTACGCGAGGAGCGAGCGCCATTTCGCCGGGCGACGCAGAGTGGGCTCCCGCAGAGCTCATGCTTGACCGGCACAGAGAATACTGATCGTGACGGCCGGAATGTGGGTTGTATTACGGGTGTACTACATTATCCTATGGTCTCCTACGACGGCAGTGCTTGCAAGTATTGTCCTGGTGTGATTGATAGGCGAATGTCGACGTGTTGAGGCTTTCGACCAAAAGGTGGAAAGCCTTGACTGATCGAGGGGCCTCAAAGGCGTCCTCAAATCAATCGCTAGTATGGGTGCAATAAACGTCAGCAGTCGCAAGCCGTCGCAATGTGCGAAGGCAGGAGTGGGGAGCGTCGGATGCGGGGGTCAGAGACGAGAGTGGAGGAGTAAAGAAGCGTGGTGCTGGGACTTTGTATGCGGGAGAGGCAGACCAGACGCAGCGAAGGTGAGCGAGCGCGGTGTTACAAGCGCTGTGGTTGGATGCGAGAGAGGAAGACGAGTTTTGGATGCGAGAGGGGAAGACGAGAGGTGGGGTGAGCGAGAGCGCGGCAGCGCTGCAGCGCGCGCGCAGGACTGAGTTCGGAGTTGCCTACAACCCTGAGCTCAACGTGCCGGCACCCTGAGGAAGCCTGTACAGAAGTGGTAGTTCGCGCCTTCGTCGGCGCTCCTCCTCGTTACCAAATCCAGCAGCTCCTCGCGCGCCGATGCCGTGCTGCTCTCTCTGCTGTCCGCTTCAAGTCCGTACCTCCAGCTACTCTCATGCGCTTGTCAGTGCTCTGTTTGCTCGCTTTGCAACGGTTCTTCGCTCGTTCTCTCTCTCTGTCATCCACGCCTCTGCCGTGTGCCTGTCGCATCGCGTTCCGCCTTGGTATAATTACACACACTTGCTTATGCGCTGGGAGTCTGACTCGTCTCTATCTGCAGCAGCTAAGGCGACAACTTCCCCGTGCTGAACATTCGTTCGATGGAGCCAATATTGCCGGAAGGAACACCGATGTAGAGTAGGTATTAGGTGGGATAGGGTGGGACAGGATATCGCGTACGGGTGCATCAACTGCCATGGTACGTAGCACCCGCTACATCGAGCTGCTGACCCTTTTTCTGTGCACCCCATCTCCTACGCAAGTCTCGTTCCCCCACGCACGCATACATTTTCTTATAGGTACTACTTTGCATTCATCGCTCTCCCGTTACACCGGACTTTATGTCTCGCGAGGGTACTCGAACGACTCTGAGTCCTCGAGTACCCGGGATTCAATCAGCGACACCACTGCCAGATTCTGGACGATCGGCCCATCCTACTGGTGCCTTTGACTCCCCGGACGGCTCCTCAACAATTGGCACGCCACCCCATGGCGGAATGGTCCCCGCCACACCTCCATTTTTGGGGGGCATTGTTGCCAAACTCCATAAAACTCGCGCTTTGGGGCCTGCGAATGGCTCTCGTCCAACACCATGGTTGACAACCGCGTCTCTATCATTGTCGGGAGGTACTTGCCGCCTCGTGCGAGACTCGCTCGCGCGCTGCGCCTCTGCCCTCTCGGCGCAGCGCATATGCTTCAACCTAGTTATGGTCAAACCACTCGACATACTGTGGGGCAGGTTTTCGAGCTGGTACGTATCCCAGCTGTATAGCGTTTGAAGGAACATACTAACGAGTATGCAGTGCCTTGGCGAGGAACGCTGTCGTTACCACTGTTCTCTCCTGGCCAAGCAGATGTCTCCCCGCGACCGACGGAATTGCTTCGAGGAGCTCGCGAACCTCGCGCCACCTGGCTATAGCGAAGACACCTTCGATCGTTTCTGCGCCGAACAAGCTACAGCACCCAACCCGTCGAATATCGAACCAGGCGCGTGGCGCTTGCTGTTCCCCGCATCACCCTCCCGGCGCCGTGGACGTTCGAGCACGCTCGGACAGATAGCCACTCCGAGGGTCAACGCAGGCACCGGAACTCAGGCCACCCGGTCGGTAGGACGCCCCTCGCTCCGGCGACGGTCAGTGAGCGTGTTCGTTTATCTCCGAGTAAGTTTGTTGCACTTTTATCTCGACGCGATGCTCAAGAATTTACAGGATCACTGTCAACCGTTAATGGTGATCGTCGAGGGCCTATACAATGAAGGCGTAACCACCTTTCGACTCGCTCAAGACAAGATCAAGAATGCTCTCGCCGCTGACCCCGATGGCGGTGATCGGGTGCGTCTGGAGATGTGGGTTCGAGCGCAACGCACCTGGGTGCAGTCTGCTCGGAATGACACACAGTATCTCCTTCCCGGAGAGGGCCGCGTCTATCGCAAGCGCGGTGTCAGCGCCATGCCAAACTTCGAGGGATACGCTAGCGTATGTTTACCCCTTTGTGAATGTGCCATCCCCTGGCTGCCAGGGGATGCTGGCCCTCCTCTGTTGTTGCGCGAAGATGCACCATCCACTTCCCATGCAACGTCCTTGCACGTGTCCCCCGCGACGTCCTCGCACGCCATCCCCGCGACATCCTCACACGCCATCCCCGCGACGTCCTTGCACGCCATCCCCGCAACGTCCTCGCACGCCATCCCCACGACGTCCTCGCACACGTCCTCCCTGGCCAAACGTACAGGCACCGTTTCGGCTGAACACTCTGTGAAGAGACGTCGTGTCGAAGACATAGCTGTCCCTCACGCTGGCAGGAAGGGCAAGCAAGTGGCGCGTTCGCTGTCGTCCATGGACATCATCGAGCTGACAGACAGTGAAGACGACGAAGCTTGGCCAAGCAGCCCTAGTGTACAGCACGATATCATTGTAATTTCTGATTCAGAGTAGCAGGCTCAGTTGGGAGCTACGTACGGTTTAGTTCATCGGTTCAGCGGTCCATAGCATAGAATTGAGTATCAATTCGCACTCGATACATCGCAGACACTCATTGGACTCCCTCGATTGACACGTCAGGCTTATTCCTCTCGTCCACGTCTCGGTCGCGCCGTGTCGTGTCACGCTTGATCACGCTGCAAGTGGTGAAAGATGACGTCACGCGTCGTGTAGTCGCGACGCGCTCTGTCACAAGACGCGTCGCATCGCACTGGCGCGTCGGTGGTGTGGTGTCGTGTCACCCCCTGCGTACGGAATGCCGCCGGTGTCCTGCGCCATGGCGGTCGGTGCCTGGCGTAAAGGTGCCGTATTGCTGTCGCTATGCCTGGCACGTCAATAGCGGAGAGTCGTGTCTCGCATTGGCGTAGCTGTGGCCGGTGGCACAATGGCTACGTGGAGTAGGCAACCGAAATGGAGATGTTGTATTGTGCTAGATCCGCGGCATTCTGCCCGTAGCCAGCCACATCCTCGCCTCACGCAATAGCCGCGTTGGACCTTGCGCAACTACAACAAACTCCTCACGCCTACCCTGCCAACAAGCTCTCTTCGCCCCCTTCGCATCCTCAACGCCACTATAACACTGCTCATCCCGTCTCTTGCACCCGGACTATGGCCAAGAAATTGCCATCATCGAGGTCTTCCTCCCCGTCGCCACCTGCCGTGAAGAGACCAAAGAACCCTCGTCGAATTGTCGAGTCGGACGCGGAGGACAGCCAAGAAGAGACAGCCGTCATGCCGAAGCCTCCTCCACGCCGGAAGGCCAAGACAGATATCATTGTTGAGATCTCAACGGACGACGACAACTCAGATGATGCACAGCAGCGCGAAGAGTCCGTTCCGCCTAAGCCGGGTATGCCCAAGCCGAGGAAGCCCCGCGGCAAGGGCAAGCCCAAAGTCACTGAGCCGTTGACTGAGGACGAGGCCCCGTCCGTCAAGGGCAAGAAGACTTGGGCCAGGCGCATCGAGTGGAAGACCCACTTCGTACCCGCTCAGGCATACCTAGCCTCTCGGTTCCGAGAGTGGAACATCGCCACCAAGAACAGCGCCGCAGCCGTCGTCATAGACGCTGCACAGTACATTGTCAAGCACTGGGACTTCACCGGTTACCCTGCAGAGGATGTTAGGAAGGTGGGTAGTCGTCTTACTTTGCTGAACCCGCGCTGATGGTGTCTACAGGCTGTCAGGAACTGGTTCCGCAACCACAAGAAGCAGTTCGACGAAGCCGGAGAGCCGATAGCCACCACTCGAAAGTCTAAGAAGACTCATCCGTTGTTGGCACGAATGAAAGGTCGAGGACCAGCAGCGTCCACTCTGTGGGCGCGGGCTCATCCAGATCGTGTGGACGAGGAACTCGGAGAAGGCGACAACATCGGTGATCAACAGAAGGTCGTGGCTAGGCTGTTCAACAACCTTCCTGCAGAAGAGAAGGAGTATTGGAGGCGCAAGGTACTGGAGGCGAAGGAGGAGCGGGCTGGCAATCCAGACCAGTGCTTCATGTGAGCTATACCACGCACTTCTTATGCATCGCTGACCTCTTGCAGCAACCAAATTGATATCGCCGACGTCCTCGCTGATGTCATGCAAGAACTGAACGGATACGGCTGTGAGCAGATTGGCGCTGCGGTGTTCCATCTCCAGTTTGCCGTCCGTGACATTGAAGGCAAGATTGAGTCCAAGGAGTGAGTGCAATATGCCTCTCTGTCTCAGCGACGTGGTTGACATACATTCTGAACACAGGTTCACGTGTGGGCACATGGTCGATGAACAACCCTTCATGGAGTTTGAAGGGGGTACGCCGCAGAGCGAGTCAGACCGATGGGCACGCTTCATCGGCCTCTCCCTACGTAAGTACTTATCGACCCCTGCAGGTATCGTTGCTGACTTGTCGCTTGCGCCAGCTCCAAACCCTCAGCGGCGCAATGTTCGGTTGAAGTATGACACAACTGGACACCCTCTCCTGCCGCAATGGAATGACGACTGGAACAAGACGCAATCTGCCGACGTGTTCAAGGTCTTCCTGGATGCTACATGGAGTATGTTGGCTTCATCATTGCCACGGACTCAATCTAATGTGCTATGCAGGTTACATACATGTGGAGAAGCCACCGCAACCGCTCGACCTCGCCACCGTGAACAAAGAGCGGACGCACTACCTCCCCACACTCTGGCAGGATATTTGCTTGGAAACTCCGACTGAGCTGAAGATGGCCGTGCTTGTCAGCCTATACGAGCGCATCTACAATGCACAAGACGGAGAACATTCGTTTACTTTCCTACCTGGCGATGACACCACCTTGAAGACAACGATGTGTGACCTCCCTCGCACTCCCGCGAAGGCCCGACGTGTCACTACCTTCATCTCTCCCGCTCGTCTAAGTCACACCGTCACACCAGTCAAAAGCACCCGAAGCGTCAGCGCAAATCTGGAAGGGCTCCCCAGCCGCCTTCTGCTGCCAACAATCCTGGAGGCCAACATCGAAACCGAGCATGCGAACATCGAGTCGGACGATTCGGTGGAGACGGTGAGCATGCGTGTGGCTGCGGAAGACCATACCGCCCCCTCCCCTCAGCCGTCCGACTGTGCGAGCGTATCCGCGGCCGCCGAGGGCAAGCAGGGCGGGAACACCACCGTGTCTGCAGATGAAGAGGACATGACTTCCGTGTCTACGGCTGTGTCCATTGGGCAGAATGCGGGCGCGTCTGTAGACGTGGCGGGTGCAGAGAGCCAAGAAGATGACGAGGACAGCATGTCTATGGCACCAGTCGATGAAGACGACGATGGCAAGAGCGCGTCTGCGGACCCGGAGGTTGAGGAGGAGCCGTCGAAGGCTGCGCGCACGCCTACAGTGAAGCGCAAGTCCAGCTCACAGGGTACTCGGGGAACCACCACGAAGCGGGCACGCATCTCTGGCACCACCGATAAGAAGAAGGCTGCAAGGTAAGATGAATTATGTGTCCATATCCAATGACCTGGCAGCTAACAGCATACCCAGGCTGCGTCCTCAGTCGACACGCGAGACAGCGGTCCCCTCCCGGACCACTCGGGCACAGTCTGCCAGTAAGCGGCCGGTGACGCGAACCCAAGCTCGCAAGAAGGCGACTTGACTTAATGCAACCGTGCTAATATATGTATCATCTTTGTATAATTGCTTGTTGTACCTTGAATCATCATGAACATTATCTACATTTAAGTACTGGTGATTAGCTCATGTGCCTGCGATAATCATCTGGTACACACACTTGATTATCACTGGATTAAGTGTATTTGAATCATAATTATCACACTGACTACAGCAATTAACTCTATGCCCAGCCTCAATGAGTGCCAGATGATCAAGTCTTGATGGGTAAGTTCATCATGAATTTGCACTAACTAGTGTAAGAAGATAATCACTTAAAAGAAATACTTGTGGGCGCGTCGGCGCCTAATTCCTGTTCGCCTTCTGAAGGGCGTACGGCGTCGATCTCGACAACGACCAGTACTACTGGCACGAAACTTTCCAGGGACGTGTATCAATGTGTATAGAACTCGAATATTGCTTTATAATCTCAATAAACGATGTACATGCATCAAAATTGCTGTCTCGATGTCCGGCACGCAGCCACAGTTTGCGAAACGTGAGTTTGGTTTTGTTTGGCCGGATTGTCTTCACCAGGTAATGCTCGCTACGCTCGCAATCATAGAAAATCCGTGTAAAGTAGTGTTTTATTGGTGTTTATTCCTTTGCACCAATTACGGTCAATTCCTCAGAAAAAAAAGGTACCCTTGTAATTGAGCACTTTACCGGGCATTACGGTACTTTATGCGATCTGAACGGCCTGCAATACACCAGTACATTCCCGCAGATTCCGCCGTTTTCGCACCATAACCTCGACTTTACAATGAATGACATTACTTCACGTAGGACAGGTATGATACTATGGTGGAGAGGTGACCAGTAAACGAGCGAGAGGGATGGATAGCCGTAACGTAGGCAGCAACATCAAAGGCTAGTATGTATGGAAAGATTAAGCACTGGGGATTTGGAAGGGCCAGGTACGGTGGAGCATATGAGCGAGACCAGACAATATGTAACAGGTAACCAAGTGACGCGAAGGCATAACAGCGATCTATATGAGGCTGTCCACCGCAGTGTCGCCGGTCGGTATACATTGCATGCAGAATGCGTACCATTGAAGTCGCGACTCATCGCGTGCGTCGCATTGCTAGTCGGCGATGTTCTCCCAATCGACGTTGGCGAGAATGTCGTTCTGCGCCGCGTGACCGTGGAGAGTAATGGCATGGCCCCCACTGCGTGAAATCAAGGGGCATGAGCGCGGTTGCGAGAAGATGAGTGAGCCGTATACGTACGTTGCCGTCATGCAGATGCCATGCATAAGGGCGTGATACCTGAGCGGTTTCGTGATGTGCATGTTGACGAGGATGATCATGTACGCTTTGTATGCGTTCCTGAGGGTTGAACCTGCGAACTCGGTGGTCCTGGACTTCGTCAGCTGCGGATGAACTTGGTCGACGAGGACTGAATTAATCTGCATGGATCGATTTAGTGTGCTCATACTACAAGTTAACGAGCCAGCTAGAGTGTTACTTACAGCTGCAGCAGCCATGGCAAGCATGTGGTCAGGTATCTCGAGCTCGTGCGGTGCAGTCGGAAGCGACAACGTGAGCATCCCGATGTTCTGAGAGCCGACCCTGCAAGGATGCGTGTTCCCAAAGAAGGCGGACTTGACAACGTCGGCGAGTCCCAGTCCTGCAAACGGTTGAGTATACTGGTAGTCGCCCTGTAGATCAGAATGAGTAATATGGACGCCGCATCGGAAGAGGCCTTACACTCGGCAGCTTCGGGTACAAGAAGTTGCTACTCTCGAGCAGATTGCTCACTGCGTCGCGGGAGAGCTTAGCCAGCTGTGCTGCAGGTGGATAGGCACTGGCGGCAGCCTTCTTGATATCTCCACGGTATGTCCGCAAGCGATGTGCAGTCTAATCAGAGGTGTGAGCCATAGCGGTAATAGTTAGCTGCAGATACGTAGACTCAGACTTATGTAGCTTCGGAGGGGGCCAATGTACTCCCGTTCGGACCCAGTCTCGAGGTGGTCGGCTATGTCGTATTGACCATCGAACCCCAAGGTCTCCGCCGCAGTGATGAGGGCATCAAGCGATATCCTCTCGATACCTTGCATTTCAAATGGTGTGACGAAGGACTCAGACTGTAGCACCGCAATGTCGGGATAGACAGTCCCATCGCCGAATGCAAGGAGAATCATGCCCCTGTCAAAGCTGGCACGGAGGACCTCCTGGACTTCGTCAGGACACTTCTTGATATTGATACCAAACCTGTTCTCTGACTTGCGCTTGAGGGCTCTGGTTATATCAGTGTGCAGTAGCCATGCGACCGCCGGCTCGTCGTCATCGGAGTTGGCGCCTTCTTCGGACTGTTCAGAGACGCGGATATATCCAGACGGCTTCGCTATGAGCGGCTTTCCAGCCGATATTGTTGGCATCTGGGCAGGGATCAATTGTATGGGTGGAAGAGATAGTGGGGAATGAATCTTACTTCTTCTTCGAGCTTGCGCTCTCGCTGAGTCTTCTTACTGGTCGCAGCGCGCACCAGTCCTGGAGATACCGGTGCACTAGACGAGGATGATGGTGTTTGCGGGGTTCTCTTGTCCTGAAACGATGCGCGCTGATGACTTGTGACGTCTCGGGACGCAGGACTCAGGTTTGTACTGGCAGAAGGGACTCGAGTGAAGATGACAGCCTGGTATGTACGATCAGACAACACTACAGTACATGTGACATGTGTGTATACTCACCTCACCACCTATATTGAGATCGCCCTCATCGTGCAGCTCCGGTGTGTCATTGTCATCCTCGTTTTCGGAGTCCCCAGACGCCGGCGTATCAGGATTGATATCCTCGCCGTCTTCATTGACGTGCTCCTCACGGTCATATTCAGCATCTTGCTGCCTTGGTGGTGGACCTGTCTTGATGTAAGGGATATACCCAGACCATACAAGTGATATGACATACCTGTGAGCTGCGATTGGCGACCATTGGCCCCCAACCGATTCCCTCCCTCGGGCTCTGGAGTATCAGGCTTGTCGACATCAATCTTGGGGAGAGCACCTTTGCGCTTGACTGCTAAAGACGTTGTCAGCCAGGTAAGAGGTGAAGCAATCATTTAGAAACCTTTCGGAGGTAAGGAGGACGGCGTAGGTGTTCCGACGCCAGTGACAATCTTCCTGGCCAACGGCGGGTTCTGCGACGTCTCCGTTGTATCCGTGGTGAGCTTGGTCTTCACCTTCTTCGTGGATGGCCTCTGCGCCGACCTTGTAGAGTCATCTATTCAATCACGCACAGATGGAGGTGAGAGTGCAGAGTTAGTCTAGCATGAGACGCTGGCTTTTGGAGGAGGTCGAGCTCTCGGCTGTTTCCGTAGCATGTGACTATCTAGCGCCCGTGTAAACGCGTCGACGACGTGTCGCGTCCTAGATTACTGCGACTCCCTCGTTCATGTCTATCTCGCGTGAACGCCCTGCGCCTGCTACACGCTTTCTCTTCTGCTCTAATGAAGGCCGCGCTATTGTATCTGACACGGTCGAATCTGCGCTGCATTACTGCCCTCACGACTATCAGCTCGACGGCATTTGCAAGTCCTTGGATGGAATTGACTTGGTTGCGATCTTGGCTACTGGGGCCGGCAAGACAGCATACTTCACCATGTACATGCTTCTCCTCCGAGCACTCAGCAAGGCCTGTGGACAGCTGAAATGCGACGGTGTCGCTGTCCCGGACCAATCGGCGATGGTCATAGTGTATCCTACTATTGGGCTAGAGACGGAAATGGTACGCCAGCAACGGTCTTGCCCTCTCACTAATGTTTACCAAAAGTATTTAGGCCAAGACCTTCCGAGCTGCAGGCCTGTCTACCCATGTCATCAATCACGAGACAGCGGGTAATGCACGGTTGGAAGGAAGAGACATATGGGAAGATGTAGTAGACGATACCGCCATGATTCTGCTCTCGCCAGAGATGCTATCGAGCGACGTATTTGAAACTCTTCTCCAGAAGAAGGACTTTTCTTCACGCCTGTGTGCCCTGGGCGTCGATGAGGTTCACTTGTGCAACTCCTGGGGAGAGGCATTCCGCCCTTGTTTCCGACACATTGGACTTACCCGGTGTCGTATGCCTTCTCGGACAAGCCTCATCCTTCTTACTGCAACCCTTGCCAAAGGAACCCCGACCACCAACATCATCAGCTCCTTTGGGCTTTGTGCGGGCAACTTCCACCTGATCCGTCGGTCAAATCGACGGCCAGATATCCAAATACTCTTCCGGATGCTCACACGGGGCGTAGGGGGGCCCGCCTTTCCGGACTTCTCGTGGGTTCTCACGAGCGGCCGCAAGACTATCATCTTCTGCCCCACGGTCGCCCACGGCCAGCGCCTCGCCCTCTTCCTCCGTTCACGGCTCCCTTCCCCCGTCGACCCTTACCAGTTCATCCGCACCTACAGCTCTCTGAAGTGGAGTGATTTCAATGAGACGACACTGTGCCACTTCCATGAGGACGGCGGCACCATGATCCTCATTGCGACGGACACACTTATGGTGGGCGTCGACCTACCAAACGTTGACGACGTCATCCTGGCCATCGCTCCGGACACAGTCGACGAGATGCTTCAAAAGATTGGGCGCACTGGACGGGATGCAGCGCGTGTGAGCCATGCGCGCGGCATCGTGTATGTGTCAAAAAGCACCGTGGACGCGGCACGGAAGCAAGTCGGCGCAGAAGTAACGAAGACACGGAAAACACCGGCATCCTCAATCGGCGTGGCAGCAGCCTGCTCGAAGAGGTTGGTCAAGCTCCTCAATCCGGCGATGGCCCGCATGATAGTGGCCGACTGCAAGACGGCCGCTCAAGATGCCATCTACGAGAACCCTGCAGTTGATGAACCTTGTTCCTGCACGAAGTGCCGAGCCCGCCCTCCTCCGCCCCTCATATGCCGCTGCAGTGGATGTGAGCCAGAGGACAACAATCACCCTGACGCAATGAACATGGATCCTCCTGTGCCCGCTCCACCCTTCCTCAGCCGCCTCCCAAACCCCATCCTGAACGTCTCACCAAGTCTATGACCCAGTGCGGCCTCTCCCACTTCCATACTTTCCGCCGGTCTCTTCGCGACAATGCGCCGTTCACTGAAGACCTTCCGGCTTATGCATACATGCCTGATCCTGTCATCCTGGCGATCCTCGGTCACTATGCTGACATCAGTTGCGCTGACGACCTACGCCCGTTTGTGGAGCAGGAGAGCTATCTGCGGGACCACATAGCTTCACTTTGGACTTCCTTTGGTGAGTTTCAGCAGCTCGTCAAGGAGATGCGGGAGGAGGCACGCGAAAAGCGCAACAAGAAAGCACGTGAGAAGTGTCTTGCACTCAAGGAAGCCACTGTCGTTGTCGATTCCACTGGGGCAGCAGAGAGGAGTGTTTTTGACAGCGATCTGGAGAGCGACTCCTCTTCGCTAGAGGACGCATGGGCGGCTCCTACGTCAAGTACGCATCCCCGTCTAGTTCACTTCAACACCCACGTCGAAAGTGTCCACATGGATGGGCTCGAACCGCCGCACGGCAAGGCAAGCGGCACCGCTCGTGTTCAGCCTGAGGCCGAACACCCACGACTTGTCATCAGACTTCCTGCGCCAAAGCCTCACAGCCCAGCGCTGCCGCTGCCGCCGCCACCGCATGGACAGATCAGGTACGTTGACAACACCTTTTTCCAGAATGCATTCACTTATATTGACCTTCTTGTAGTTGCATGTCGACGACTAATGAAGCTAGAGAGGGCACGTCATCGTCCAAGCGCAAGGCTGCAAAACCAGTATTGGCGGAGAGCGGTCACGATGAACATGGCAACGTATCAAGGCAACTGAAGCGACGTCGTATGGATGTACGTATTCTTCTTCGGACATGCATCTCTTTGATATCTGAGCTATCATACAGGATAAAGAAAATGTACCCGTGCGTTAACGGTGTGTTATAGGTCAAAGAACTCCCCAAGTTCCAGTGCGTCTGCGTCTGTCTCCTCTGCCCTGTTACTAGCTAACACATCTGACAATGTCCAGTCCCCGTAGTCGACAACGAGCTCGCCGTCAGAGTATACCACTATCCCTTCTGTCCGCATCGACGATTCCCCATCATCAGCATGCACCTCGGATGGGTCAGCCTCAGCGCCATCATCGCTACCTTCCGGACCACCTTTGCCAGCACCATCTGCATCCCCGGCCTCTTTGGTGTCTGCGCCTGTAATGCCCGATCGTTGTTCATTGTAATGCATACGGCGTGCACGGGACTCCGCCTTCCACTTCTCCAGCCTCCCTTCCCGCAACCCAGCAAGACCTTGAGCGAACAGGTTGACATCGCGCAGCGACGGGTCCGAGTCAGACGAGCCACTGGCCGCATAGTGTTGTCCCTTACGGAAGCGGTGTAAGTCTTCCTCCTTGAATGCTTCGAGGAGTTTTATGACCTCGGGTCGACAGTGCGGAGAGGTATGTGCGCTCCGCCGCTTGGCAAGGCCGAGACCCTCCCGGTACGTGTTCTTGCGTGTTACGAAGTGCGAGACATTTGGCGCGACCACCGTCCGGATGTATGCATCATCCCATTCGGCGTCCTTGTGTTCCAGCATCGTCTCCAAGATGAGGTTGATATGTTCGAGGTGAATGTCGCCTTCGACCCATCTGCCCGACTCGCCTGATGGATTGATGAGCCAGTTCTTCAGGAACATTTCCTTCAGGGCGGGGCTTGACTCGAGCTCGAGATTCACGATCATCTCCAGGGTGTACCCAGTATATTTTGTATGTGATGAGCCGGCAAAGGAGAAGCTCATGCGCTACAGATATTTAGGTGTCAATGTCTTCAAGTCCAGGAATGATCTTGACAGACTAACCTTCACAGCTTCATATACACGGCCAGGATCACCCACTGCGACCGCCTGCGCAAGCTCCCGTGAGAGGATTGATTCGTGCATGAGCATGATGGAGTCGCTAAGGGATTGATCGCCTGCGAATGGCTCCGAAGGTGCGACTGTCGCTTTTTCTTTCCCGCTTTTTGACTGCTTACCCTTCGCTGTCCCAGATGTCTTCAGCACAGTGGCACTGCTGGACTGCTGCACAGATGGCTGCCAAGTTTTGCCATCCGGGATTGCGAACTTGCCGTCCTTCGCAATCACACCCTCACGGGCAGACTCGTAGGCACGCTGGGAGGCGTAACGGTGGTAGAGTGTTGTCGCCATTTCGAGAAGCTCAGCAAGAGTGGGAACTTGTTTATTGGCATGTTCACTCTTGAAGTAGTCGAACAGGTCCTCCGCACCGAAGAACACTCTGAGTGTAAACCGATGTAAGTTCATATTCCGACATGTGCATGATATAGTACAGGTACTACATACCTCCAGCAGTCGAGCATGCGTGTGTCTAGATCCAGCCATGTCCGCCAAGCGGTCGGGTAGTAGTCCCACTTCTTCAAGTTTGAGGGCGCTTTTTGACCAATCTTCCCTGCAGTGTACCCCAGCTTGGATGGATCAGCCGTCAGGTACGACCCCCAGTGGACCTCGTTAAGCATGCTGAGATGTGTCATTCCAGTGTGCCATGTCTTGAGGAAGGGCTCCACAAGCTCGAAGCGGCGGAAATCGTCCTCTTGATCCGCCATGTACCCTTTGATTTGAAGCAGGTGTTCGTAGGTAAGGCCGTCCCCTCCTATCAGGACCAGACGACGATCGTAGTCCTTATCCTTCTGCCCAATCTGACCCAAGAAATCCAGGAGTGCATCACGGAACTCGGTGGTGATGTTCTCGTTTTTACCGACTGTCGGCATAGGGTAGATGTCGGTTTTGTGACGAGGGAGAGGGATCTTTCCGGCGTGCGTGCGAAACAGGGTTGCAAGCTCGGTCTTCATGTCCTCGAGCTCAGGGACGTAGGTGACAAGTGCCTGTAGCCAGTGAAGAGCACTGACACGAGAGGTATGTCCGAAGTCGATCCAAGACAGAAGCTGATTCACAGTGAGATCCTTCCGCTTGTCTTCGCGTATACGACGGAGCTTATCGTCCACATCGAAGGCTTGCGGTGTGAAGTCGAGGACTTCGCTTGCCATTGCCGACATCCCAACCTTCATCGCACTCTCGCGCCCGATGCGCGCCTCGCGACGCTTCAGATACTGCTGAACATTGTCGGTGCGTAGGATCAAGGATCTGGTCAGGTCCCTTCCAACGGTACGTAGCAGATCTCCGTCAAGGACCTATATCAAACATAGTATCAACTGGAGCCTGAGCGAGTTCCTCTATGAGCTCTTCCTAGCGCAGGGTGAGGACGGCAACAAGATCCATGTACCACAGCCTGTCCTGTTGAACTTCTGTGTCTACGGCTGTGCCGGACCGGGAGTGGCAGTGATAGTGGCTGTGCGTCTACCATACGCCAGCATGGACTTTCCTACTTACCATATACGTACATTCTTTTGTTCTGTACTTACTTGGCATCCTGCCATCCCTCCATATGATTCTGGTACGTTCTACGATGTTCCGGACTATTCTAGACAGTGTCCGGATTACTCGCATTACTCAGTCATGGACTATCTGACCCTATGTCGATTATGCTCCCTTACTCAGCATTACTCATCGCTCAGTCAGCGTCCTCTGGACGTCACATGCCCTCTTCCTATACGCTTACTCATTGTCCTCCCCAGTAGTATATAAGGAGGACTCTGCAGGCCTCTGCTCTTCAGTCGTTCTCTCACAGACTGAAGAGTAAGTCCCATACTACCTATGCTTTCTTACATGTTTACTTACTAGTACTTGTAGCCTCTCTTTGTGTGGCTTACAGGTACAGTACTATGCAATCAAGTCGTTCTCTCACAGACTGAAGACCTCTCTTTGTGTGGCTTACAGCCTTCCAGGTTCAGAGTTCATTATGTCCTGCAGCAGCCGCTGTCGTAACTCTGATGCACCACACGCCGTACGCGCCCAGGCACCCCTTATGCACCAACAGCCATAGGTTAGCGAACAACCTGACATAAGCGTCGGAGTTTGTATTCGCCCTCCAAATGCAGTAACTGGCCCCGGGAAAGGCTGCAGGGCCTGTTATCTCAATAGATAACAGGCACTTTCTTATCTCTTTGGCCACATTAGGCAGGCACTTACTGATCTAATCTGCAGGGCGCTTTTTTCGATTACACCTCGCCCAAATCAGGTAGGTGGTCCTAATCCTGGGGTGGACCACCATACAGGGGTACCCCCGGCTCCTCTAGCTCACTCATTATGCGTCCGATTTACTTCTTTTTTTTTTGGAGTATGTGCGCATTTCTAGGGCGAACATAACGCGCCCCTTACGTCGCAAATCGGTGGGCATTTGCTTGTGCTATGGGGCTTACAGATGTTCTACTATAGCAAACGGAGTTCTCCACGTTCTGCCGCCGTTTTGTACCGCATCGACACGCAAACAGACGCGTTTTGAAGGTAAGCACAATATCCTTCGGACGAATCCCTTCGCGCGTGATTTGGTGAAGATCTGGCGGCGCTGCAGCTCATGCAGTGGGGGGAGGGCTGCATACTGCAGCTCCACCAGATCTCCACCGAATCGCTTCGTTCTTTTTGCGACAGGTTCTAATATACGTTTATAATCAGGGCGTAGCATTCGCAGAGGACCGCGCGCACGCAGGACCGCGCGAAGGACAGCATTCTGCTCAGCCACAGCCCCTTTCCCCGGGCGATCGCGCGCCAGCCACTCCGCGTATCGCGACGCGAAATACATCGTCGGAAAGCTGTTGAATGCACCTTCCTGACGGTGCATTACACGTTGCAATCCGACCGCTGGTCGTTCCGGGACAAGGTGGGCCTTCCCCTGCCTCACATGCCCACCCTCTGCTTATTTATGCCCTCCAATGTTGTAGAAACCCGCTTGATCACACTCAGGGATATATGAACAATGTCTCCTATGAGCCTACATAGATCTAGGACCTTGGTAAGATGCACAAAACGAAAATTGGGCTGATTCTTTGACCTGCAGGTTTAACACGCCGCCAGAGGGCGGGATCGTACCCAAATTGCAATCTCTTTGGCAGAAAAGCGTATGCGTATCCTCCGCACAGGATGTCAAAATTTCAGCCTTATCGGCGTCCAGGTGAGCGTGCTGCAGGCTTATCAGTATGGACAAAGATCGCTCATTCCCACACATTTGCTGTGTATTACAACGCGATGTTTACCCAGGCTAGAAACACGCTGAGAATACCTTCACACAGAGCCCAAGATCGTAATTTTCGGTGAAGAAGTCGCAGAGATACGAGCTAATGAGTGTTGCAGGGCTCTCCTGCAGCAACACTAGCTGCAAGCACAGAGAGATATCAGCACAGCCGCCCACACCGTCTTAAGACGGCCTGGGTGGCAGGAGTGCTGGAGCACTGTCTTGGACATAGCTCGCTCGTTTCATCCTCAAAGCTTACGAAACTTTGTACGTAGATAGTGCTATGCATTCGCTACTAGAATATGCATTTAATAGGCTATTCGGCGATGATGTGCCCGCGGTATTGACCATCTAATGTGACATGGTACAAACCACACTATGGCATCACTTCGTTTCCCATCGCTCTGGTATTCTGCACGCCCATACATGTACAGTACGGCTATCGAACGCAAAAAAGAGCGCCGTGATTGACGCATTTCCTGTGGCTGCAGACGCGTTTTTGCCAGAACTGTGCAGAATATGTGTATATTGTGTCCTATGCTACAAACACATCCTATTGGACATTGAAACTCTATATATATGCTATAAGGTGGCCTATGAACAGGAAACAGGCATTAGATAGCTGCTTCAGCGAAGGGATATAGATGAATCCAGCTATAGAGGGGACAGGGGACCAGGAGGATGTATACCCTGCCCCGGAGCAACCAGCGGTCGGATCGCGGCGTGTAGCATACCGTCAGATAGGTACATTCAATGACTTTTAGGAAATGTACTTTATGTTGCAATGCGCCCAGCGGCCGTTGCGTGATCATCCTGGGAAAAGGGGTGTGGCTGAGCAGAGCTTGCTCCGTCGCGCGGTCCCACGCAGATGGAACTCCCTGATTACACATTACAATCAGCACCAGTCGCAAAAAGAACGACGCGATTTGGTGGAGGTTTGGTGGAGGTGCAGTATGCAGCCCTCCCCCCACTGCATACGCTGCAGCGCCGCCGTATCTGCACCAAATCGCCCGCGGAAGGTCTCGTCCGAGAGATATAGTACATACCTTCAAAATGCGTCTATTTCTGTGTTGACGCGGTACAGAACGGGAGCGCAACGCGCGAAACGGCGTTTCCTATAACATGATATTAGCTCTCTTGATACTGGCACTACTACTGCGCCGTTCACCGTCTGAAGTGGCGCGTTCTGAGCGCCCAGTGAATGCGAACATACTGCAAAAAGAACTAAGTTAATCGCATAAGAATAGAGCGAGCTAAGGCAGGTGGGGGTACCCCTGCATGGTGGTCCACCCCAGGATTGGGGCCACCTACCTGATTTGGACGAAGTGTGATTGTAAAAAGCGCCCTGTAGATTAGATTAGTAAGTGCCTGCCTGATATGGCTGAAATGATAAGAAAGCGCCTGTTATCTATTGAGATAACAGGCCCTGCAGCCTCTCCCGGGGCCTCTTACCGCATTTGGAGTGCAAATACAATCTCCGACGCTTATGTCAGGTTGGTCGCTAACCTACGGCCGTTGGTGCATAAGGGGTGCCTGGGGACGTATGGCGTGTGGTGCATCAGAGTTACCACAGGAGGTGCCTGCAGGTAGTGACAGCATTCCTCCATGGAAAGGCGAAGCACACGGTCTCCACCATTCTCAAGCTCTGTTAGGAGCGTGCTGAGCAGAAGTCCAAAGGTCCGAAAATGCGGAGGTTCGAAAACCCGAAAATGCGGTAGTACAGATTCCGGAGGTACGTAGGCTCGGAGTCCGGAGGTTCGGGACGTCCGGAGGTTCGGAGGTTTAGGGAACGATGACTCAGCGGGAGGACTTTGGCGAAGCTATTAGCAACGCCCTGGGACTTGTTCCGTTTGTCCTTAATTTTGGAGGTTCGGAAGTGCGGAGGTTCGGAGGTTCGGAGGTTCGGAGGTTGACAAGTAGTTGGATTGAAGGTAGCGAAGAAGATGGAAGAGAATGTGGTAAACGAGATATTCGAACTGAGTAACTACGGTATTCCAGCTCGGTATAAGTAGTACATAAGCTTATTGTCTAGCCGAGACAATAAGAAAGTACGGAAATGGAGTTCCGGAGCAGAAGACAATAAACCTATTGTTATGGCGCTAACAAAAGAGAATGACGCAATCTGAGACATATGAAATACAAACGGAGGTTCGGGAGTTCGGGGGTTGAAGGACCGGAGGTACGGCCGGAGTTCCGGGGGTTCGGAAGTACAGTACTAAGTCCCAGAAAGGAGATACGTCCCGTAAAAGGGTGCAAGTCCCGGAAGTTGGAATGAAGTCCCGGAAATCGGAGTTGTTGTCGCACGGGATGTAACAAGCTCATTCTCGACCACCCTGCTTCCCAGGTGCGACGAAAGTCACCTGAAGAAGCGCAGATGTTCACAACAACACCCAACGGAGAAAGCACATACCTGTCCATCAAGCGCGCAAAACCCGCAATCACAACGCTCGCGCTCGAGCTTGTTGCACGGCGCGTCGTCTCCGAGACGGTGGAGGTTGTGAAAGGAGAGCACGGGCTACATGGCTCGCAAGCTGCAAGCCGGAAAGGGGGTTGACGATCGCTGTGTTGGGAGGATATCAGCGCGAAGACACCGGCACACGTACAGGCAATACTGAGGGAATACCAACCTGTCGCCTGGCATCTCATCTCGTCAATGATAGGTGCTTCAGGAAAGCGCAGGGTGGATTTCATGGTTCCGGTGAAACGGGTGCGTCCGGTTGAGCTGGTGAGTAAGATGATACCGGTACTTTATAGATCACTCACTGTCCTTGTAGACCACGTCCGAGATCCTCAGCGACATCGCCTACTGCAGGACCCCCTTCGCGCGACTGAATCACATCACCCGTGGCATCCTCTACTTCTGTTACATCCCGTGCAACAATAACTCTGATTTCCGGGACTTCATTTCAACTTCCGGGACTTGCACCCTTTTCCGGGATGTATCTCATTTCCGGGACTTAGTACTGTACTTCCGAACCCCCGGAACTCCGGCCGTACCTCCGTACCTCCGGTCCTTCAACTCCCGAACTCCCGAACACCCGAACCTCCGTTTGTATTTCATATGTCTCAGATTGCGTCATTCTCTTTTGTTAGCGCCATAACAATAGGTTATTGTCTTCTGCTCCGGAACTCCATTTCCGTACTTCCTTATTGTCTCGGCTAGACAATAAGCTTACATACTACTTATACTGAGCTGGAATACCGTAGTTACTCAGTTCGAATATCTCGTTTACCACATTCTCTTCTATCTTGTTTGTTACTTTCCATACCTCCCCTTCGCTACCTTCAATCCAACTACTTGTCAACCTCCGAACCTCCGAACCTCCGAACCTCCGAACCTCCGAACCTCCACACTTCCGAACCTCTGAACCTCCGAAATTAAGGACGAACGGAACAAGTCCCAGGGCGTTGCTAATAGCTTCGCCAAAGTCCTCCCGCTGAGTCATCGTTCCCTAAACTTCCGAACCTCCGGACGTCCCGAACCTCCGGACTCCGAGCCTACGTACCTCCGGAATCTGTACTACCGCATTTTCGGGTTTTCGAACCTCCGCATTTTCGGACCTTCGGACTTCTGCTCAGCACGCTCCTAACAACTTCGCCTGCGGTGCACAGCAAACACTGTTCCACTATAACAGCCGTATCGGCCATACTCCTGCCTGGAGCACAACCGTGGTCACGCTCAAACGACTCGCTTGTAGGGTATTCTGCAGCTTCTCGCGTGAGTCAAGCCCCCTCTTCGATGGAGACTGCGAAGGACGGCGAGGCGACTCAGACGGCGTGGGGGCCGTGGAGTCCGGGGCCGGGAAGGAGCGGCCTGAGCGGCCTGGCAAAGGGCTTGGGGACTCTTGGAGAAGCTGCCAGTTGTTATGGATGGATCTGGCTGATGTGATTGCGGGGATAGCGCTATACTGTGAAGGTGTACTGCAAGCTAGTAGCACCCCGGGAGACAGTCCCTCTCCGAGGTCAGCATAATACACGGTGCTGAGTTTGCTTTATGTCACACCTTGTACGGCCGGAGAGGTCTCATCCACAAATGTATAATGTGTATGCGGGACTTGCAAATTCTCATTCATTTGCAGCAGTGTTGGACGTCTTCTACAAGCTTTCACTCTACTACAACATTAATTTCTTACCATTTTCGCTGAGCTCGGCGAACTCCGAAACGCAGCGAGAGACTCGCGTTCGGGCGTCTAATTCCCAATTAGGACACGAGGGGACCCTCCTGCAAAAGTGACGCGTCCCGTTGCAGACCATATACTGGATATTGATCGACTGTCATCAATACCTTATATGGTCAGCCACGGAGACTAGTGCAGAGTCAGCGGCGGCAGAAGCGAGTTACGTACCTTCCTGATCAGGCAATGCGTCCGCGCTCGTTGACTGGCTGCGCTTCCGCTTCTCCTTTGACCTGCTACTCTGAGGGATGTCGACTGGAGCAGGGTCAATATCCATGGAATCTGTGCCGTCCATCTCAGTATCGCTCTATAACAATGATTCACACACTGATCAGCAGATTGAAATGAACTTACTCGAACTCTGACGAGCCTGGTGCAGCCGCACACCCGAGGTTGCACATCGACTACTAGTGGGATTACGTGTCTTTGCGGACATTACAACTCGAGTGCTGCCATCTTGAACCAAGGCAGTGTCTAGGAAAGAAACCAAGAAGTAAGTTCCCGTTGAACTCGTTGGAGTAAGTAGCACTAACCGTTGTTTCTAGGATCAGATCCACGCTTCTCTGTACGCTTTGTTGTTGCAGAAGGGTGCGGCGAAACAGCAGTCTGATCTACAGAGGCTGCATTACCAGCCCTGCCAGCAGCACCTGCTCTAGAACGTGTAATATGTTCTGAAACGGGTGCGATACTGGCAGGGTTACCACCACGCATTGCGTTGTCGGTGTGTTGACTATTGCTGAGCCTTTAGTTTGTGGACTAATGAGTGTTGGGATAGAGAGCGAGTATGGAAAAAGGAGTTGGTGAACGAAGAAAGAAGAAACTCAGAAAGAGGTTGTGGTCAAGAGCGCATGCCCGCGCCGTGCTCTTGCTCGCCCTTACGCATACCCTCTACTCCGCTCCCCGGGCCACGCCCCATCCACGCTGCGGTCATCTACTTCAAGAGCTGGGAAGAGGTGATGGGCCATGTTCGCACGGCGGCTCGTGCGCATTGGCTTGTTCACGTCATGGAGCACGATGGGACGGTCCATGCGAAGGTCGACATTACCGCTGGCATCCAGCTCGCGCATGCATAGCGGCCTCTGCTTCATCCCACATCGCGCACTTGACCGGAGCCAACTCGGATGTGGCAGGCCAACTCCACATGAGCGATGCGCCGGGCGAGCACAAGGATGTACTGGCAATAGTTTTCAGTAGGCTAGGTCGGTGCTTGCCTCTTTCAAAATAGTGAACGGCTGTAGCTGATGGTTCTAGGGCCGGTGGAAAGCATAATACCGATGAGAGTAGTGATTTTGTCGCAAGCAGTATATACCATGTATACCTATCCAACAGAGTAGATGTCTCCGAGATAGAGACCGTAAATGCGCGGTTTATAATGGTTTTTGTTCGAAAGATGCATGTTTACTCGGGGCGGTATAAATCTTATGTAGTCTTACAGGTTTTTTTTGTGACATATCTAGGAAAGTACTCAAAAGCGCCGACATTGCCGCAGGAGGTTTTTCCTGATGCGTCCGCTACGTTCAAATTGTACCGTACATGTCACCAATGGGACTGTTGGCAGAGAACTGCGGGAAGGAGGTACTTAGTAGAGGTCGCGTTGGAGAGTTGCTGGCATTACCATAAAAGATCGGTGTAGATACACGTATGCTGGGATTGAGACGACCTATGTGCATCGGCAGAGCCATCGATCCGTTGAGCCGACGGACGAATGTTCGAAGCCGTAGCTGGTTGATGACGCGTGGTCAAAGGTGTGGTTGGATGATGCCGCGCTGAATGCCCAGCCTCGTGGCGTACCTACGGGATGGAAACACGTACTTTGCGCGCAGTGTGTTCAGTTGGCGAGGGTGCAACCAGACACGTCCATTAGACGTAGGCCCGGTTGCAACCGCTTTCCGAAAGGCCGAACAATAATTAAATGCCCAGATGTAGCATCGAACCAGTGATCTCCCGATAAGAGGAGACACACCAATCCACTACACCATTAGACCTTGTAACCCTGCCTTTGGCTTAGGGCTGTGTGCTACATTAAGGTTCGGCTTAGGGTTAGGAATTTGGGTCAGATTAGGGTTAGGGAGCCCAATATAGGGACCTTCCCCCTCCCCTGAGAGGAGCCGGTCTGTAGAAATCGCGAGAACGAAGCTTTAGAGTGCCCGCCTGAAGGCTCTCGGTTCGGGGGACCCCCCGAGCGCAGCGAGGGAGGGGAGGGAGCCTGAATGGCGGGTCTTCTTCTCGCCAAAAAAGACCCAATCTATTGTAATGGTTCTGTAGGCCATGTAAGCATCTATGGTGCAGTGGTTCACGCTGTGGCACTGTAGTCCTTGATGGTGAGAAGCGCGGTTCAATTCCCAGTGGGGGCATTAATTGTCAGATGCATTAGAGCTATGTATTTTGTAAATAATGCTGGGTGATTGGTTGCAACCGGGCCTTCGTCTAACAGACGTGTCTGGTTGCACCCTCGCCAACTGAAGTCCCTCTTGCGCGTCCTAGGTCGCCGGAGTGATTGTCAGTCAGTATCACCTACGGGTTTATGCGATTAAGTTTAGCAAGTGTGAACGCTCCGGTCCGATACTTGTTCGTGCCCTGATGAGCTACGAACGCCAGTCATAGACACTGCGCGCCCGAAAGGTGGTGGGCGCTACGACTATATCGGGTGGTTAGTTCCGATCACTAGGCAAAGTGTAGGTTTATTAGTGGGTAGTGAAAGTAGTGGTGAACAGCCGCTTTCGGAGTTTCACCAATTATATCGGTGACAATCACTCTAGTGCATTCAAAAATTAGCGCTTGAGAGAAATCCAGTTGGGAGCAAATATGAACAAACAATGGGAGGCAGTCTGTGGCTGCTTGACAACGGTCGCCTCTCTTGTCCTCAACGTCCTCGAGCTCGTCCTCGTCGCCCTCTGGAGCTCGCCTTCTCGTGCACGTTCTCTCCGGTCATTGCATGTCTTCTCGCCGCTTTGGCTCGCTACCCTGTTGTCTTCCTTTTGCTCTCCGACTTATCTGATGTGAGGGAGGAACCGGGAATGCTCGCTCCCGTCAACGGCGATACCTTCAAGCTACCAGGCCGCCCTCTCTCTGGATCTATCTTGTGGATTGATTTCATACAAGTACGTTCTTATCTGTTCTGCTACTGCTATGCTGCCTCTGCATCTCAGGTCTCCTTGCTCATGCTACTCTCCCTGGCTGAAGTTGCTCGCATCGCGGCTCCTGTATTCCCCGAGTCCTGTGTTTCTGCCGCCCGGCCTTGTGTACGTCTTCGCTACGTCTGTGCGCCCTCCGTGTCTCCGCGCCCTCGCCCTCACCCTGCCTGTGACTCACGATCATCCTTGTGCTGCCAGCACCACCCTGTCCTGCGTATGCTCACGCATGCTCCGCGGACATCCTGTGTCCTCTTTGTGAATGCCATGCGTCCTTTCCGCGCACGTCACGCGTCCTCTCCACGCACGCCAAGTACCCTCCTTGTGTCCATGCTGCACACGTTCGCGCCCATACTAACTTCAGTCCATGTACGCTCGTGCATTCCCTGCCCGCGCACGCCCTCGTGTCCTGTCCATCTGCATCTCGCGTTTCTGGGCGCGCCCCGCCTCCGCCCACATCATTCTACTCGTGTCCTGCCTATGCTCGCGCGCACGTCATATCTGGCGCACCCCCCATGTCTCGTGTTCACCGCCCGGCCTGCTGCTCATCTGCCTGCGTCTCTGCGCCGTCTTTCTATCATTTGCACCGTCTTCATGTCTGCGCCCTATCTGTGTCTCTACGGCCCTCGCCTCTCGCCCTTATCTTACCGGCGTCTTGTCTGCGTCCCGTCCACCCTCGCGCCCACCCCTTGTCCTGTGTACGCTCGCTTGCGCACGCCCCGCGCACATACTACGTCGTCAAGACATCCTGCATCTTCCCTGCATCCTCGCGCACGTTCGCGCTCACACCGTGGCTGTGTATCATATGTACTCCTGCATACCGCGCATCTTGCCCGCGCGCCCCACGTCCACTTTATGTATTTAGTACGGTGTTGTGCCTGTCTCCGTCCGTCGTCGAATGATATTTCGATTGCCCATCCCAATCAAATGAGTGCCATACATGTCATAGTGAAATCCATAGTGCAAGATAGTGTGAATCACCCGATATTGTAATCGGAAATCACCCAGATAATTGCATGTAGTCACCCGTTCCGCCCGCCTGCACCGACATGTTGAATCGTTGCAAAATAAGGTTGAAATTCTCGGCTTCCGACACCACCAAAAGTAGTGATTGTTCACCGGCGCCAAAGTCGCCGAGTTGGTGGGAACAACTAGTTCTCGTTGGTTTTTTCTCTACTTTAAGTATAGTGAACTAACGGGTGATTTTCACAATGTATCGGTCGTACAGTGAGAGCGCGCTACTACATGCCATTAGTTGTAGGCTTGAATAATCCATGTGCGAGCGTAGACCGTACCTTGGTCCATCATGTACTACGCACCCTACCATTCTGCGTTGAACATCGAACCATCCGTGACTCGCGGATACGGGCTTCTGAGCGCCTTTCATTAATGAAAAATTGACGACTGAGAACGCGGATGTCGTCGTTAACATCAGGATGAGAACGTCAGTCCACACACGCGGAACGTCTGAGCACGCTGGGTGTCATCGTTAGCGAAAGTCCGTAATGAGTTATATTACGGATGACCCGGGCGGGACGTACGGAAACCGAGTCCATTGCTGTGATTTTGCGGTTCAAGTGATCTTCCTGGTGGTGGATCTCAAGACTTTTCAACGCTTGAACAGGGCTGGAGCAGATTGCAGACGCTGAGAGGGTATGGAATTTGTTATTGGTCGGGCGCGAGGCCGGCCCGTGTTGTCCTCGTAGTAATAAGCTATCTCGTAACTCCCATTCGCGTACCTGTATAGGAGACACTGTGCACGCGTTCATAGTCGGTGGATGCACTTGCCCGCGCCGAGCTCCGCCATCTCTGCGCACTCGGTCCCCTTGGACCAGAGACAGGTGCTGTAATTTCATCACCGCGTAGCTGTTATTGTTGCAGTTGTCGAAGTTCAAGTAAGGAGGTTGAGAAGGAGTTGAGGACTTGGAGGCGGAAGAGGTAACGTCGACCGTGCTGGTCAAGTCCAAGCAGACCTAGGGCCCCCATCAAGCAAATGGACACTGAGCTAGCGGAGGGCGAGAGTGAGGAGGGTAGTCGGGGAGTCCGCTCGCAACGGGAAAACTCACATTGAGGGTACCAAAGTAACCCAAAGCGTGGATGTCGCGCAGTATGTCACGCTGATGTGCGAGTCCTCAGACGCAGAACGACGGACATCGCGCACACAACTGGAAGTCAGGCCGACTTGAATATTACACTGGCTTGGCATATACTGTTGAGCTCAAACTTCAAAGCACAGGGATTCGTGCAGACGTCTCCTATCTAGTGATGAATGGTACCAATGACAGGCTGAAGGCTGCTCTTCGACACGTGGTGCACTTCCATGAGGACGAGATCCTGCAACTCGACAGCGGATCCACCGAACTGCAGGGGAGCTCCGCCTTCACGGGCTGTCGTCTTTTCATATGATGAGAGCAGTTTTCAGCGCTCAATACCCGCCAAGCTAGCGTGTGCACCTACCAGGAACCGCAGCACCTCCCGAGCGATGATGACCGCCAACTGTGCGCGGGTCGGAGCTGTCTGCCGCGCACGGAGGATGTTGACCTGGTGAGAGTATCGCGCGTGCCCAGGGAACTACGATTATCAGAGGTCAGACGCGACTCAAAGACAATGACGTACGCCGAGGCCACTTACCATGAGGATGATTGACATCTTCTGCGGAAGGCAAACCCCCGCCCTGAACGCAGCTGCATCGCGATCCACGACGTCGTTCGTCTCGCCCAAAAGAGCGCGAAGGAGGCTGCAGCCATGGAATTCAATGGGGGAAAACAGTGTCACTGACAGGAGACGGGTTTGGTGCTGTTCTTGCGGCAAAATCTAGGGAAACAGGCGATTAGCGTGAGGCCTAGACTCAAGCGTGCCTCGCGTACTGTGATCAAAATTCCGGAGCTGGTAAAGCGCTGCTCGAGTCTGGATGGATGCTGGTTGGTCGAAGACGCTGGGGTGGATGCATCATGATGGGGCCGCTGCGTGTTTAAAGCAGTCGTCGGCTTATGTCAATCACAGCATGAACGAGCGTCCTCCAAAACCAGCTGATCACAGCGGGCGCACCGTCGTCGTCGTTTGAGTGTCGCCCGGAATACAAGCTCCGCTAACAATACTGTCGCCATACATGCGGTTCACAAATTCGGTAGGAATGGACCCCTGGAGACAGATATAATATGAACAACAATACAAGCAAGACAGAAACAGTGTAACTTACCGCGATGTATGTTGCAGCTAGACTGATGTCGAAGCTGCCTCCGAATACATTTTCCGGGTGAAGACTGCCGCCCATAAGTCCACAGATGCACCAGAGTTCACCGCAGCATATGCAACGACCCGTAAGGTTGTGTTGATGCGTAGGCACAGTTGTGCTGTGCATCATACGAGAAAATTGCATGTGTCGGCGGTGCTGGACGATCGACCTATTGGAAAAGGGGATGCTGGCGCAGCTCGGGCAACTCGGGCATCCCATATTTATGCGAGTGCATCGCGCAAGCGGTGCCGAGATATCTAAGCAGACAGATATCTGAAATGTGCGTCTAACGGAAGCCTAGCACGTTGAGCTGTGCATAGCAGGTGAGCTTTTGCGCGGTATAAGAGTGGGAAACACATACGAGACGGCGGCTATCTTTCAAGGTCATAGCAGACCGTCGGACGGTACATCTTCCGGTTTCTGTGAGCGTTAGCACGCTAGCCGGCTCGGTGGACATCTGGCTACTAGTAGGGGCGTACTTGGGTGCTGCCATGCATGTCAGGCTTAGTGGATGTCGGCTGCGGACCAGTGATGGCAAGACACTCCGTTCTGTTCCACGACTGCAACCGCGGAGCCCCTTTTGCATATATCTTGTATGGAGTCAAGCGTGTCGCTCGTGAGTGTTGCTCTGGCCTGATGTTCAACGCGAATGCTTCTTCATGTGCGCGGAAGCGAATTCACGCCGGTCGTGAGATTTAAATATACAACGAACCCCAGATGGTCATCTGGATAGATGCTCGACAGGCTGCTGCGCCTTCGTCGGTGATATAGTAGGTGTCGCCCCCGGCTAACCACCGCCGATGTATCGAGTTTGTCGCTCCGCCGTGTGTATATGTAGTACGTGTAAGTGTGGATGTCCTCGTTAGCGTAGCACAGCACAGCTGCTCCGACCGCAGTGAGAGTTACGACAAGCTCAGAATGCAGTGAGACGTACGGGATCTCACGGCGTGGCTTTGATGTTCCTGTGGTTCTTGGACCTCTGGGAGTGGCATGGCGAGGTGCGTGGTATTTGTTATCGATCCGGGGCAAGAAGGGTCCGCCGGGCTCCGGGTGTCTGACCAGTGACAGACATTTTAGTCACCTCACAGCCCATTTTCGACGTACCTGAGTGTATGACTGCCGGCGCAACCTCGCACACATGGTGCACACTTTTGCACTCGGGAAATGCGAAGCTCGTCCGCGCCAATCCTCCGAGCCTGCATCCACGCGCTCATACGTCCTACATAGTATATCTGTTCCTTTCTGGACATCATTGTGTGGATGCTATCTGGGAAGTCGTCGAGAGGTGAACACGGCTGAGTTGGACGGAGGTGGTAGAACATGTACAAGGAGGTGACGTCGACGCTTGCGACCAGAGATACTCTTAGCGCCCATACCGTAGACGCCGAGCAAGCGGAAACGAAGGAGTGAGAGCAGAGAGCGGTTAGGGTGCCTGTGCTCATCCCGGACGAATATCGAGTCATCCAAGACCGTCAAAAGACTCCGTGCACTATCAGCCGCGGCTTTGGATGCTCCTCAGTCTCCGTCTTCTCCTCCGACATCCTCCAAAAAGGCCGCTCTCTGTACATATATCTCGTCTGAGCCTTCACGGACACGCCACCATGGCCGTACAACAACCTCCCTGGTCCCTGCCGACCCAGAAGGCCCCGGAGCCCACTCTCAAGATCTACAACTCGCTGACGCGAACCAAAGTCGGTCTTTCCGGAAGCTCATCGCGTCGGTTCTGTGCTGTAATCTGAGGCACCCTTGGCGCAGACGGAGTTTGTCCCGATCAGTGGGCGTCATGTCAAATGGTACAACTGCGGTCCCACTGTGTACGATGCGTCGCATATGGGTCATGCAAGGTGAGTACGTATAACCCGACGTTGCTCTTGCGACTCAAGCGACCGGTATGTGCGCAGGAACTATGTCACGCAAGATGTGCTCCGGAGGATCATGACAGATTACTTCCGCTACGATGTCTATTTTGTTATGAACATCACGGACATAGATGACAAGGTGCGCCCCCTTGACCATTCGCTATCTTCCCCGGGACATACCAATCGGCGTGCGCGTGTAGATCATCATCGGAGCCCGCCATAAACATCTCATCTCCACCCTCCGCTCCGAAACGACGGCCCTCTCACAAGCCTTGATCGACCAAGTGATAGACGCGTGGATTTCGTATGTACAGTCGAAGGTGGGCAAGGGTCTCCCGGCAGCCGACCTCCCGCCGGCGGGGAGTGAGCGGGCCCAATGGCCCAAACTCGTCGAACGCTTTCAAGACAAAGAGTGGAGACTACAAGGCTTGCAGAAAGACGAGAAGTTCGAGATGCACTACAAAGCTGCGGTGAGTCATCATTTTCCGCAAGGTGGTCGTCAGGACACACGGAGATGGTAAAGTCACTGTTATGTCTATGAGCCTTCATGGACACACGTGGCCGGGGTGCCTCCCAGGCTCTCGCGGGCAGGGTTATGAAGCTCACATTTATGGCCTAGTTTGCCGCGCCATGGGTACTTGTGAACTTGATGTGCGCGACGTGTCATCGGGGCACTAACGGGCACCTTTTGTTGAGTCTGCGCCGCGCGTTCAGGCCCTCATTACTCCATGTGCGACGCACACCGTGCACGAGACCATTGCCCGACGATCCTGCTGGCTGTGGTCGTTTATCCGCGTCATCCTATTTTTGCATGGCGTGCAGGTACGTGCTCCAGGTCCGCACTGCTTCCATAAAATCGGGGTTTCCGCGCGGGCCGAGACCTACACGCCCCTCCAGCATCCGAGGTTGACATCACCCGAGCTTAAAATACGGCGTGGGCTCCAATGCCTCCTCATCTTCTGAGCAGTAGGCATAAGGTTGGACCTCTTTATGGCTCATAATGCACCACCTCGGCGGTTTACGTCGTATGCGACACAAGTACGACGTCTTGTACGCTCTGCATTCTTCCCGATGAAGATGATGACACAGGAAAGCTTCATTCCCGTCGCATGTATGCATCGTGTTTGAGTCTATCGCCGCATGGCGCAGCTTCCGGCGTTTTCACATCAGTCATGTCTCGCGAGTTTATGGGAGTATTTTCTGACCTTCTCACAGAATGTCACGTACAACGCCCTTCTAGCAGCGGAAGAACATCTGAAGTCTGGTCAAACACATACAGAACATGCCCATGCGCTGATTGAGCAAGCGAAGGACGTTCTTGCTTTGACATTAGACAAACAGGTATGTCAAACTCTTGTCTTTGAGTGACCGCCCATCTGCTGATGACGCGCCGGAACAGTTTGGCAGCACCGTAAGCGACCATACCATTTTCCGGTCACTCGCGGCGTATTGGGAGAGCGAATTCTTCAACGACATGCGCCGTCTGCGTGTTCGCGAGCCAGATACGCTCACCCGGGTAACCGAATACGTGCCAGAAATTGTCTCGTTCGTCGAGGGCATCGTCAAGAACGGGTACGGGTACGAAGTGGATGGCAGCGTGTACTTCGACACGCGCGCGTTCGACAAGGCTGACGATCACTCGTACGCGAAGCTCGAGCCGTGGAGCAAGGGCAACCGCGAGCTGCTCGAGGAGGGCGAGGGCGCTCTCTCCGCAACGACCGGCCGCCGCTCCGCCGCCGACTTCGCCCTCTGGAAGGCGTCGAAGCCCGGCGAGCCTTCGTGGCCGTCGCCGTGGGGCCCGGGCCGCCCTGGGTGGCACATCGAGTGCTCGGTCATGGCGTCCGCGATCTTTGGCGAGAACATGGACATCCATTCGGGCGGCATCGACCTCGCGTTCCCGCACCACGATAACGAGATGGCGCAATCAGAGGTAGGCGCGGCGCCCGTCAGCGGGGGTGCCCGCACCCAGGGAAGGGACTTCGACTGACCGTGCCTGTCAGGCCTATCACAACTGCCCGGCGTGGGTGAACTACTTCATTCATACGGGACACCTGCACATCGAGGGTCTGAAGATGAGCAAGTCGCTCAAGAATTTCATAACGATTGACGTCAGTCCGAGCGCCCTGTGCGACGCGTTCCGTGCCTTTTGTCTTCTGACGCGGCGCTCCGTGCCCATTTTCAGGAGATCCTGCAGAAGTACACCGCGCGCCAGCTGCGCCTGGCCTTCCTCACGCAGCTCTGGAACGCTAAGGTCGACTTCTCCGAGTCGCTCATGACGGGAGAAGTGCGGGGCATCGAGATCACATTCAACGTACGTCTCTGCAACCTTAACTCTCTCCGTCGCCCCAGCCCCCGAGCGTGCATGCCGTAACTGCTTCCATCACGGCAGAATTTCTTCACGACCGTCAAGGCGCTCGTCAGCCAGGCGGAAGCGGAAGGGCCGCAACTGGATGGGAAGAATCGCTTCCAGCAGCCCGAACGGGAGTTGACAGACAGGTAAAACTGGCTCTGGCAGTCGTCCCATGTCGAATTCTGCACGCGCTCACACATCGGCTGGCTGCTCTTCCCAGCCTGCACGCGAGCCAGGAGGCCTTCCGCGCGGCGCTCTGCGATTCATTCAACACCCCTGAAGCTATTAACGTCCTCCGCGAGCTTGTCTCGAAGACAAATGTCTACCTCAAGGCGCCCGGCGGGAACCTCGAGATCGGGCTCGTCACACGCGTCGCGCGCTGGGTCGGCGAAATGCTCCGGATGTTCGGCCTTGGTGAGGGTGAGACGCAGGAGCTTGGATGGGGTCAGGAGCGCAGCGCCTCTGAGGGCGGCGTCAACGTGCGTCCCTCCTTCCCGCCTTCCTAGCTCCACCGCTATCCCCCGTTCGGGGGAGAACGGGGCGGGGTCGCGCCCGCTAGCGTGTGCTAACGATGATTCTGCCAGCGCGAGGAGGTTCTCATGCCCTACCTCCGCACGCTATCCTCCTTCCGGGACGGCGTGCGCAAGCTCGCGATGGCCAAGGGCGACAGCGCGCTCAAGGACATCCTCGCGCTCTCGGATAAACTTCGCGACACGGATCTCGTGCCGCTCGGCGTCGCACTAGACGACCAGGAAGGTACGCAGACGCACATCTCACACCCGTGTCTGATTAGCTACTAACGGCGCACTTGCGTAAATGACTGACTGACTTGGCTGCCTGCATTGTATGATGGACCCTGACGTGCCGCTTCCCTTCCATTCCCGCGCCGCAAAACCGCCCCCATCGCGCCCTGTGTTCCGGTGCACTGGCTCACGCCAAATTAGACGGTAAGGCGCTCGTCAAGCTCGTGCCGCCGGAGGAGCTGGTGAAGGCGCGCGAGGAGAAGCGCGCACTGGCGGAGGCGAAGGCAGCACGCAAGGCGGCGTCCGCGGAGGCTGAGCGGCAGAAGCGACTCGCCGCGCTGGAGAAAGGGCGTGTACCGCCGCAAGAGCTTTTCCGGCCGCCGAACGTCGCCGTTGGGACATACGGGAGCTGGGACGATGATGGGCTGCCGCTGACGGACGGGGAGGGCAAGGAGCTGAGCAAGAGCGCGAACAAGAAGGTCCAGAAGGAGTGGACCCTGCAGAAGAAGCGCCACGAGGACTTTCTGGAGTGGCAGAAGCAGGAGCAGCAGGGAGCCTAGTAGTTAATGGGCGTGCTATCGCCACCGAGGACGGTTCTGTTCCTTGCTCGCCGCTGTAGATTTACCTCGCCCCTTGTGTATGATGCATTGCGTGCTTCGATCTGTGGGTGCGTCCGCGTCTGGCAGTTTGAGTGCTATACAGATGTGAGCATTTCTACGATTTATTGGATCATACATACAATAGTTACTTTCTACCAGTCACAGGCGCCAACTACGAGTTGAGCTATTTTCTCCAGACCATCCTGATCGCGTTCATCAAACCCAGATAGAACAAGACAGTCCAGGTCGAGGACACCGATGGCTCGCTCCTCGCCAGAAACTGTCAGGAGCAACGGGCAAACGACCTCGCTTTTTGTTTCCCCGTCGCATGCGATGTGTCCGGGATACGCCTCAACGTCCTGGACGAGGACCGTCTTTTTCTGACGGTACGCGTCCGCGCACACACCTCGCGCGCGTTCAGGCGAGACGTTGATCAATTGACAGGCAGGTTTCCCGCAGAAGGGCCCGAGGAGGAGCCGCGCAGACTGATCGCCCTGCACAGCCGTTGGGGCGGTGAGACTGGGCGGAGGGAAGAGCTCCGAGTTGAGGTAGAAGCCTGCGACGTCGGAGACGTAATCAGTACCCGATCAGCATGATCGTGGTAGAGACCTTGGCGCATAAAAGGACACTGACCACACCAGTTTACCATGCGCTCGCCCGTGCCGAACTCGGGGAAGGCCTGGAGGGCGTTGAAGACCAACGAGGAAGCGTTCGCGAGGTTCGTGACCTGGCCGGGTTGAGGTCAGCGATCCCGTCGCGCAACGACGATACACAAGTGCAAACATACCCAATTGCGCTGTCCGTCCAGGAGGTGGCTGAGCTGTTCGTGGACATGTGCCCAGAACGCGGTTTTGTCCATGCCTGGCGGGATCATCGCGGAGTCTGCGTGCGGCATGTCTGGCTGTCTGCGCGGGGTCTGGGGCGGGTGCGCGGGTGGTTGCGGTCGAGTTGTGTGCGAAGCTGGATGGTACACAAGTGGGTCGAGTGATCAGCCAAGCACGCCACCCAGCGTAAGCAAGACGGTCTAGAATGGTAGATAAGATTAGATAAAGCAGCCATCAATATCACCGACGCGATCTCTCGTGTATACCGCCTCTTGCCAGCCGACCGTCTCCTGCCTCATACCACCATCTCTCTCCTCCAATGGCTCCTTATCTCGAGACAGTCAAGGTGAGAGTGACTGCGGGTCCAGAGCGGGTCTATGGTGCTGAGATCTCGATCCTCTAGTCGTTCGCAGACGTTCCGATCACCGACGCTGGCGTCGATACCCTTGCTTTCCTCGAAGCTGCCCAGGGTGTCGTGGGCCTCTTCGGTGAGCCGCCACATCCATGCGGTACATTGCACTAGCGTCTGATGGCGGTCTAGACCTCCTCGGATCTGCCGCTTTCACCGCTGTCCAGAGCGACTTGAAGGGGAACATCACTGTGCGTCTGGACCATCCTTGTTCCGGAATGTATTCTTATGAGCTATCACACTCTCTAGAAAGTCCGTGCTCGGTACGATGCTGCCCCCGAGAAGTCCGCCACGCTCGAGCTCCTCGTCGTGAACGAGAAGACTGAGAAGAAGCGGACCGCAACGGAGGGTCTCCTGTGGCTCCTCCGCGGCCTCTCCTTCACGTGCAAGGCCCTACTCGCGGCCCAGGCCAACCCTACCGAGGAGCTTGCGACTGCGTTCAGCAAGTCTTACGAGGCCACGCTCAAGAAGTTCCACAACTTCGTCGTAAAGGGCATCTTCTCGGTTAGTACTATTCCTTACCCCCGTTTGGCGCCGCCCTGGCTTGTTGTTCCATGTGACTAACTGTGCCGATGTGATGTTCCGAACGCAGGTCGCGATGAAGGCGTGCCCCTACCGCGCCGACTTCTATGCGAAGCTCGCTGCGGACCCTGCCGGCGGGCCTTCCCTCCCAGCCGACAAGCTCAATGAGGAGCTCAACAACTGGCTCGCGGCCCTCGATAGCATCGTCAAGCGGCTCGAGGACTTCTACGAGAAGGGCGGGCACGGCAAGGGCTTCTAATTCACGCCTTAACAAGCTCACACACACACGCAATCATGAACACGAACACATGTACCGCACGATATGCGCGGAAATGTATCTGAGATGTCTGTACCATCGCCGCCTGGGAGCCGCCGCAGCACGCCCACGAACGGGTGCCCGCCCCACTGAAGCGTCTGCGGGCCTGCCCGTCAGTCTGGCTCCCGCTAGAAGCGTGCCGTGCGATGCTACTTTCGACGCGGCGCACGCTCCAGACCCCGCGGTCCCCGCTGCTGAGGCGAACGTTCCGGGGGTCGCATTACGCGGCGACCACAAGCGACCACTGGTGTGATCAGCGAACCTACGAAGGCTTGGGCCTAGGCCGTGCCCCCACGGGAAGGCGAGACGCACGGGTGCGTCGCCCGGCGGTCCGCGTCGCGATTGGCACGGCTAGCACGATTGCATATTCTGAAAGAGCATAGGATGAGCGTGCGTCGGGCACAGGGCACGCACCTGCACACGAGCCCTCAGCTAATCAGAAAGAAGAGAAGGCTCAGTGGGGGCGCGAAGCTGGGAGAGAGCCTCGCCCCTGCTGGCGCAGCGGGGAGGCCTTGCGCCCGAGCCGGCGCCGCTTGGTGCACTGCGACGTCTGGCCGGCTTGAGAAAGGATCATGCGGCTGCAGCAGATTGAGTACAGTGCCCCGGGCCTGTCGGGTTCGACGTTCATTGGCGTGTTCCTCATCCATCATTGGACGAGCGACAGCAACAGTCAGCCTGTCCAGACTCCAGACCGGCCCATTGGCGGCGTCGAATGGCTCGGGCGCAAACACTAGAACTCTCCTGGGATCGCGACTGCCCCGGTTGGGAGCGAGCAAAGGAAGCTGAAACCCTGCGCAGCGCGCTGCCCGACTGAGAATGCCAAAGAACCCGAGAACGCGAACGTCATGGGAACTCTCCAGCCCAGCCGGGCAGCATCCAAACCCAATCATCGCTGGCCTGCCTGACGCAGCCCTGGAAGGCAGGGGTCAGCAGGTCGCGCACGCACCGTAGGGTGCGGCGGGAAGTGCGTGGCTGGTTTTGCAAACCACCAGGATGCGTGTTAGCACCAGAACCGCCGGCGTAGCGTTCTGTCACGCAGCGAAACACGCCTGCCACCTGCGCGCTGCAGCTGTCCGCGCACTGCGCGCTCGAAGCCGCCGGCGGTGGAGACGCATCCGCTGCCGGCGTACCTGAGCCGTCGAGCCAAATGGAAGTGTATCAGTGACCTAGAAGCGGCCGGGAGCTGATCGGTGCGCGAGAAGGGGAGCAAAAGCTACTGCACGGACGCGCGCCGCCGCACACGTACATTCCGGGTAATGCACCCCTGCAGCTGACGGGCACCCGAGGTCCCAGCCCCTCAAAATAGCGAGTGGGAGGACCTATCGGGGGCAGAGGGTGGCATGCCGATAAGCATGCGAGCTAGACGGCTGGATGGCGCAAGAAGCTTGGCCCGAAGCACTGCGCGCCGGCGCGGAGGGGCACGGAGCGTACTGGGCCAGGCCGCCTCTGAGAAGCTTCGCGCCATAACAAGCAGGTGCGCATCCAGGCCGCGGTATGTCCTAAATGAAGGAGACCCCTGAACGCTAGAGTGTGTCTGCGAAATTCCTCCCCGGGGCATTGTTCCCGGGAGGCGCTACGCCTGCGGGTCAATGCCCGGCGGGGAGATGAGTGCAGCTGACTGAGGCACTGGCAGGGCTGAAATTCCCGGCGCAAACAACCCCCTGTTGCCCGTGATACCGGGCTGAGAAAACGGAATAAATCCAGCGTACCCATCAGCTTCGAGCTTCCAGAGGCCGCCGCAATGTTAGGCTTCTGCACCCGGCCGGCACCAGAGGCCAAGGCAGGCGATGCGCTGTGCGCATCTATCGGCCACGCAGAACGCGGGGCCCTCGACACCGTGTCCAGATGACACCGCAGGTGGACCGTTGACAGCTCGCCTGCGACAAATTGCGTGGATAGAGCTCGTTAGTCTTCCCGCCCCGAGAGCACCGATGCCGCCAACGACGCACCCAGACAAGGCGTCCCCTTACCAATCAGATGGGAAGGATTCTCCAACGGACTTCCACAGAGATTGCCGAGTGAGAGAGGCCGCACTGGTGCCGCAGAGCCCGACCCTGGCGAGATCACAGAGGAATAGGTGCGTCGGTTTACCGGGAATTTTCCTCGGGGTCGATCGAGCACTGCAGCGCTAGGCGGTCCCAGGAACAGCGGTGCGGCGGCCTTGAATCGACCACATACGCGGTAATGACGACACGAGTCCGACCCGGACATGCTCGAGCAGCAATGGAGCAGCGCGAATGGGATGCGAAAAGTGGCGGCGGAACTTGGGTCCAATGGCGTTCAGTCAGGGCGGACGATGCGATACGAGATAAACCAAAACGCACCGGTAAACCTTCGCTGGGACAGATTGGACGTGCGCAGACGGGTCCAGAGCGGATGCGGGTTCCGGCCGTGCACTCGAAGTATCGGACGTGCGACACGGGCATGTCACAAGGGAGGGAGACGCGGTCGGCTGGAGCACGCCTTCGTTGCCTCAGGGGAGGCTGCTCGGTATATCGAGGCCGCCACGCCTCGTTCGGGGGGACAAGACATGACGCCCACCGTTCGGATGAAATAATCGAGGCCCAGCGCCGAGTTCATGGGACATGTCCGCCTATGCAGTACCTATTATAACAGCGATAAATGGGGTCAGGGAGCATCAATTCGCGAAATGAGGGATCGTGGCGCATGGACGCACGTAAATCCGACCTTCACGCCGTCGTTCGGACGCTCTTCACTCGGTGGGGCGAGCGAGCCGTAGCCTGCCGCTGGATATGGACATTCTAGGCAACCGGTTTGCGTCTGTGGGGAAGGGTTAGCCTTCTGCGTAGATAGAGCGCCCATGGGTGGAGATGACTCCAAGGGGCACAAAAACACACCTTGCACGGTGCGAACGCGAAGAGTCTGCCGTCCGATCGGGGGTGTGCACGACGCACGTCTGTCTGCACATATCCGCCCCGGCATGCGTGCGGACTGAATGGGCCCGCAGCGCCAGGGCTGGATGGCCACATACGGCTCGCACGGCCCCAATCTGCGCTGTAATATAAATGCAAATACGTCAGGTTGAGAAATCGAACACGGCGGGTGGACACACGCGTTGGGACACGGCGCGAGAGCAGACTTCTGCAGGCGGCGGAACTCAGATGTACGCGATAGGCGTCGGCGCACGTCTAGAAGGACACGCCTCGAGAACCTAATGTCTATATCGAGCTGCGTGCAGGCGCAGAGCGCACTTCGGCCCCTGATCGGTATCGCTCCCTAGCTCGACACTGTGCAGGGCCCTGGCGTCCGCCCGCGCAGAGGGACGGAATGACAACTGCCAGCGAGGAGACTCAACTGCCCCCGCTCCTGGTCCGCGGTAGCGCGCGCACGTCTTCGCGAACGCGTTCCACACCTTATCGGTCGTCCGGCGTACGCGCGGTGAGGCCCACAGGGTCACCGCGCTTCGCAGGCCAACTTTTCGGAAACTGTGTGTGCGACGGCGGTAGTGCGTGCTGCATTCGAGGGTTTCGATGCCCCGACCGTGCGCGGACATCAGAGTGGTCTCTCGCACTTGTCACCCCGGCTCCCATGGCGGGCTGCACGCCATTCTTGATGAGCCCAGCCAACTGGTGAGTTTAGGCATCCGCGCCTGCGAGGCTATTCGTTTGATATGGAAAGCGAGAGCCAGATCGATAGGCGACACGTGTGTTACGGACGCGTGGAAGAGTCTACGTCGAGCGTCAGTGAATATAACGTTTACTCAAAGATGATTTAGTGCGACGTACCCAGGGTCGGTATACATACCGCACGGACTCGTGTGAGCGCCGCGCCCCCGGACAGCATACTCGTCATGGGATAGGCTGCGCATGCAAACGATGGGGGCAGAAGCGAAATCAAGGTTGGCTAGCTCGATGGTGCCCTCCCGTGCAGAGACAGCATCACGAGAACCGCACCGTCAACGGATGCAGAAACGCTGTCGCCAATGATGTGAGGCGATAGAAGGTTTGACTGATGGGACTGACCGCTGTCGTTCGAGTTCTGCTTCCAGAACAGAATATCCGTTGAGATAGGGGTGGACGCAGTGGGACGGCGCAGTCTGGTTATCCAGCCGTACATCCAGCATTGGCATGGGAAGCCAACGTTGTATTCTGAGAAATCGGAAGTCGATGGGAGAAGCACAGATCGGCGCGATGGTTCCTCGAGACCCCCGCCCGGTGCGCCTAGAGCGAAGGAAAGAGTCTGCGCTGGCAGGGCGGGTTGCCTGCGTGCCAGGCGAATGACGCTCAGGGTGCGCGTGCATGCGGTGGGTGGACGAGCAGCGTCTCGACCAGGCCGGAGGACGTTTCAACGTAGGCGGCAATCGGTGCATTAGCACTATAACCAGGTCACACGCTACGCGAGGGTTGAAGACGGTGCCGGAAGGCGTCTTTGAACCGCCATCTATCACTGGGCTATTGGAGACAAGAGGCACTGTGAGCTGGGCCTTGTAAGGATAAATGAGCATGATTTCCAAAGAACGCAAAAAGGGTGGCATACCTATACAGATGCTAATCAAATAGCTTCGCGGGAATATTTTCGTGATCACGACATTCTTGTTCTAACCCCAGGTGTCCGACCGACTCCGACGGCGTGGAGGACCACAGAGGCCGGCATCGAGATTCCTTTGTGGGCGCGTGCGAAAACCAAGCAAGCAGGTATCACATGGGGGGATATTGGGCGTGTTCGTGCATGTCGGAGGTGCGATGAAAATGGGAGGTAAAGGGAGAAAGTAAGAGAGACGTAAGGAATTGTAACGGTCCAAGTAGCCGTCAAAGGTTAACTTGGCTGAGTGTGATAAGCTGCATTTGCCGCTGGCCTCCCGCGCTCTGCTCGCACTCCCGCGCTTCCTCGCTTGGCCATTCGCAGTGCAGTGACAGACGCCCACCGCACTCAGCCTCCCATTTGCCTCCCATCATCAGATATCCACGCGGTGCGTTCACAGCCTGCTCGACGTATGGCCGACAATATGGTGCCTTCTGCGGCTTACCAGGCTAACGTGCATCAGGCAAGATCCTCGGACCTCCACATCGAAGACACGGACCCCAGCCGGCCGGCGCACGTCCGACGGTAGCGCCTGCCCAGTGCCCTGGTGGGCGACTGTCTACAGAGGACGAAGCGAAAACGTGGCACCGCAGGACCCTCGAGGCAGGAGAGCAATGGAACAAGAATCGTCACAGCGTCCGATAGAGCGTCTCCCGATAAATATGCATACGTCCCTGGCTGGGCGAGATATGTATGTCGTCCGCGCTATCTCCCCAGGCTGTCACGCACCCGCGCTCCCAGGCCCAGACTGGATGTCCTCAGCATCGAGGGTCAGATTGGGTTCAGATCCACAGAGAATTAGCATAGGACTGCCGCATCGTCAGGTGTACCACGCTAACCGCAATCCGCACACTCATATCTGCGTGCGGACCTGAAAGGGCCAGCCCGTTTCCCGTCTCCTCCTCGTTTGACGTCGCCCGGGGTAACCCCTGCAGGCTAGCTCTCCGTTGCTTCCCAAAACTCTATTTGGGAGGAGCGCTCATCCGTGCTCAGAAGAAAGTGTTCTTGCCGATACCTGCGCTTATCCTACAACAACGATCCTCATAAATACCTTACTCGGGTCTGCTGGGCTGCCCACCACCCCTCGCCTCCGCCCGCCCGCCCTGCCCCCATCCTCCAACCCGCCATGCCACGCCAGACCCCCACCTGCACCGGCATGCGCGTCCGCTCCGTGAGCGACGCGGAGAAGCTTCTCCACGCCGTCGCCACCGGCCTCCTTCCAATGGTCATGCACCGGCTCGCGGACGAAGACCGCCTCGCACTTGCTCCCGGCTGCATCTACGTCTGGGAGGAGCGTAGCTCCAATCCCCTCGAGGCCACCGGCCAGGAAATCCAACGCTTCACAGAAGGCCGCAGCTGGGGGCCCTCCCGCGCCCGGGACGTGAGTGCGGCTCTCTGCTCGTCTCCGCGCTCATTGGCTGACGGCCGGCATCGTGGCCAGAACTTCCTGATTTATTACGAGAAGGACAGTCCCGCGCGCTCTTCGATACTTCACCGAAAGAACGTCAGGCAGTGAGCATCACCCCTCTTCGCATTCAATGCCCATGGCCTCACACGCTTCGCTCTTCCAGTGCTCCCCAGTTCATCAAGCAGACGTACTCCGTGTTCATCGACTTCCCCAAGAACTCTAGAAAATGGCATCTGAGTGAGCGCGGTTCCGTATTCGGACCACCTTGTCCCTCATCTGATCGCCCTGCCCAGACGCCTACTACACGCAAGATTCACTAGAGGGTCTCGCGACCGTCGACGACTACCCCCTGCTCCGCAGCGTGCAGGTCCCGCCCAACAAGTACGTCTGCGCGCGCAACAACGGCGCGCGGCGGGGAACCCGCATGGGCGGCCCCGCGGAGCCTCTCATGCTCCCCATGGCGTCCGGCTCGATCGGGTCCGACCCCTCCCCTACTTTTTCTTCGAGCTCGAGCTCGTCGAGCAGCACGCGCTATTCGTCGCAGCCCCCCATCTCGCTCCCGCCCACACCGCCCGTCCCCCCGGCCGCACCGCTCCCCGCCGGCAGCGTGCTCGCGGAGCGTCGGCTCGCGCCCCTGGAGTACCTGCAGAACATTTCACCACGCGCGCGGGATCCGCTCGACGACGAGGCCCTGCGCCAATTCCAGTTCAACATGTCGCTCGCATAGCGCTCGTTCGCGCGCCCCCGCGACGGCCGGGTCGCTCGTACTTTCCAACTACTCCCGGACTCTGTCAATGCTGTGCAACGTCTCGCTATCTCCCGTCTTTCACTCGCTCTGAATGTCTCTCTGTACGTACTATGTGCTTGGACGGACCGGCGGCGGCGCCCTCCCATATTGTTGTGTTTGTATCCTGTATCCAGAACCCGAAGATGCCAACTGCCCTCCTTTCCCCTTTCCCGCGGACTCCCCGAAGGGATGTGTACATCACGTACGATACGCGTTCGCTAGTGTGTTGATTATGCAGCCCCGCCTTCTGCGCCCTCGCGACCACACAACACGCCGCGCGATCATCAGCCCACTTTCCGACGACGAAGGCGCGAAGCAGAGGGACGCGACCGGGCCTCAGCACACGCCCCAGCAGAACCCGTCGATATATATAATTAGCACTAAGCGAGGGCCGCCTTCGCCCGCGCGCGCAGCGCAGCGGCGCCGAGGGCACCAGCCCTCGAACGCTCCTCGCGAGCAGGTGCGCGTCTCGAACGATCGCCCCGAACGGTTCTCCCTCGAGCGGTAGGCGCGAGACAGCAGGTAGGCTCGGCGGGCCAGCGTTACCCCGGGCAATTCACAGGACGCGCCCGGACCGCGTACCTCCCGCCCCCTTCCACGCGTTCCCAGATTCCCCCATGTACGGCCAGGAGCGCGGGCGGCGGACGTAACAGGCCCGCGAGTGGGAGCTGACATCATTGGCTCGCGCAGGCGGGCCTAGGGGCGCCCAATCCCCGACGGATCCGTGTGCTTGTATATAGCAAGTGCGACGGTAGTGATCGATGTGCGCACGCCTCGGTGCGCGCACATGCTGCAGCGCAGCGTGCCCGTCCTGCAAGCTGCTCCGGGGATCCAGAAGGCGGATGGGGAGGAGCGCCGGCGAGAAAGAATGGACGGGTGGTCCAGACGCCTGGGACGCGCTGCTCGACGCTCATTCGACGCCCGCCCGTGCCCTTGCACGACCAGAAGCACTAAAAAATGTCCCGGGATAGTGTACAGGTGGTCGGCGCCCATGAGAAGGGACGCGCAGACAGCTGCCAAGGGCCGGCGCTAGGGCCGCCTTCTACCACTGAATTGGACGCGATGCGCCGTCCCCTGCGCCCACGCTCGACGTTGTCCAGGGCACGCGCAAGGCGCGCACCCTTCGGCGGCCCCCACCCGCAGACCAACTGGCCATGACACCTGAAGAGTCCGCCGGAGATCGCGCTCATTTCCAGCGGATGCGCGTACCCCATTACACCCCAGCGCCTCGATTCGCACGGGCCCTGTCACTGTGTCCTGCCTAGGCGCATTGGTGGGGCGCGCCAGTGCCACAGGGCCAAGAGTAGAGTTGGAGGCAACGACGGGGGCTCTGTCAGAAGCCTAAATGACGGGCTCAAGATCATTTTGATTGGTGCGTTTCCCCCCCGGCGGAACGCGATCATCGACGTGGGCATTAGGGGGGTTTGGGCGGTGCGTGCAGGCCTGTGAACCTGGCGGCGAGGGTGGGAGCGGGTGGCCAGAAGTTATATCCGCTTTCGGCTGCCATCGCACACACGCGCTGCGGGCGATGGGCGACTCGGGAAGAGGGTGAATATGACCGGAACGGGTGCGAGAACGCGTCGTCGCGCTGCCGTCGAGGCGTTGTCGAGGTCCGCGCATCGAGGCGCAGCGGGGCGGTTCTTGGCAGACTCGCAGTCGCGCGGCGAGGTCGAGCGAATCGCATTGCAACGGCGGGGGGAGCTTCGGCATCGGCTCGCGGGCGCTGCAGCCGCGGACGCCCATGTCGAGGAGCTCTGCATCATGCGCCGCGAGGACTGCTTGCCGGACATGAATCGGCCAGCGTTCAGCGAGCTCGAGGTCGGCCGGCGCGAAAGAACCTGACGGAACACGTCATGCTGCACGAGTCTGGGATCGTCCCTCGGAGAGGGGTGCTCTTGCTCCAACCCCGGGCGTTGGCTCCGTCGAGCGTAGCAGCTCTGCTACCAAACGCGGCGGAACCGGTTAGTAACAGCAAGCATGAGTCGCACGTGGTGGCACTAACCCTCGCCGTAAGGGAAACCGCTCTCCCCAGTCTGATGCAAGTGCGCCCACGCCCGTAGGAGAGGGTGCACCGTGCAGAACGCGAAGCATGGAGAGGAAGCCGGCCAATATCACGCGATTGCGCGCTGCCTCTGCTGCCGGCACACTCGACCAGCACCTGAGAGCGCATGCGAAGCAGAGCTGAATGCATCTCGCAGGGTCCACCAGCTCTTGACGTACAACCGAGGAGCCGCTGCCAGCATCGTGTAAGTAGGGTGAGTCCAGAGGGTGTTCGCTCGACCTCGACCCGCTCGTCTCCGCGCCACGTGCAGTCGCCACCGGTGTGGATGCTTCAGCCGCTTCGAGAAGGCCTCCAGTGGGCCTGGCACTTCAATGAGAAGTTCGGAACCCTAAGGGGTGCGTGGCGGGTTGCTGTAAACCCTCGTCAATATGTGTAGCACCCTCCTCCGAGAGGGCAGTCGAATTGGACGCACCGTTCAAGTTTGATCGTACTTGCGAACTTAGACAAACAACATCGGTATTGCACAGGAAATGAAATCGATCGATTCGGAGTCTGAAGCAGCCGCCGCGGGGCACATAGCACCTTAGCCATCAGGCTATCGGGAGCCGCGGGGTCGGCGGCGAATGGAGAATTGATCGATATGTAACTGTGGGACAAATGTGGACGCACACTTGTTGTCATTTAGGGAGAACAATGCGGTCAACGAAATTTGGCAAGTCCGCCGTCACCTATCACGGCAGCGCGGTCTTGTTCTGGCATATGCTGATCGATCGCCACAGACTGTCGACGGCTGGGCGAAGGGAGTGCCTACAAACGGGGTCTGCCAGTGGGAAGCGTTCGGGATTGAATAGAGGCGAATGAGGGCCGTCTCGTCTCCGCCCATGCATCCCGCAAGTTGGCCCTCAGAATGAAGAGGTCAGCCGGGGATTCGCCTGCACGCCAGGGGCTGCGCGGCCGACCTACCGCGATCACGCTGAACGGCCGTTCTGGCCTTGAGCCGCGAGCCTCGAGAAGGAAGTTTCTGCGACCGGGCGATGTCGCGAAGGTGCTCGCCAGACGTCTAGCGTGCGCCGTGGGCGCACCGCGAACGTCCGATGGCACCACGAAGCGGCCGGGAAGGGTCCTACCCTGGGACGAACTCGCCAGGAGTGTGCACCTGCGCCCTGGAATTGTGCCGCACCCCCCTCCTGCACTGCGCCCCGATCGGCCCGTCGTAATCTAGGAATGTTTGAATTGACAAATGCAGAGGGCGAGGCGAAACGAGCACCTCAAAGAATCCGCGCGCGCACGCCAGGCAGCCTGACGTGCGGTACTTCTCCCGGCCAGCCCGGTCAGGAAGCATCACGAGTGCGATGAGGTGGTATAGCTGCCGGCGGGAACTTGTAGCCCTATCTCGATGACAGGAATGCACTTGATAGGCGAGACATGAGAGGTACTGAGGCGGCCGCTTTGACATCGGACATCGCGCGCCCAACACATGCGATGAAGGTTTTGGGTGCAGGGTCGGAATTTGCGCCCGAGGCGAGACCCGCTTGGTAGGCCGATGTAAAGGCGTATTTGGAATACCGCAGCGTTTAAATCGCTTGCTAGTGTGGGTGTGTGGTATTTTTGACGCGCCGGCTATCCCGGAGACCCTGCCGACGCGCGTGGACCCATATACAGTGCATGATCAGTACCTCAAGGGGACGTCTGACTGACGTGAATACGACCGCAGAGTCCACATCGTAACCGCATCCAACCGGGAGGTAGAGTTACGCCGAGGGTTCGTGCTGGCGAGATACAAATGATTAGAGGGCTCGGCAGCTGTTCAAGACCGCAGTGGGCAGGAAGATGTTGGACGAACCTTGAGTTCTGGGGTTAGGCCCGGGTTCTTGGCGTGGGCGTTATCACTTAGAGCGGAAACATTTAACTGCACAACGCCTGGGAGTGTTCTCTTCGCGTATCCAGCAGCGTCCGGGTGTCCTGGTCTCCCGTATGTGGTATGTGGAAATCCCAAGGAGGGACGTCTCGACGACGCGGAAGGTGCTTACCGAAGATGGGTTCCCTCTGATCTCTCCGTTCGGTCCGAGCTAGAGTGAATGCGGAATAGGCACGTTCGCCAGGTCTTCCGCATCCGAGTCATGGGTGCGTCGACCGGATGCAGCGGCAGCGGGCGGTGAGATATGTACGGCATGACCGCAACATGACGACAACGATACAACGGTAGTATTGGCCACGCCCGACCTCCTTGCACCGGCACCCCAGCCGTCGTAGGAGGGGAATGAAGTCCAAGCCACTTGGCGGGGCGGAGGGCTTGAGGTAGAGCGTGACTGGTCTGTGGGGGGTGGCAAGGAAAGACGTGCTCGAAAGTCGCGGCCGGAAAAATGTGGGAGAGACGAGGAAAACACCGCAACATACGCCCGTCAGCTACAACGCCGCTGTAGCCCCTTACAACAGAGAGTAGAACGCGACAACCGCTCCTCAGCGGCGCCATGCATGAGACCAGAGTTTACACGGTAAGGGGAGACGTCGTGGCCGTGGAACGGGACACTGAGGACGGACGATTGCGCGCGGCGGGGGACAAGTACACCAGAGCAGCGCAAATACGGTGTGGTGATGGTGTGCGAGTGAGGGGTGGCCAGTACAGGGTGTTGTCGCAGAAAGAATAGAACACGACAGCGACCACCGCGCGACGTACGCGGCCTAAGTTTCGAGCGCGTTCGCCGTCGTGGCCTTGTTCCGTAGCGGCCGAATGACGGCAAAGCGCCGCTAGGATCGCACTGCTCCCAGGTTCACGCGTGTGGCGCTTCGGGTCGCGATGGATCCCCACTACAACCGCCACCTCCCCTTACTATCTTTTCCGCGCCGTCGCTGCTTCAATCGCACCGCTAGGTCCCAAGCTCATTCCATGCAGCTCGAATAGTCGTCAGCGGCGGAATATTGGGCGGCAGGAACGCGATGGGTGGGGGCCGATGGCTTTGGAAGCCGCCAGAAGCCTGGGACAGTTGCCGAGAGGCCGCTGGAAGCTGGGCGAAGTTGTCCCGGCCAGTCCTGTTCGACTCTGCAACGGCATGGTGAATTTCGCCATGAGCATATCCCACTCGCACCTGCGCCCTCCCCGCGGTCTTCGTCTCTTCCCCTCCCCTTGCTACTCGACGGCCGCGGTGTTGGCTGCGACCTGCCTTTAATGGCGCATCCGCCGACCGATTTCAATAAACATAGCCGAGCGAACCTCTTGCTTCGACCACGACAGGAGAACATGAGGTACACGAATTGAGACCCATGGTCTACACGGTGAGTGCTCAGAAGTCACCGCCAGAAGGCGGCCTTAATTATAATCCGTAGGGGACCAATGCCGTCCCAAGACGAGCAGGCTTTGGTTCCAGGGTTCCGGCGGAGCACGGGCGTATGGGATGCTGCTGGCCCTCCCGCGACGATCGTGTCCGAGTCCGCCGCAGCTCGAGTGAAGCATGAGCCCGGGCCTGCAAGGCGACCTTCACCCCTTCCTGCCGTCGTAGTGGCCCACGGTGAAGTTACTTGCGACCCCCCTCCCGCTGCATCATGCGTTGACGTGACCAGCAGTGTCGAGCAATGGTCGTCCGATACCCACTCGTGCCATCTCGTGCATGACTCTCACCATTCCTTTGGACGCTGGACGCCGCGCCGCTTCCGGCGGTTGCAATACTCGGAGAGCCTCGGGTCACGGACGTAGCTTTCCTACTGGTGACGGTTTAGTTCATGGGCGTCAACAAGGATCGTACTTGTGTATTGTGTTTTCTGAAAAGTTATCAAAATGTGAGCATGCCAATTCGTCATCCTTCTCCAGCCTGAGCCGCAACCGTAGTTACTCACCACGCGGTGAAATCTCATAGCGATATTTTCAAGAGGCCTATGCACAATCATGTGCCTCTCCAGAGCAGGAAAGAACAAATTGTATGTGCTATGCTTTCCCCCTGTAAAAGAGACAGCATCGGTGCTTACCAGTACAAAGCCGCTTCAGGTCTCTGGTGGATACCACTCGTTGACATAGCAAGCGGTACTACATCGGTGCCGCTATGTGACCGAGAGCCTTGGTTTTTATCGTTGGCACCGCATCCGTCGTTTCGGCTCTGAGCAAGGCTTAAGAGTAGGTCGACGAGATCTCCGCTGATTGCACAACTCAGACGCAGGCGATACAAGGGGAAGCACAGGGTGTCGTGGTGTCATAGTCGAGGACCAAGGATGTCGGATGGCAGCCATCTTCCATCCATCCACACCGCTCATGTGTGCCACGCCGTCCAACGACCGGGGCGGGCAACGGCGGAGACTAAAAGGAGCGCCGCGAGGCGGGGGATCCACCGGCGGCCTCTCCTGCCGAAGCCTACCACTCACCGGCACTCGACATTCGCACATCTCCCACTGTGTGAGCCACATTACTTTTATAAGATTGACTGCCTGGCTACCTCGACTGGACAGAGAGATTGCATCCCGCGACCAAGGATGTGGTCTGAGGCAGCGCCTCGGCTGTGCCACGGCGGGATTTTGAGATCCAGCGGGCGCACTCCGATTGTTCCTCCGACACCGTACCGCCGCTACCGCACTCTTTTTCGACGGACTCGTAGCGGGTTGCCACGGTCGGTTAGCTGTGTTATTCATTGACCACCACTATGGGTCCTCTGCATGATGCGTTTACTACCGTTTAGACTTGGCCCGGGGTTCGAAGCCATACCGGCGATGACGACACATATGTACAACTCGCCAACGGGTGGAACTAGCAGCAAATTTACACCCACGCGAAGGCAGGCAATGCGAACCTAGGATGTCATCCGTACGAATCTATCTGTGTGCTCGTACCAATGCCATTCCGAATTCACCGATCTCGTTCCACCGTGGACCATCGTTAGATGATAGCGTTCGTTCACCCATCGGAGGTCCTCATTGCCCGGCATCGTCAGGTGGTACGCTCAACATCGTGCGCGCGCAGCCACGCGCTGTAGGTGCACCTGAATGAAAGAAAATTGAGTACACCGTTCGAGACTGCTGCGCTTGAGGATGGCGGTGAGGAAGCGCCCATAACTATACAGCGATTTCCCACGGGGTCAATGAATTGATATTAGTTTCGGCCGGGCCCGTCCTAGCGGCGTAACCGTTGGCGCTGCATTGCTGGGCGAGAGCGGACGTGTCAAGCTATACAACCTCTACCTCCATCCTCCGTCTCTGTTCCTCCTCCCATCTCCTCCGTAGCCCCTCATCTCACACAGCGACTCACCGATGTCCGTCTCCGCGTCGTCCCAACCTGCCGCGCAGGCGGCCGGCGGGCCCCAGATCGAGTACATGTTCAAGCAGATCATGGACGCCGTGCACAAGTCGGTCAGTGCGGTCCTCCATTTGCGCTTCTCCCGGACACCGCTAACGCAGGAGCGAGTAGCAAATTGAGATCTCGGAGCTTCGTTCCGAGTGCCACGAACTCCGTCAAGCAAATGCGAGCCTTGAACGCCAGGTTCGGGAGGGCATCCAGGTGAGAACACCGTTCAGTCATCGCGCGCATCCCTTCGTACCCTGCACGCCACGTCGCACATCAACACCGCGTCTCTCCGTGAACGTCATGCGCGCGGTGTGCCTGCGGCGACCTTCCTCCGACGTGATCCACGCCGCACTGTCTCCGAGGTTCAATAGCGTGGCATGGGTCATGTAGAACCACGTCGGGCGTACGTCCCCGCAGTAGGCGTGGCGCGTTCGGCCTGGGCAGCACATACAGAATGCGCGGGGGTCGGATGCACCGCAGCATGTGCACAGGGCCTCCGCAGCTGGTGATATTTTCCAAGAGGCCGTGTAGCGGAACCCATATCCAACCCCAGACCCGGGCGAGGCGCCTCGCCAAATACCTCCGCACTTTGCACGACTTCGCGACCTTCGAGAGGTCTTCCACGTTCAACATGACGTTATTCCGCATGCTCCTCTGTATTTGTGCGGCCAGTGCAGACGTACTGACGAACTCTCCAGAGTAACAACAACAGGCTTGGAACGCCTGGCTTCACCACGCCCGCCCCCGGAAGCCCTCAGCTTCGTGCGAAATCGCCATTCCTGACCCCGGGTGCCATCACCTCCCTTGCTGTTCCTCCCAGCATCTACGTGCCATCTCCGCTCAGTGACCACAACCTTACCCAGTTTCCCTTCGGCGTACGAGAGATCCCTGGCTTCTGGGTTGTCATTCCAGCTGGTGGCGCCGGCACGCGCCTGTGGCCACTCTCCCGCGAGGGCCACCCGAAGTTCCTGCTCGACCTTACTCTCAAGGGAAGGTCGCTCATCCAGGCTACCTGGGATCGTCTCCTTCCCCTCTCCTCCGCCTCGCGGACGGCGATTGTAGCCGGCCCTGCACATGTTACGAGCATCAAGGAGCAGCTCCCTGATCTGCTCGCACACAACTTGATCTGTGAGCCGAGCGCGAAGGACTCGATGGCCGCCATCGGTCTTGCGGCGGCTGTTCTGGCTGTCCGCGACCCGAACGCCATCATTGGCTCCTTCGCCGCCGACCACATGATTTCCGGTGATGATGCTTTCCTCGCCGCTGTGGCTGAAGCCGTTGAGGTCGCGAAGAAGGACTACCTCGTCACCATCGGTATCGCGCCCTCGCACCCCTCCACCGGTTTCGGATACGTTCGTCTGGGCGAGAAGCTCGCGTTCCAGGACGCGCCGAATGCGCGGCTCGTGTCGAGTTTCAAGGAGAAGCCAGACGCACGGACTGCCGCGGCGTACATCAAGACGGGAAACTACCGCTGGAACGCGGGTATGTTCGTGGTGAAGGCGACGTTCCTCATGGACCTCCTGAAGGAGTACAAGCCCGAGCTGCACGAAGGCCTGCAGAAGATCGCGCTCGCGTGGGACGACGAGGCGCTCCGCGCGAAGGTGCTTGAGGAGGTCTGGCCCGGGCTTGAGAAGATCGCCATTGACAATGCGGTTGCGGAGCCCGCGGCGATGGATCGCAGGGTTGCAGTCGTGCCCGCCACGTTCGGTGAGTAACCCACCTCTCTCTCCGTCCTTCCGTGGGGCGTGGACGTCTGCTGATCTGCTGTTCGGCTCCCAGGCTGGGACGACGTTGGAGACTTCTCATCGCTCGCGGACCTCTTGCCCGCCGAGAGCAACCAGCCGCGCATCCTCGGCGACAGCGGTCTTGGTATGTGCCCCTCTGCTGATTGGGGTGGTTTGCAAGTGACTGACCTGTTTGATGCAGTTGTTACGGAGCAGGCCGCTGGCGGTATTGTTGTCCCTGGTTCAGGCAGGCTCGTATCTCTTCTCGGTGTGGACGATCTGGTTATCGTTGACATGCCCGATACCCTGCTGGTCACCACCCGCGCTCGCTCGCAGGAGGTGAAGCGGCTCGTGAAGAAGTGTCGCGAGGCCGGCTGGAAGCAGCTGCTGTAAACCGAGCCCTCCTCGACGCGCCTCCCCGCCGCCATGGCTATTGGCTGGGCGGCGTCGGGCAACGCACGGCGCGCATGTGTTTGTGTGATGTTATGGACAATGATGGCAAGGACAGGTGCACGATTTCTTGGTTGGGCGCGGTGGGAGCGGCGTAATGAACTACGAACTACTAAAGATATCCGGAGACAGACAGTCGCTATATCCCACAGCGAGCACGTATATTATTACCCTGGACTTCGCTATCATTATGTCGTCCCGTAATCCACAGTCTACCCTCAGTAGTACAACTCTTATTTATCACGGTGTGCTTGCCTGAATAGCGTCCACGATGGGCGATCCTTGCTATGTATATTCCGATGACTCCGCCTCCTCGCATGCTCCCCGGACTTCGCTGTCGCGATGTATGTTTCCGCTCGACATGCTCCAATACGAGGATGGTCTTCTAATGACTGTACATGGTTGGTGGACAACAAACCGCGCGGAGACTGCCTACAGCGGCATTCATATCGATAGACCGCCGCGAATTTCTTGCCCTCATGGAGCGTGGAGCACCGGCAAGCCCAATACCAAACGCGGCAGCTTCACTCCGGCGCTGGAGCCTGTCCCCTTGCAGGAGCCTTACCACGACTCAACGCAGGTATGGTCTCTCAAACGTTCGAGAACCCTTCAAAACAACAGGTTATGTGCAGAAGATCATTTCGAGAAATATAAAACCCTAGTGAGGGCGGTGAGCCCTTCTGGAGGTCATTACGCCCGAACCTGCGGTGGCGGAACGCAAGCGAGACGGTGCGAGACGGTGGTGCGGCGTGATACGCGGTGCGTCGAACTTCCGTATTTGGAGGCCTCGCTCCACAGATCCCTGAGCAAAGTAAATTGGCGGCGGTCTATCGATATGAATGCCGCTGTAAAGTTGGACACAGTGTTCCTACTGTTATCTGTAAAACATTGTTGCCGCCGGCCCGCCACGCTAGTGTTCTCCCGCTGGCACCGCAGCTGGCAGCATGACACGCGCGATCTGGCCCACAACGGCATCCAATGGGCAGGTTGGTCAGCGCAGGCGGCAGCTGACTCGGCGTAGGCGTGTATATGTGCGGGCGCGATTGCCTCACTCCCACAGCGGACTGTATGGGCTCGTACGCGCGCGATAAGCGACGCGCTGTGCAGCCTCAAGAACGTCGAGCGCGTCGGGGCGCGCGCGGCAGAGTCGGGATTCGTCATTGGGCCCGAGGATGGTGACAACGTACGCGCTTGATGGCTTGGCCTCCCTCTGTCCTTTTGTGGGCGGCGCACCGAGTCGACTCGCCCAAAAACGGCGGGTGGAGAATTGTTCCGGGTGGGGAGGGCCAGGGCAGACATCGGCATCGATGAATAGGGGATCTGCCCCGATCGGCACACTCACTTTTTCTCCGCGCGGAGGAGCACCCACGGTCGAACGTTGTCCTCTCTCCCTCGTCCGCGTAGACCGCTGTTTTTTCCTCGCTCGATAGGACGGCCATAGGGGTGATAGGCGGACGAAGTGGGGGAGGTTGGAGGTGGACGACGTCAAGCGGCGGGCCGCGGCGGGCGGAGTGTGGCATTGTGTGGCGCTCGGGCGCTCGGTGTGGACGGGCGTCTGTTGGTACCTGCAGAAGCCGGAACGCAGAACCCGAGACCCTTAGTAATTTGCGGTGGGCGGAGTAGATAGAGATAGCACGTACTCCTTCCTACCACCATCATCCCCGCACGTTCTGCTCTCTCTCGCTCTCAGGGACCTCTACACGGTCGCAGTCCGGCGCTGCTCTCGGTATGACACAAAGCACACATTGTCCAGGCGTGGGCGACGCTGACTCTCAAGCGCAGCCTACCCGCCCATTTTCAGTGCATACTACTATAGCGGTGCTCCCACGAAGCACGCCAATCCACGCAAACGATGGCACCATCCAACCTCCAAGGCCTCAACATCGTCCACCCCGTTCAGCCGCCGAATCCATACCTCTCAGACGCCGACCTCCTCTCCGTCGCACCCTTCCCCGACTTGAACGCCCAACTCGACCTATGGACAAACCTTAACTTCCAATCGGACGAACCTCTCGTCTCACACCGCGCTAGCGAGAGCGTGCACAAGAACAGCCTTGATGGCAAGCGTGGCCTTCTGGACGAGAGCACCGAGGAGGACTCCGAACGCTACCATGAGCACGACGAAGAGCTGCAGCGCAGTGGCATTGCCGAGACGCAGGCGCACGAGAATGTGGTGATGGGAACCGTCCTCCCCCCGACCGGCTCTATCCACTCTGGTCAGCCCTCTGTGGGCGATTCGTCCGCGGGCCAGCTCCCGCCGTTCGACCTGAACAGCATCCTTGCGGGCTTCGGAATCGACCCGTTCATGATCCCCCCCGCGCCCGCGCCCCAGGCCGCGCTGCCCTCTCACCCCGCGAACACGATCGCCCAGCTGCTCTCCATGCACGCCACGTTCCGCCCGGGCACCCAACCCCTGTCCCCTCCCGCGTCTGTCCAGTCTTCGCAGTCGCAGGCGCCTAGCCCCGCCGCCGCCACTACGAAGCGGGCACGCACCGCACGCAACTCTATCTCCTCGCCGTCCGACGCCTCCCAGGCTGGCAGCCCTGTGGACGGCAGCGAGGACAAGCCCGGTGTCCCGGCCACGGAGGACAAGCGTCGCAGAAACACCGCCGCGTCCGCGCGGTTCCGGCTCAAGAAGAAGGAGCGCGAGGCCGCGCTCGAGCGCAAGGCGAAGGAGCTCGAGGTCCGCGTCGGCGAGCTCGAGAAGGAGTGCGAGGCGCTCCGGCGGGAGAACGGTTGGCTGAAGGGCCTCGTCGTCGGCGTCACCGGGGCGGGGGCGGTCCAGCAGCAGCAAATGCAGCTCCCCTCTCCGCCCGCGGCCGAAAACACGTCGGTGGGCGTCAAGCGCACCCGCGACGACGACGGGCAGTGATATGCAGTGGGTGTCCGAGTCTGTCTTCCGCCGCCGTGGTGCTCTTTGGGCCGCTTGTGTCTTTTTGATTGCGATTTATTGATTTCTCATCGGCGCTGCGCACACGTTAGGTGTCCGCGGTCGTGTATATCAATTCCCTCCTTCGCGCTTGCCACCCTTCTCCCCACCTTCTCTTCTTGTCCGTTCCGTAGTAGTGTACTCCCGGTAATGGAGGGCCGAAGGACAGCAGCGCAGCGGGGGCGCAGAGAAGTACCAAGCAATGTATCCCTTAGAAACCTTTCCCTCTCTCCTCACCTCACGTCGTCTCATCACTCAATTGTGTGCCGGCCGGCACAATTGCATATGTGCCGCTCATAATACGAAACGATCTGCTTCCCCCAATTTTAGGCTGTCTGACAGGAAAGCCCGCGACACTGCCGCTGTGGAAGCTAGCAAAGTAACTCGCGATCATTTCATTTCATCAACGGCCACGGCGGAGGTAAACACTAATAGCGGTTTACACGACGTGTCAACCCGACGCCCGAGGAGCACATACTCGGAGCTCCCCCTACACACGGGCGTCCACATGGACATGAGATGTCAGAAGCCGCGAACGGGCCCCCGCCGGGACCAGAAGCGGTCCCGACGCGGGTTCTGGTGAACGAATGCGTGCCTCGTGCAGCACGGAGCATGAATGTGCAGCACGAGCCCCAGCGAGCAGCGGAATTGTGCTTCGGGCGCGACGGGCTCCTGGAGGCCCGCAACCGAGGGAGGCGTGCAGGTACCGTGCGCTGTCGATTAGCACGCACATCCCATCGCGGTGCATCGACATCATGCACCGAAGCACGAAGCACGGGCGGTGGGCGGTGGCGACAAGCTTAACAGCTGCTAGAAGTGCGCCGGGGCCCGATGCGGGGGCGGGGGACGTCAGTGTGTGTCCGCGCTGAGATGAGCCTGGGAAGCGTGCAGGGTCTATGCGGGCGCAGATCAGCCAGGAACTGGGGGCTAGGAACGCTCCCGCGCGCTCGCTGGGGTGCTGGGTTGGTGCGATGGCTGGGAGCGGCAGGGCGCACCAGGAGGGACCTCGGGGGACGATCTGAGCGGGGCAGGCGGTGAGGTACGTGGGGGCTCCTCGGGCTTGTCCTCGCTCTTGCGGAGATTTGGGACGTCTCTCCAGCCGCGGTGGCACGCTGGAAGCTGAACGTCGCCTAGCACTGGCCGAGTGACTACTGGGCAGGCCGTCAGAGGGCTGCGCTAGCGTGCGTGCGCACAGAGTTAATCGGTGACAGCGATGACGGCAGGCATGGAGGGTGCCCGCTGCGTACGTACGCGTCGCCCGATCCTGCGAAGCCGCCGTCGAGACGAGGGGGGAGGGGCGGCGCGGGGCGAGGCGAGGATCCGTCGCGCGAGCTTGCTGGACAGCTGCTGTTCAGGCGTCCGAGGGAGGGGAATCGGGCTCGGGGGGTTGTGCGGCGCGATGCTCGCCCATCGTGATGAGGCACGGCGGCGCGTCGACGCGCATCGCTCATCGCACCCGAGCGGGGGGGCTTCTAGCGCAGTGCGGATGCGCCACCGTTCTCACCGAGCGGGAGCCCGCGAGGGAGGAGGTGTTTCGCGGGAGGGCGATGATAACGTAGAGAGTATAGGAATGCCTGGTGCTTACGTAGAGCCTGCTCCAGACGCATGTCGCGGTAAAACAGAGGGACCGCAAGTCTACGAGACATCCAGACTGCGTCTTCAGAGTTTCATGTCTAGTGTCGTCGAGGTTGCCGCGCTTGTGAAGATGTTACCGCACGACATGGCGCAAATTCGGGCAAGCCTGGCCTGCGCATTCTCTGCACATCGTGACATTGTTCTGCTCCGCTGTGAGGGTTCCGAAAGCTAGGATGACCATCGATTCTGTGTGCAAGGGAGCGAGATGATGAGTGAGAAGTGTGGCGGATTAGCGAATGAGCGTACTTACCAAGTCGAGATGTGGCGTTGTAAGCGGAGTGTATTATTGATGGAGGCGCTGACTAAGCCCATGTTAGCGCCTTCAGCCACCGCGACTCACAGTGTGGCACAGCACGAAAGCTTGCACTCGGACCAACTCTCTCGTGTACTCTCTTCACCTCGTCGCTCTTGCTGCTTGAGCGACCTACAATGGCCTCTACTGAGAATGTAACCGTGCCGTTCTTCAAGAAGAAGGGACGCGGACGCCCTGCTACTACCCGCAAGCGGTCGGAGTCTCCACCGGCCAGTGCGCTCACCGCACCCGTTCCGTCCTCCTCAAAGTCCGCAGTAGTCCTCCCCTCGCGCAAGGCAGCAGGAAACCTCCTGAGCGCCGGATCAAAACGCACCATATCTCAGCGGGAGCAGGATGACCTAGAGGATGAGGAGCACAAGCGCGACGGGCCGGACGTCAAGTGGACGGCGGACGGCTCGCACATGGGCGCTGCGCTCGAGATCCTGCAAGGCGACGAAGCGGCGGAGCTGCTTGCGAAGCGGCGGCGGAGCGAGCGCAAGGACGAGGACGAGGAGGAGATGCCCGACGACGGCATGTACCACGGGCAGAAGGGGTACCAGACGCACATCAAGAAGGACAAGGAGATACCGAAGGCTATGCGGGTCGGGCCGCAGCGGTCGAACAACAGCACGATCCGCACCGTCACGATCGTCGACTACCAGCCCGACGTGTGCAAGGACTACAAAGGTGCGTCCGCCCTGCGTGCGAGCCCGCCCGAGTCTGCTGACGCGCCGCATAGAGACCGGCTATTGCGGGTACGGAGATACGTGCAAATTCCTGCACGATCGTGGCACCTGTGAGTCTCTCGTTGACCGGCGAACATATAACGGTCGCTGACGCGTTTAATGCTATGTAGATTTGCAGGGTTGGCAGTTGGACAAACTGGCCGCGAACCCGAAGAAACAGGCCGAGGAGGAGTCGGATACGGACTCCGACGAGGACATCCCGTTTGCGTGTATCCTCTGCCGCAAGTCGTACACCGATCCGGTTGTCACCCGCTGTGGGCACTACTTCTGCTCGAAGTGCGCGATAAAGCGGTTCGCCAAGACTCCGAAATGCGCGGCCTGCGGGTCGCCGACGGGGGGAATATTCAACCGTGCCGACAAAGTCATCGCGAAACTGAAGAAGAAAAAGGAGGATGAGGATGCCGACGAGCAGGAACGCGAGGAGGGTGGGAGCACAGCGGCTGGCGGAGTGCAAATCGAGGGCCTTGCCGGGCAGAAAGACGGCGCTGGCAGCGACGAGGACGATGATAGCGACTAGGCTTCGCACTCCGCACCGTTCCCTGGACTGAACGGCATGTTGTGGAACCCGTTGCGCTGTTGTACGTGAATTGTATGTGATACCTCCGGCCCTGGATTCCTGACGGGGCGAATGTACAGTACAGGCTATGGAGTGTCCGCGTTTGCGCTGCAATCTGCCCACGACGTCGTGTTCTGCATCTGTGTGAGGCGGACAGGAATCGTTTGAACGGATGGATCGGTCGCCGTTGCGCAGCTGACGACGGCGACGGGCGACCGGTATGCTCGCCTTCTTCGGCTGAGGCGAGCAAGGTTTGTGTTGTGAAGGGCGTGATTCACGTATGTGCCATGCGACTCCTTTCAGGAAGCTCCCAAGTAAAGGCCGGACGCCGGTGAGCATTACGTCCTGTCAGCCTCATCAGGTTACAGAATGAAATCAGTCCGGCTTCCATCGCCTTGCCGGGCACCAACTCCCTTCTCCAGCCACGCGCGACCAGCTGGACACACAACCCTCGCAGTCCTCTTCCTATATACGCTCCGAAGGGGATGGCTGGGGTCGTCCCCGCGCCTTCTCCGCTCCTATCAGCTCCGATGCCACGCGTTCGTGTGTACGTATCCGTCGACCCAGAAGCGACCCGAGGCCACCGTGGATCTTTCGGATACCCACAAAATGCATGAATGGTCTCGTACAGGCGTGATTTCAATCCCACGCCCGCACACGTACCGAGCATGGGGTCAGCATGACCCGCGGGACTTGTGCGCGCCCATACAATGATGATGTCTCGATGACGCGCCTGGAGACTTCCGCAGAGACACGTACATTGTGCGCCCGTCCCCGATGGGTCGCCCCTCTACCCTGTGCGGCGAGTACTAAATCGCTATGCTATCTAGGAGTCAATCACACCTATCGATTCTAGGTGACCTTTGGTCTCATTGCGTCCGGCGTGCCTTTTTGACGCACCCGCACCCGAGCAAGCCTCCCTGGTTCGCGCCGCGAATGGCTTCATGTCGCGATCCAGACGGCTCAGATGACCGCCCGTCCCGTCGCGCGCCCCTCCTGGCCCGAGACCCGCCGTGCGTGTCGGGGTGGAAGAGCCGAGTCATGCGCCTCGCGTGAAGCGACAACGCGGCGGACGCTCGCAGCCCGCCGGGGACGCATCTGGCAGACAGCCTACTCGACGCATCCTTGTTCGAGCGGGAGACGCGCCGTTGCCGGGTCGACTAGCCTCGGCAGCACGTGTGGCGCTGGGAACGGCGGCTCGGGCGGGCAGCTGCGCTTCCATCCGCGCGCACGCCCTGCGACTCCCTGTGCGAACCTCCGCCGTTCTTCGGATGGGGCGGGGCGTCCCAGGCGCATGTGTGCATGGCTTGCGAGCCGGGAGGCACACGATGACGAGCGTGTCCTCCCGCGCATCGGTGATGGAATCGCGATAGGCGAGAAGGCTCGAGAGCCGTATCTGCGAAGCTAGATGAACGGGGACCGCACAGCACCCCGTCCCCTGGGAGCCTCTCAAGCCTCCGAGCGTGTGGGACAGCCGCGGTGCACATCCTCGTAGGGTGCTTTCTGCGCAGGGCCGCGCACGCACTGCGGCATGCGTCGGGCGTACGTACGCGCGCCGCGGTCGAGCGAGCTCGCCAAATGCATCGCAGGATGCGGATCGTGCACCCCGTCCACCAGCCGGCGGCACGATCCCCGGGCCACTGTAACAGGGACGTACGTGCGAAGCGCACATCCCTCGCGTTCTTCACCCGCGATCCGAATCGGGCCATGCGTGTTGCACCAGCCCATCTGTGGTGGGGGGCCCCAATCTCGATGCGTATGGACAGGGCGCGCACCGCCCGGACGGGCGTGCCACGCGAACTAGGCGGGTCGTCCACTCCGCTGCCGGCAGGACGGGATGGCATCGTAATGCTGGCCTCCAGAGATGGAGATGGGCGTCGTGCACCTGCCTGCGGCCTGCGGACGCGACGGCATGCTTCTGGTGGGGACCACCGCGGCGCACCGCGCAATCTTGATGCCGTCGAGGTGTCGACCTGCGCTTTCCATTAATCTCACTCGGTCGTCTTCCATTCCACGTCGCCCGCGCGCTGCAGCGCGGGGAGCGACTTCCCAAAGTGCACTGAGTGTAGGCTGCATATCGCGTCGGAGTCGGAGTCGGCGCAGCGGGACGGACGGGCTGTCCCGCGCGTACGTCAACGCACGAAGAAGAAGCGGAGGCGGGTGTGCGATCATATTAAGGTAGCTGCTAAGTACAGACGGTAGCCGAAGAGGGTTCCAGGATTATATCGAAGCTGAGCACGCTGCAGGGAGGTATAGTACGACGAGAAAGGAAAGCACGCGCGGACAATGTGACTACGGGAGGCAGGGATGGGCTATATGGTCTGGTCTAGTGCAGTGGTCCGTCAAGATGGGAAGCGTGGAGAGAGGGGCGGCGCGGGGAACCATCGAACGAATACGGGGCTGTAGCGGAAGGTGCGGCAAGTGCACGACACCGCGCGTGTCGGCGTGCGCGGGCGGCCGCGCGCTCACGACTGGAAGCTGGGGTCTTTCTCGCACCCGTTGTCTATGTGTCGCTTGAGCGAGTCGTTCCGGCTGAAGCACTTGTGGCAATAGCGGCACTCGTGGTGCGTTTGCAGGTGCGCGCTCTCGTAGTGCCGCTTCTTGTCGTGTGCCCGCCCGAACGACTTGTTGCACTTGTCGCAGTAGAACCGCTCGGTCGGCGTCGCCCCGCCCGACGCGGGCGGAATGGACGCGACAACGGGCCCGGGACCCCCAGGCGACGAGGAGCCCGAGGAGTACCGGTGCGCGTGGTACGTCTGCGCGGCCTGCGCGGGCGTCGGGATGAGCTGCGGCTGCGTCGAGTGCGTCGCGTGCGCGAGCGACGGGTGCTGCTGCGCGCCGTGTCGGGCGGGCGGGAACGACGCGGAGGACGACAGGCCGAGGCCGCGGCCATAGTGGGGCGGAGAGCGCGAGGACGCCGAGTGCGTGTGCCCCCAGCTGTTCCGCGCCGCGGCGGCCCCTCCCGCGGGTGCGGAGCGCGACGTGCTGAACGGCTCGTGCAACGTGGGACCTGTCAAGGAGAGCCGCGTCGATGAGGACAAACCGGATCACGAGCATAGCGGGCAACCAACCTATGGAAGGCATGTAACCGCCCTGGGGCGGGCTCCCGTCGTACCGAGTGGCACCCGGAGCGTACGCGCCTTGGCTGTGGGCTATGGGCGGCAGCGTGCCACCCATGCCGTCCTGCGATGTCGGGGAGTGATATGGCGAGTGTTGCTGGTGGTGGTGGGAGTGCTGAGCGTAGGACGCTTGGTAGTTGTCCGCCGACGAGGTGACCGGGGCGAGTTGCTCAGGGTAGGAGTAGACTTGGCGTGCGGAGGACTGCTCGGGTTGGCGAGCATAGCCCTGGCTCTGCTGGTGTCGGAGGTGGTGCTGTGCCGAGGAGGAGTCCTGGCCTGTGTTGGTGGCAGTGTAGTACGGGTAGCCGGAGTCCATTGTGGGCAGGAGAACCATACCAGGCGAGGGGGGCGGGGCAGGGTGGCCAACGTAAGAACGGACGGGCAGCATTTATATTGTCCTCGGGGGACGTGGCGAATTATATACGGAAACAAACCTGTCGATATACGGTGCCGGGTGGGAGCAGATCGACGATGTATCAGGCGCGGTGCGTTTGACATGTCGGTGCGAGAATAGGATCGCGGCTGCCTATACGGTGCAGAGGGCGTGTGCGGGCGATGCGGGATGCGAGATGCGAGATGCAAGGGATAGCAGGGACGCGCGGGGCACACGCTCCCGTTCAGGACATGGCAGAGCCCACACTCGCTCGCGTAAGTCCGCTAGCGAGCGGACGAGCCCAGGCAGGCTTCGATCGTGGTCTCCGCGGCGTCTCTCCATCCCCTCATCCTCCCCGCTGCCGTTGTGTCGCCCGACGGTTTCGTGCAGTACGATCCGTCGCCGTCCCCCCCGGTCCCACCGCAGCCCCGCCCCGGTCTTGTCCGCAGGCCGCACCCGACCCCGCGACGCTCACTGCGACCTTGTTCTGCCAGACACGAATCAATCAGCGCCCTGCCTACTTCTGTCACATTCGCGGATGCGCCTCGCCCGCCGGCATCTCACGCGCGTCCTGATTGTTTCGCTGGATGTAACGAATACGCGGTCTGTACGGGCGGAGAAAAACAAGCTCCAACGGCTGCTTCGTGTGCCACAGACAAGACCCCACCGAGGGAGATGGGATCACCGAGATCAGGTGTGTGCCACCGAGCGTGATAGCGAGAACAAGGCGGGACAAGACTAGCTTACGCCGAGACGCCCGCCGCTGCAGCGAGGCCGAGTGCGCTTGAGGTGCGCTCGCGAGCTTGTGCCACTGGAACTGAAGCGAAAATCGTGGGCGTCGGCCAGGTGCCCCTTCCCGAAGATCGCATCGAGATCCCCCCATAGCACACGCTGCGGAGGATAGGCCAGTGTCTACGGGCCATGGCCGCGACACAAGCGCGCCTCTCGAGCTCCGCGCCGTGCGTTGTACGTAGGTGTACGTGTACAGCACCCTCTGAAGGTGCGCAGCCCGCACTCATTGGCCGATACGTTCATGCCCGCTGCGTGCACCGAGCGAAACTCACGTTGAGCGCACACGGACATGGTCACCCTCTTTGCATTTTGGGCGAGGCTCCGGCTTGAGTATGTCTCGTGTCGTACCAAGGGGAGACGCGCTGGGCCGACTGTCCGATCAGAAAGGAGGCGGGGACAATTTTACAGCTCCGCGGGGCGACCAGGGAAGTCTTTTACTAACCAACCCCGTATTCATTACCGCTTGGAAGCTGTCGCGAGCGCTGCCCGGGACATAACCTTGCGGAAGACAGGAAGGGGACCCGGATTGCGCCCGACTGCCCCCTGCGTAATAAGGCGGATCCGTCGTGCGTGACATTAACTTCTGAAAAATTGGCAGTCAGGAGATGGACGACAAGCGCGGAGTTGCAGCCAGCTGACGGGCTTACGAAAAGGAAAGGGAGGGACGCGGCCGTTGGTCCGGTTCGAGGGCGGGAGTGAGAGCACACATAGGCCGGAAATGTTCCAGGCGCTCCGGCTTGACACGAGAACCGTGCGGCCGACTTGTGAAGGGACAGTTTTCTGAGGTCTTCCCCATACGGCCATACACACGCACCGAGCGGTCCGTATGGGGGATAGGTGAGCGGGGTACATATCCAGGGACATTGCAGCTTACTTGGCATGGAAGCGGGAGATTATGGGGGAGGGCCAATCAAGGCGGCTTCGGAGGAGGAAGCCACGCTCACAGGTGACGAGCGATCGAAGAGAATAGAGAGGCTTCATGACGGCCCATTCAGGTCAAGATGAGAAGGGGCGGGGAGAGATGGTGTGGGTCCCAATGGCCCGTTTAGATGAATGGAGGGACGGGGGACTCGGGAGGCGTGATAGATTGCTGACTTCAGTGGATGATGGGGCCTTGAGGAATATTTGATTGAGTTGCACGCAAGCTGGCACAACATTTATGCTGGGTGTGTGGAGCTTCTGGGCGTAGTCGTCTCAGCTCGAGGACCTACCAGTGACTCTTGGAAGAGCGGGAGGCGAAGATTCGAGAACGAGCGAGGAATGCGTGGTAACGGGAGATACGGCGGCTGAAGGGCGGGAGGGGAACGTTTCGTATACGCTACTGCCTATTTGGGACAAGCTCAACGGATGGTCATGTGCACCTTATACGGCATGATACACAAACATGCGCAAACAGGGCCTCGCGCAAGACGCCGGCGGGCTCTGGAGGCGAGTCAGGCAGAGATCTCCGCAGACCTAGACTCCATGGCTCCCTTCGATCTCGACGCATGCATCGCACAATTACTCCGCAAACAACTTCTCCACGAGGCCCTCTTACGCGAAATATGCGCGAAGACAAAGGAGGTCCTAATGCGCGAGTCCAATGTCGTGCACGTTAGCGCGCCGGTTACCGTGGTGGGCGATATTCATGGGTGAGCAGCCGCGCGTTTTGTGTGAGTGAAGACCGATTAATCGACCTCAAGCCAGTTCTACGACCTCATAGAAATCTTTCGCATAGGTGGACATGCACCACACACAAACTACCTCTTCCTCGGTGCGGTGCCGTCATGGCTTCCGAATACGGGGTATACTCATTCAGTTCCAGGAGATTATGTGGACCGCGGACTCTTCAGCGTCGAGACAATATCGCTATTGACTTGCCTCAAATTGCGGTGGCCTGATAGAGTGCAGCTTATTCGAGGGAATCACGAGTCCAGGGCGGTCACCCAGGTGCGTCTCCGCTCTCGCGCCCATCTCCCAAATGTCCATCATTCAATATGCATCAGACATACGGCTTCTACACCGAATGTGTACGGAAATACGGCGGTTCCCATGTCTGGACATACTTCACGGACATGTTCGACTTCCTCACCCTTTCCGTAGTCATCGACGACAAAATATTCTGCGTACATGGAGGTAAGGATGCCGTCATCCATACCCCGTCTCCTGCTTCTGACTTCGCGGCTTCTTGCAGGACTATCCCCTTCAATACATTCCATAGACCAAATCAAGGTAGTGGATCGATTTCGAGGTGCGTCCGGGCACCCATTCACCCAGACCGGGCACGGCGACTCACGTCACCGCAGAGATCCCGCACGAAGGTCCCATGGCAGACCTCGTGTGGTCAGATCCTGACCCAGAAAAGGAAGACTTCGCAATATCTCCACGGTGAGATTGCCGTCCTTGTCTTCATGTCCGGCTGCGCGGGCAGTGCTCACCCTATCCGTCGCGCCTCTCGTTAGGGGTGCCGGCTATACCTTCGGGTCGGGGGTGGTCTACAAGTTCCTGGAGACGAACCAGATGTCACATATCCTCCGCGCGCACCAGTTGTGTATGGAGGGCTATACTTCCCTGTTCGATGAGCACCTCTCGACCGTATGGTCGGCGCCGAACTACTGCTACCGCTGTGGGAACTCCGCTAGCATACTGGAGGTGTCCCCGGGCGGCCAGATGTACTTCAACGTGTTTCAGGCTGCGCCGGAGAACGAGCGGGACGGGCCGAGCCATCAGGCAGCGCAGAACGCAGGAGGGAAGGTACGTCGTGCTTGCTTCTGCCCTATCGCGCGGTGCCCGCGCTGACACTGCCGACAGTTGCCAGAGTACTTCCTGTAACATATGTCATGCACCATACCCCTTCGCGGTGCGCAGCGGCCCCGACGACCTGGCGCGCGCTCGCGCTGTATACAGTAGATACGGCGTTCACGATGATAGTTGTACATTAATGGGAGACGACGCGCCCGTGCGACCGCTAGCAGTGTGGTGTGTCTTACACGGTCGGGCGTCCCTGCATCCGCCCCGCCCAGCCAGTTTACGCCCTGCCCAGATCCACTAGCTCCTCGCCATGCCGATAGCTGCGCCCGCGCGCGATCCCTTATTGAGTCGCCACACGACGACCACGGCATCGACTGTACATGGTGCGAACCGACCAGCGAACCTCGAAGCTCATGGTGCTTTGCTCGAACAGGCCAATGAAACACGCCGCGAGAGGATGATACATGACGGCACGATCGTACACTGCCAGCGCCAGAGTACAAGGCCGACGCGAACACGTTCCAAGGCCCGTATCCTCGTGTCGTCGGCGCACTCACGCCACCGCCGCCCCCTGGCCCTCGCAGCGTACACAGGGCCGTGCGAGACACCCGCGGTGGACGATGCAGTTAGGACGGGCAGGACGCACGCCACGCCTGCTAGCCATCTGCACGAATAACCGTCGTCGCTGCCATTCGAGGAATAACACGCTGCGTGCAATGCCGGCATTGGTTGGAGCGAAAGTCTGCCTGTCTTGACATGCGCGCCTCGTCCCGCCGCACCCCTGCGTGCCACGCCAGCTCGGCGTGGACGACAGACGGAGGAAGGCCTGCTAGCGGTGCGTGCACGCGTGCTGCTGCCGGCGGGCGAGGGCTCCGCAGCCGCTGGGCTCGGCGATGGCGGGGAGATGTGCCACCCTAGCTCAACGCACGCGTCGCTCGAGGCCACGGCTAGCGGTGTGCGCACCAATAGGCTACCGGGGGCGCCGCACTCGGGTGCTTGTCGGGCGCGCCGCGTCGACAACGCGAAGAGAACGCTGCGCGAGGAGATGCGCCCGCCGATCTCCGTGCCGTACAGCGCACCGTGCAGCTGACGAGTATGCCGTACACGCTGGTAACCGTGCTCGACAGCACCGCTGGCCACTGGGGTTTGTGGGCGAGGGCGGAGGCGGGAAATCGAAGCGCGCTGCGCGTTTCCAACGCTGATGGGTGTGTGGCATGGCCCAACCTTGACGCCACAGGACACTGGCAGGCTGGAGTGCGCTGCCCAATCCGCACGGCTCGGAGGGCGAGGCGCCGGGGTTGGTTGGCTGGCTTCCCGGGCGGCCCACGTAACAGGCGGGTGACGTGCGCAGGACGATCGCCGCGAGACACGAAGCACGGCGTTGCCCTCTTGAGTGGTGCACATTAGGGAGATCGAATTGCTATTATGGTGGGAGGAGCCCGGCGCAGTTCGCCATGGCGTGGCATTACTGATACAGTAGTAGCTGGATCCTATATGGGGAGAACGGCGAACCGTAGCGGGGCGGCTGCAGATTTCACATCGGCGCATAAATCATAAATCTGAAGGGGAAGGTGACGTTGAACAACAAATGTGAGTGGCAGGAGTCGAGGCCGGATGGGACACTCACAATAACGTCCAAAACGAGCGACGGCCACGCGGGCGACGGCACACTCGGTCGGTGCCCGTGGACCGGCCCATGAAACACCGATCCTCGGCCGAGTCTCCGCGGCGGTCTTTGCGGGCCTACTGTGGGGGCACGCCGCGATCAGATCCATCTGGGCTCGTCCAGCACACAGCGATACCATGACGGTGGGTGGCACTCACGCGGGAGGGGAGGCGCAGCTGCGTCAGCGCGAGGCCGGCGGGCCCCCGCTGCCCAGCAGACGGCGCACGGCCTGCTTCCATCGGAGGATGCGCGGATGGCGGCGTGGTGTAACCATCACGACCGCGAGCACGATGCAGAGAAGCAGATAGACGCGGCCCCTCCACCTGCCCCACCAGAGCCCGGCCAGGGTCCGGAGGAGGTCGCGTTTGCGCTGGCGACCGTGTCTGAGCCGCGGCGTTGTTGCCGCGTCACGACCGGAGACCGGATATCCGAAGTACGGGTTGAGGTGCGAGGTTGGCGAGATGGAAGGCACACGAGCAATGCTCGAACTCGGTGGCAGCTCCAACCGGACAGATTTGGTCGGGGATGCCGGGAAGAGGACAGGCGGTGGAGCGGTCAGTTTCTCGAGGGGATCCTCCAGCTGGGACAGCGGTGCAAGAGAGCCGCCATATTCTGGCAGAAATCAGCAAACGCGGTGTGATATATCATCGATGATCACCGGGGACTCACCCTGTGGCAAAGCGGACGGGGAAATAACCTGCAGCAGCTCCTCTTGTGACGGGAAAAATACCCGCAACAGAGCGGACTTTGGCAGCACACGCCTGTATATCACGCGTCAACTTGAAACATGCATGGGCGGAAAACATAAACCTATATGCGTACTTGCAGATATTCCAGACGCCTGAATGTGCCCAGGAATAATTGAGAATGAACGCTGGAGGAGGATCGAGATCATTCAACCGCCACACAACACACGATACATCGGAGCCACTCACTCGCGGCGAGCATGCCCGGAAAACGAGGGACCAGCTCCAACACATACCAACTCACGACCTCTGTGCTCTGTTGCTTGTCAGTCTGCTGCGTCGATCGAAAAAGCTGAAGGGACGCACCACACTCTGCACAGAGATACCGCCGATGTCCAACAAGGCAACATACTGCATGACCGGAGAAGGATTGCCTTCTCCCGCGTTCACGTTAATCGCTTCAAGATTCAAGCGAAGGAGTTCCATGTAGCGGATAAGCGCCTCACGCACGTTCCCCGAGCACTCGAAGAGCCCGGCCAGCTTGACTACGACGATAGGTCTACCGAGAGGGTCCCGGGCAGCCAAGGGAAGGCATTGTAGAAACGATGAGGTGCCGCGCGGGATCGAGGCAGGAATGACCGCCAACCGCCAAAGCAAGATGTCCCGGACATGCTCCAAGGCGAATGGGACAGTGAATTTGTGGCGCTGCAAAGCGAGCATCTCAGTACATATGACGACGGGTAAGCCTCACGATGCATGCATACCCTGAGTATCCTGAATATCGTATCTGTAGCGGTGATGGCTGTGTTAACGAGTGGTGCAGGGTTGTATGCGAAGCCAGGGACGTACGAAGATCACCCAGCCACAGTCTTGCCCTCTCCTCGTCCTCTTCCTGCAGGTCAAGCTCATCTACCATTCCGGGGAGGATATCTTGCATCAGCGTATGCTGGAGACTCTGAGTGCTCTCGAGGTGCTCCTTGTATACCTCCGCATACAGATCTGCCTGCTCGCGAAGGGTCGCAAGCGTCGCTGTCGCTGACATCCTAGATCCCTTGGCTCTTCGTCGATGGCTCAGAGACGACGTACACGACAAGTATGCACGCAAGAACAGAGTCACGCAAGACAAGACCAGGCGGTGGTGGAAGTGGTACCAGGAGGATAGGGCATTGCGGTGGTTCGATGATGTGCAGCGCGCCCGCCAGGGCTGCTCGCGCGTCGGCTGCGCCCATGTGAATCCTTCCCGACTAAATCGGAGTCGCACCACGTGGGCGACGCGCCCATTCGCCAACAGATCTGGCCCCTGTGGGGTTATGGTTCGAACTTGTCTGGAGCCGCCAAACCTGGCCCATTAATGGCCTCGGTCACGCTGTGTATCCTCGAACGCCTTATCGACGGGGCTAGCCGGCTGGCAGTGCTCGGCGTTGGATTCCACAGCGAGCGCGCTTCCTACGGCAGCCAGGGCGGACGTACGGTGGAATAACGACTGGATGACCTCAAGCGATGGGCGAGTCATGAGTGTTCCTCTGTCGCAGTCTGTCCGCAAAACGAGCACTGAGGAGGAAAAAGACTCACGACGAGCAGTGTACGTTGTTCCTCTTCAGACCGGGCTCCATGCATCTCCAATATTCATCACAGTACTTACAGGTTATTCCGTCGCTTCGCTAGGTGTTTTTGGAGCAGTACAACCTCTGCAATTTTATACAGCGCTGTGCAACGTCGAATCAATTACGACCCTTGCCATATTCCAAGCATCGACATTTGGTAGGTGTGCTTGTCCTGGCGGCGCACACCGGTATGATATTCGGTGGCACGCCGGCCGAAATCCTCTCGCTCCCTGCGTCCGGGCCGGCACTTCCTTCCTCGTGAACACGCTGCCGTCACATACTCTTCGCATACAGGAGGAGCCCCATGCTGAAGGTGTGTGTGAGAAAACGTTGGTGACAAGCTTATAGGGACGATAGGGAATGCAATCATGTCGCTGGTCTTCGGACGAGTATCTGCCAAGGTGTACGATGCTAGCCTCAAGGAGCCAACCAGACCTTGGTAGCCCCGGCGGCCTTTCACGAGGTTCTTTTCTGAGGGGTCCCCGCTTCACATACGGACCGGACTATCGAACCGCCTTGCCAGACAGCCCGGTTTGTTTCAGACCTCACAAGGAGGTATTGAGAAGGTTCAACGTGGCTAATGTCTTCCCGGGTCCCTCCCAGGCGCTCTGGAAACATGGTCCTCACTGTCTGTTGATAATTGTGCTTTGTGCAAACATCGCTCGAAGGGGGGAGCCATCACTATCAATGTTTGACATCGATGGCTCATACGTTCGAAGAAGTATCTTCATATGCGTGTTCAAGCTGACGATGTATTTAGCTCTGCTGTCCTCAAAATATCAATGAATTGTGGACACAGGCTGTCTCCGTCTGCATACTGGACCGTGGGCACCAGAAGGGCTGAACATCTTCTACCTGTGTGCAGTTTCCTCGTGCATACACTGTGATCGCGAGTTTCATAATCTCGTGGGGCGGAGCTGTGGGCGCGCGAAACGGAACACTTCCGACGTGGGGGCGAATTGACATCGAAAGAGGAGCATCTGGACGACCATTGGTAACAGCATCCTTTCGCATGTTTACAGCTCGGCCGTCGCCCCTGTTGCGCTCATTCAATACACCCAGAAAGGTCAGAAGCCTTGCTGAGGGACTTCTCCCGCATGAGCGAGTCGGCTGTGGGTGTGCCGTATTTGCCTAACTTTGGCGCTTCGTGACCTCTTCGGGGACTGCCGTATCCTCCACAAGATGAACCACCGTCACGGCGGACGCCCAGTACTGCTGCAAGCTGGCTACATGGACTCTCGACGCGCCGCGACTCGAGGTGTCAGGGTTGGGACCCTATTTCTGACATTCCTCGAGGCCTTTGCGCGTTTGTACAGCCAGCTTGTCGACTTTGGCGACGATCCTGGCGCAGGGACGTGACGGGCAGTTACTACGGCTCTCGTGGCCAGCGCACGAGGTGTTATGGCAAGTCTTACAACCCGCGAAACATGTGCGTCGTACCTGCTTCTAACTGGATATCCTTTTTTGGGACGACACGATCATGTTCGACATCTAACGTGGCACTCTTCGGACTCTGCACAGCTCTGGCTGTGATCATCCTTCTTTGCTCTCTCCACCACGCATCCCCTCCAGCTGGCGAAACCCCCGCGGTCTGAACCTAATACCTCGAGGCCCTCTCTGCTTCTTTGACTTCCGCGAGCGGGCCTTGCCTCCGCAAACGTGTTCGCACTTGTTCCTCACACGCTGCTGCCCCTGCCCTGGCCTGCCGGCTACCTCTTGCGCACCCACACCCCACACGCCGCTCTCGCAGCGTGCACATCCTGTGGGGATCTTCGGTTTTGCGGGAACGCGGCTGCCTCGTCTGGGCCACGCCTGCCATCCAAAGGAGTCTGCTAGCAGCCTAAATTTTGTTTCATTCCACTCTGTTGGACACTGTCGCTCCACGGTCCTCGCACCTAGTCCGCTGCGTCCGCGTTTCACTTTCATTCTAGAAGTCTGATCACTGGCAGGAGATACACTGCGCAGCGATGGCCATTCTCGCGGGTGAGTCCGGTAGCTACATGTATGAAAAGGGTCTGACGTCGATACTGCAGAGGGACACAGCACTACCGAGGTGTACGAGAAGCGCTTCTCCGCTCCGAAAGAGCGCGAAAGCACGTCTACTGCTCGGCCCGCCATAACGCTCGTCGATGGGGGTTCGAGCGCGCTTCCTTCATGCGGGGAACTGACTGCGAACTCCAGGCGTACTCTGGCTCTCAGCTTGACGCTGACACAGTGGATACCAATGAAGCATCAAGATTCCTATAGGCATGCTGTTCGACCTCTTGGCGATATTCTCACGGCACGGATCTCTTGTCCTCGGTCGCGTGTGATGACCTCAGCGCTGGGGGCTTCTCCTCTCCGCCCTCTCACGATGGCAGCACCAAGCCCCTGGGGCGGCCCTCCGGCGTCCACCCAACACGCTACCGACCGCTTTCCTCGTTTCACTTATCTGCTACGGGCCGGCACGCCCAAACCTGAGGCGGACGGGGGGCTTGTGCGGCGCTCAGCGGATCCCGGCGAGTACCAGGCTTCTCTGGCGACCATCCCGGATCCTCTAGCACAACGCGGAACTGGCGACGAAACGTGCTTGCGGTCATGCGTCGCTTCGAGCTCAGCTACTACTTGTGGGCCCTGTTCTCGCGACGGCTCTTCTCCCTCGAGGGCCTCCACCCCCACCACCCCCGCGGGAACACTCGCCTCTGTGTCCAAGTCCCCGTCCACGCCCGCGTCCGCGTCCAAGCCGCTCTTTGATCCTGCTCCGTATACTATGGCGAACAATAACTCGGCGACGACATCAAGAGGCGGTGCGAGCACCCCCCGACTGCCCGTCCCCACGAGGAGGGGCACTGATGCCATCGCTGGCGAACGCATCATGCCCGGAACTCCGCTCTCGACTTCTCCGACGAGCCAGACTTCAAGCGACTTTGGGGACGGTGGCGCAGACGGGGACGACCTCGAGCAAGACGATGCACAAGGCACAAACCAGAACGCGGAAGGCCAGCCCAGGAAGAAGAAGACGCGCCGCGCGGGGGTGGCCATCACCCGCGTCAGACGCATGCAGCGTGAAGTCCGACGGCTTGCGGAGGAAGAAGAGCAGGTGGGCCTAAGCACCCAACAGCGGCAACAGCCCCACCAGCGTGTACGGCCTTTCCTCGCGATTTTCCCCGACCGTGGATCCACGCATCTCATATCTCCTTTTCCAGTCTCTTTTGTCGAGCGTCCAGACCCGCCCGAGCCTGCACCCCTCCGCGAGCGCGCCGCCGCCACTCTCGCTCCACGTCCCGCAGTACGGCCATGGCCAGCAACAGCAGTACCAGCAGCAGTTGCGCTCACCGGCGAGCCCGTCCACGCTGTCCGCGACACGCCCTACAGCGGCGGCGGATGGCCGCCACGCGCGCAGCGAGCCGTCTACGGCTGCGCACTCACGTGCATCCGCATACGACCGCACACTGGAGGTGCGTGCCGCGCCGCGCGGAGTTCTTTCTTTACATCATCGCGACTGAATTGTGCTGACCGCGTCTGTGGGCGTGCCCGCGCGCAGGACGGCGACGACGTGGTGGTATGGCGTCCGTCCGGTCCCATGGCCAGCTCCAATATCTGGGCGTACCGCCCGGACGAGCGGCCGCGTGGTGGAACCGCATAACGCATACATCCCCGCTGGCTCGCGTCGTGGTACCGCCGCCGTGTGTTCTACTTATGGGCCCCCTGGGTCGGGCTGGATCTGCCTCGATGAACGTCCGTTGTCGCCTGTCTATTCGCAACCGAGCCGCCCGCGGCCCTGCTACTGCCAGGAGGCCGGAGATACGACCCCCAGCGGGCACCCTGCACCTGTGAACGCGCCTCCCAGCGCCCGCCCACGTTCCCTCTAGATATATCTGGCCATCGTCTTGTATTTGTGGTATAACGTACACCTGACCGCGCGTGATTGTTGTTGTATAAGCTCATTCATCTGTACATCGCCCATTCAGAATTCCGAGTTCATCCCCCACCTCGTTCCGCCCGCTGTGCACTGCAAGTCTATCTGGATGGATCTGGACGGATGGCTTCAGGAAGCCGCGGGCTAGAGCTTCGGCGATTCCGGCTGGAAGCCTGCTCTTCCGTGCGCCCACTCGTTTATCAACACGCCTGCGACCGCAGTCACAGGGGGCATCTTGAAAAGAGGCCCTGTGGACAGCTCGCGCGCTGCGTCTACCGCTGCCTTCTCTCCCTCTTTCACCGCGTCTCCGGCCAGTGGGTTGGCGCCACTCGTGGCGGGCGGCTGCTCGGTAGGCTTGAGATTCTCGGTTGCCGTGAAGAGCTCCCGGCGGTCCCTCTGGGAGAGCGTCGTGCCGTCCCGATGGTGAAGGACAGAGAGAATCTCGTCGCGCGTCCACCAGCGTGCCTCTGTAAATAAGATGAGCATATGCTGTGTGTTTACTGCGCATACACTGACCTTCCAACTCGTTGTCGAGATCCACCCGAAGTGGCTCGGAAGAACTCGCAGTCGCATAGAAACCGCCCATCAAGTTGGCAGGGTATGGCTAGGGACGCCAGTGCGTGAGCGCTCGGCGCGGAGACCGGAGGACATGAGGACCCAACATACCCATGGCTGAGTGGAGTGGTAGCGGACATTCCACACCTTCACACCCGCTTCCTCCCACAGCTCACGCCGCACCGCGTCCTCGAAGGTCTCGCCCGGCTCGATGAAGCCTGCAAGACACGAGTAGAACTTCCCCGGCCATTTTTTCTAAACATGGGCATCGTCACGGTAAGCGGAGGACGGAAAGGAGGAAGAGAGGGGGGCAACATGCATTCCTGCCGAGGAGGATCTTGTCGCCTGTCTCGTCAATCACCGCCATGATCACCACGGCGTCCGTGCGCGGGTGTGCAAAGTTGTGCAGGCCCTGTGCGGTGATGCACGGCTTCTGGCCCGCGGGATTTGCCGCCCATGGGAGGAGCGACGAGCACGAGAGCTTCCAGCCGGCCCACAGCGAGTGAACGGGCGACCCGCATCCGGGGCAGAACTGCAGCAGTGGGACAGATCTCGGTCCGTGAGCGACGATCGCCGTGCGCACGCGCGTGTGGACGTACCTTGTTGCGCGCGTTCCAATCCGTCATGCTGCGCGCCTCCGCGAATACCGCGGCATCGAACGCGTCGAAGCTCGCCGTGGCCGTCCTCGGCTCCGAGAACACGATCCGGTCGCCCTCCTTCGCGGCAGCCGCGTTCTGCAGCGTCTCGTCCAGCTCGCTCTGTGCGACAGTGGATACGTCAAGCGAAAAGTACGCGGTGCCCTTGATGTTCGAGAGCACGACGTCTGCGCTTGTCTTCGCACTGAAGTCGGATGACGGCAGCGCGTCCGCGTGCGAACGGTTCGTTTCGTGTAGCCCTAGGAACACGACTCCGTTCCCGCGCAGCCGAGCGGCCTCGAGCGCAGGCACGTCCGCCGGTGCGAGGTCTCCTGCGTGCTGCCCTTGCGCGAAATAAGGTTCCGGACCCAAGAGCGCCTTCACGTCGTTCGTCGTCAGCCGGGCGAGCGATAGGGTCGGAGCGCTCGGCTTGGATTGCACGAGCGGCTGGCCGTCCTTGAAGAGCACCCAGCGCGTTGCGGGTGCGTGGGCGATGGCGTTGAGGAAGGGCTGTGATGTGCGTAACCAGGCGAGCCGGTTAAGAGGAGACCCTCCGAAGAAGTTCACGTAGCTAGAGGGGCGATTCAGCTGCCGCACAAGGTGCTGCGGAAGGATAGTAGCTCACGTATCTCCCATTGCGAACTTGGAGAGGGCGCGACGGAAGAGTTGGCGGTGAATGGTGGCGGATGGAAAGAGACAGATAACGGTGGGTTTGTATACCGCGTTCCCTAAAAGGATGACACAGCGAGCGCGGGCACCCTTATTTAATCAACTGGCACAATCCCACTGTACGCCGGATGTCCCGCTGACCACTGGCTTACTCACGGGTTGTGTGTGGAATCGCAATCGTCCGAGCCAACGGGAGTGTGTATTGAGGTAGCGGGCTGATCCGATGCGCGTCGAAATAAACTGGGAGTTTGGAACAAGCAGGGTGCAGCACGCCGGGTGTCGGGTACGAAGTCGAGATGGTAGTTGGACCAACGTCGACGTCGTCGACTCTCAGCTCATCGTAGCGGACGATGAGGACAGTCCCGGCTCGGTCCGCCGCTACCGCCCGGCGTAGTGCGCCTATTCTTAATGCGGGGTAGCCGCGGGCGTCTATTAGGTTACCGGCCTCCTCCCGCTCGCCATGCAGAAAAACATACAGCTCGACTAACTCGTTATTCACCGCCCTGGATGGCCATATGCATCCGTGGATAAAGGCTGCGCGTTGTCAACGCATCAACGTTCCAGGGCACTCACGCGCGCCGTTTGACAGGACGCGCCTGCTACCGCGTGTTTTCGGTGCGGCTTCAAGAACGTCGAACCTGGGACATCCTGGCCGTCGGGAAGCAATGGCCATATCCTGCCTCGCACAGTTGCTGTCTCAAGCAAATATGACTCTCGGAACAGGGTCAGCGTCGCATTGACTTTGCCGCGTTTGATTGTGGCTACCTGATGTGGTACGTTGGATCGCTTCCGGCAGGCGATCTCACCATTGTCCGTCCTTTTCAGAACGCGGCGAGAGTCATAGAACGCGTTTATAGTAACGGCCCGCCCGTACCTATTGATCTTCTCAAGGTGATATCCCTGGCGCCGACGCTACAAAACCACCGCGTCGCGAGAGGGGCCCGGCTGCCAACCGCCTCCCCCCCTCACTCTCCTCCCGTCGAGCAGCCTTCCCCCACACCGCCGTGTTCCATTCGTAATGTTCCTGTCTCGCACCTCGTGGATGTGCAGCGCGGTACGGCAGTTCCTACGCATCATTGACCGCTACCCACCACGCACTTCGCCCGAGCCCCCTTGAGGTTTCCTAATCCGGAACCGCGCTGTGAGGACGCGCTGGGCTGGATGCGGCCGTTCCTATGTACTTTCCCCGCTCGACGGTCTGCATTTCAGCGGCACGTCGAGCGGAGACAGTCATGCGATCTGCGATGTCCAGCGGCTGCTCGCGCTCGTGTTATATAAGAACGAACTTTGGGCGACGCTAGCCCATCTTTATGACCCCTTCACGACTATAGTATGCGTGCCCGTCGCCCGGCCTCCTTACCGGCCTTTACTGACATTGTTGTCGCGTACCTGCAGATGCCATCATCAGATCCCCCCTCGCCTGCACGCCCACAACGGCCCACAGCGTCGCGCACGCCGCGGCCCACAACGCCACGCACGCAGACCCCGCCGCGCGGCAGCCCGCTCACGCCGGCGCAGGCGATCGCGCAGGCGTGGATGCGCGAGTCGCCGGAGTCGAAGCAGAAGTGGCGGGCGGCGGACGCGCAGGCGCGAGACTCGTACACGAACCCAACGCGATGGAATACGGGGAGGCGGCGGTCACCAGAGGGGAAGGCGAAGGGGAAGCTGTGAGGGGCAGGCTGAGCGGCGACACACGCCGACGACGACGACGGCCTCGCGAGGAGGCGATACGCATAGTAGGATCAGTCCCCGTCGAGGGAGCGGACTCTCGCAGATTATGGGCGATGGGACTCTAATGTTCGTTCTGTTGTATATGTTATCGCATGCGCTTCCGCCATGTCTATTGGGGTCTACTATCATACCATGTCACTATGTTTCAACGTTTTGCCAGCGTATAACTGTCTTCGAATTTCAAACAATCTATGGAGCAGATAGCGTATAATCACTTGCTCACCAGAGGGTCCACGACGGCAAGCGGCGTGTTGTGGTCGGAGATGGGAGGTGAAAGCATGTGCATGGTGTCGGTGTCCCGCCCGATCCGGTAACCGAAATACCTAACCTGGATGTTGGTACCCCCGACCGCGATCGCGCCTTCGCGTTGCACGCGCGACTCACGTTTGCCGTCCAACACAGCGCGCGACGCTCACATCCAATGCAGCGTCCTGCTCGACGAGTCGACGCTCTCCTAACCTCAACTTGCGCTTCTCGGCGCGGACGGAGGTGCGCTGAGTGCGCGCGTCGGTTAAATCTTATCTTATCAGCAGGCGTTCCGCCGGCAGGGGGCGCGAAACTTTAGAATGAGATGCGCTGATTGGCTGGCGCACCACCTTCCCCACAACTTGTGCTCGTCTACCCGTTCAGCGGCGGGCTCTGACTCGACAGGCTTGATCTTCAACCTCATCCTCGACCGCTCTTCTTGCCTGTTTCTTGTGCTAGCTCTCAGGGATCTCTGCCATGTCGAAAACAGTGAAGGACCTGACCGCAGGGACAGCAGGAGGCGTCGCCCAGGTACGTACTACTAAGTCTGGCCAGCCCATACTCTCGGACTCACTCGAAGCGCTGCGCCCCCAGGTGCTAGTCGGGCAGCCGTTCGACATCGTGAAAGTGGTACGTGCACCTCCCCATCAGGCGCACGCCCCGCTTCTCGACGCGTCCTGACGCGCCGTCTCGTCACCAGCGCATGCAGACCGCGCCTGCTGGCACGTACAAGGGCATGATGCACTGTGCCGGCGGCATCCTCAAGAACGAGGGCCCGCTCGCATTCTACAAGGTTTGGTGCGCCCTAACGCTTCACGTCCCGCGCCGCGCGCTGACCGCGCCGTTCTCTGCGTGTCTCGCTCTCGCGCCACACAGGGCACGCTGACCCCGCTGCTAGGCATCGGTGTGTGCGTGTCGATCCAGTTCGGCGCGCTCGAGTACACGAAGCGCTATTTCGCGCAGCAAAACGTCCTGAAGGGCCGCGGGGGCCCGGATGGTATGACCCTCGGGAGCGGGCAGCTGTTCACCGCGGGCGTCTTCGCCGGGCTCGCGAACGGCGTCGTCTCTGGCCCCGTAGAGCACATCCGCATCCGTACGTCCCCTTTCCATTTATCCTTGCACAAGCAGGCCGCTGACCCCTCGCGCGCGCATCTACAGGGCTGCAGACGCAGTCGGCGACGAACCCGGTGTACGCGGGCCCGTTCGACGCGATGAAGAAGATCTGGACGCAGCACGGCATCGCGGGCATCTACAAGGGCCAGGTCGTCACGCTCTGGCGCGAGGCGACCGGCTACGGCATCTACTTCTGGGCGTACGAGAAGCTCATGCAGCGCGAGATGGCGCAGAAGGGCATCCGCCGCGACCAGGTGCATCCCGCGAACGCGGTGCTCTTCGGCGCCGGCGCCGGCTATGCTGTGAGTCTCCGTATATTGCAGTCATGATGCGGGACGTGAGCGCTGAGATATGGCCGTTGATGCGATAGTTGTGGGCGGTGATATACCCTATCGATATGATCAAGTCGCGGATGCAGACGGATGGGTTCTCGCCCTCGACCGGGCAAAAGTACAAGTCGACGCTGGACTGTGTGCGCACGGTATGGCGCACGGAGGGCTTCTCCGCGTTCACGCGTGGACTCGGCCCTACACTCATTCGGTATGTCCCAACCTCTCTTCTCGTGGTGTTATAGGATCGCTTGCTGACATTTTGGCGCGGCAGGTCGCCGTTCGCGAACGGCGCGACATTCCTGGGTTTCGAGCTGGCGAGCCGGCTGCTCAACAACACAGTATGAAATCCACGATATACAGGCCTCATTTCGTGATATCCAGCCCCATAGACGATCATAGACGTACACTACCAGAGGGGGTAATCTATGTAGGCCCTCAGCTGAGTCGTAAACCAGTGCTTGCAAATTTCGTGTTTGTGTGTGTATCATCATGTTACATAGTTATTCTCTTTCGCGAGCTGTGTGCGTGCGTTGTACCGACGGTTTAGGCGAATAGCCACAATAAGCCACAATAACTGATCCTACACAGCTCACATGTGCTTGCAGCCGATTTAGAAGGTTCACAAACGTCAACGATAGGAATCAGGGAAGGGGTTTCTCAGCTCGGCCGACGGTACAGTAGAGATACATACACCTAGAGCAAGAGTGATACAGTGTGGCTGGCGTTCTCCTGCGCAGCGCGTCCATGCGCGCGTTCCAAGGAGCCATGGGATCGGTCGTACAGTTTCTATCAGAGTGCCTCCTCGTCGTCCTCGTCGCCTGAGACCTCCGCGTTCTCTTGGCTCGCCTTTGCCATGAGCTGCGCGAGATCCTGCTCTTCCGTCTCCGAGACGGCTTTTGGCTGACAGCACAAACGTTAGCACTGTAGCCCCTGTCAAGTCCACGGTTGATCGCACCTTCATCTTCACGACCAGAGATCCACCCTGGTCCTCGATCGTCGACTGGATCGACTCAATCGCACGCTCGAGCCTGTCCACAGCGGCATACTACACAGCCACATAGGTAAGTTTATGAAAACCCCGGACGCATGGCTGCCGTACCTTGTCTGTCGCGTTCGTGCTCAAGACGTAGAGCGGAGGCGCAACAAGCTTCGCCTTGATGGGCACGGCTTCATTGCTCTGCGCCTCGCCTGCGCGGAGCGCCTTCTTGATCGCGTCGATCCCCGCGGGCGTGTAGCAAGTGAGCTCGATATCCGCACGCAGCTTGATGGGCTGCGGTGTGAGCCGGCGGGCGATCGTGGACGTCAATATGCTCAGCACAGCTTGGGGGACGGGGCTCGGTAGCGACGAAAACACGACGTCGGGTTCACTGCGTGCGAGTTAGCACCATCGACTGCACAGAAAAGGCGCCCGGAGTAGAGAAGGGAGGGGAGGGATCGGACGTACGTGAGTGCGAGCTTGAACGCGTCGTAGGTGTGGCCGTATTTGCGGCTGAGTGGCCACGCAACCTGGTCGTACAGCTGCTCGAGGCGGACCTCTTCGTTCGCCCCACCCGCCGCGGCGTTCTCGTCGGGCAAATCCTCCTCATGGCCCTCCTTCTTTGCGGCGCGGCGGGTACGCTTCGCCTCGGCGGCATCGGCAGCTGCCTGCTTCGCCTCTTCTCCCGAGAGGACCTCACCGTCCACAGAGGGGATCTTGGAAGCGACGTGCCGCATGATTGAGGCGACAGTCTTGGACTTCATGTAGCGCTCCTCGCATTTTGTGATGTCCTCGGGGGAGACACGACGTTTTGACAAGTCGATGTAGCCTGCATTGCAAGAGTACGGTGTTGGTATGGCTTTGAAGACGGAAGGCGGGTTGGCGGATCAGAGAACTCACCCTTCTCCTTGTCCACACGGAGGACAACGACTACTTCATTCCGGCCAACACGGATGAGCTTCTGGATCGATCGGATACGTCGCCTAGAGAGCTCGGAGAGCAGGATCATGCCCTCAATGTTGTCATACTCGAGCTACTTGCACGAACTGATGAACGGGTGCGGATGTATTTCCGCGAGCGGAAGACATACAAGTTTGACATAGGCACCCATCTCGGCGATCTGGCGCACTTGCACCATGACGAGCTCGTCCACCTCCGGGTAGCGTTGTTCGTAGTAACGCATGTTGGCTGCCGTAGATGTGGTGTGCCAAGCGTGGTGAGAGGAAAGGAGAAAAGCAGAGATGGCGGTATTGACTCTGCGGCGGGCGCGTAGCAGTAGCGATAAAAGATTACGGCGGCACACGAGCGCCTATCCCAATTGTTAGCATCGCGACTAAACCGTGTCAGTCCGGCGATTATGCGGTTTGTTGCTGGTTTGAACCTGGTCTAACGCGGGCCGAAGAGGAATAAGGCAGGCTTGGAAAGCACCGGCACTGTCGGACGAGTCGCCAAGGGGTGCTGGGCAGCGACGGAGGGCGTGGGCAGCTGATGGGAGGGGTGTATATCATCACGGAGCCGTGCACAACCATGCTCTCCTCCCGCCCTTCTTGCCCCCCTCCGCAGCCCTCGTCTTCCCTCGCCTCCGTGAGTACAGCCCCGTTTGGAACCGAACCGCACTCGGGCCCTGTTCACCGTCTCACTTGTCAGCCAGTCGTGACTGTGTGACCCCGGTCCCTTGTTCTGACCCCCGGAGGCCTACAGCGCCACTGTCTCTCCTTCCGTTCATATACTTACCTCTCGCTCTCTCGACGCCCAGCGCGCCTCTCTCTTCCTGCCATGACGGTCATCTCTTATGCTCTCCTTCCCCTGCTTTCTCTCGTCACGTCTGCCCTCGCCAACCCACTCTTCGTACCGCCCGCGCTGCATATCCCTCTCAGCCGTCGATCGGGAAACCATGACGCGCCCGTAGAACGTTTTGCCTTCCACGCCGATCACCTCCGCGCAAAGTATGGCTGGGCCTCATCAAATGCGACCCTGGCAAGGCGAGCTGGGCAGGTCGTCGGCGTCGGCATCATCGACCAGGTGTGTATTCCCTGTTCTGATAGTTCAGCTATTCGACCAATTCGGCGAGTGGTGTACGGCCGGTGAGAAACGATGGGCCCCCTGAAGTCGATGGGTCTCAGTGCGAGCGATATCAGAAGGGGCTATCGAGTTTGGGCATCCGTAGGGTATGCCCAAGGCTGCGTAGAGCGACACCGCCAAGATGTCGGGCGCCGCCGTGTCTCAGGACCCGGGTCGGCCGGGTTCACTGTGCCCTGTGCCTCGCCGGATTAGTCGTAGAGGTGTACTGCAGAACTCCAGCCAAGCGTGCTGTTCACTCACATCTCTTGGCAGGCCTCCGACTCGTCATACATCGGCACCGTCCAAATAGGCACCCCGCCCCAGACTTTCAAAGTTGTGCTCGACACTGGCTCTTCTGACCTCTGGGTTCCCGCCACGAACTGCCTCTCATGTGGTCAGACACCACCATTCGATTCCACGCAGTCCTCAACCCTCCAGCAGGTCACGAGCGCGAGTGGGAGCTCGCAGAGCGTCCGCATTCGTTATGGCAGTGGACAGGTCCAAGGCATCCTTGTGTCCGACACCGTGTCCATGGCCGGCTTCAACGTCAACCCGCAGAACTTCCTGCTCGTGGAGTCCATGACCACTGGGCTGTTAGATGGCGACGTCTCCGGCATCATGGGCTTGGCGTTCGAAGGACTCGCCTCTACGAACGCAGTTCCCCTCTGGCAGTCGCTCGCAAATGATGGTCAATTCTCCAGCCCAGAGTTCTCGTTCTGGCTTGACCGTCACCTGGACGACACAAACCCCCCGGACGAACAGTCCGGCGGTGTGCTGACGCTGGGCGGAACGAACAGCACCTTGTTCACGGGTGATATTGAGTTCCTGCCGCTCACGAATGCGGCTACGCCGACGTTTTGGATGCTCACGATGACAGGTATGTAGTGATGAGCTCATCATCCGCAGCCACTGCCTGTCATTTGCATGTTGATCACCGAGAATAACGCCGTATTGTACAGGCGCCACCGTCCAGGGCAAGTCCGTAACCATTCCCTCCGGCGACGCAGCCCTCTCCGCCATCGATACTGGGACAACCCTTGTCGGTGGGCCTACGGACGCGGTGAACGCCATCTACGCAGCCATCCCGGGGGCGACTCCCGTGCCGAGCATGGCAGGCTTCTGGCAGTTCCGTGAGTAACCTGCTATTTCTAAGCCGGCGCTATGTATTAATAACTATCCGTCCGCAGCTTGTTCCACGGAGGTGCAAGTGTCGTTCGCGTTCGGCGGCAAGTCGTGGCCCATCAGCTCGGCGGACATGAACCTCGGCCGCATCTCTGCCTCACAATGCGTCGGCGGCATTTTTGATCTCACGCAAGGCTCCGATGTTACTGGCGGCAACGGCAACCCAACGTGGGTCGTCGGGGACACCTTCCTGGTAAGTTGGCCTTAGCGCAGACCAGGACAGAGCAGCTAATTATACCGTCCATCGCTGCGCAGAAAAACGTATACAGCGTCTTCCGCGCAAACCCTGCCGCAGTTGGCTTCGCGGAACTGTCAAACGCTGCGGGTGGTTCTTCCGGTGCGTCCTTCTTTCTTTGTGGCCGCTAGGCACTATACGAATTTGACAAGCTCAATCCACCTCCTCTGCATCTTCTGTTGTTGTATCATCATCTGCTGTATCCGTATCCGCATCCTCTCCCTTTGTTGTACCAACGCTGTTGTCCTCTATCATCGGTCACCCTCCGATTTCCCCTTCCGCTTCTGCATCTGCATTCACAGGCACGCCGACTTCTATTCCCGGCTCGGCGACCATCACCGAGGGTATCGATCCGCTCCCGTCTGGCTCAAGCTCGACTTCGAGCACAGGTGCGTTCCTTTTGCCGTGTCCGGTTGCATCTCAATTACAGAGATACTCACGGTACTTTGCATTTCAGGCACCAGCAGCAGCGGAGGCACGAACGCCGCACTATCACTCTCCGCGAACGCGGGTGTGTTGTACACCGCGGCGTCGCTGCTCATCGGTGTCCTCTCTGGCTGCGCGCTCCTCGCATAGGCCCCACCGTGCATCATGCTTTCGCTCCCACCCGCTCGCTCTCATACGCCCACTCAACACATATACACACGTCGACGCCACGTACCAGAATCAGGATCAAGATCATCTCGGAGACAGGGAGGGCGGAAGGAGGTTGTTGCTTTCTCGGACGCTTTCTTTAGGACTGAACCATACCACGCCTACGCGCATGACCTGGGATGCTATGCTTGTGCTGTCGCCGTGGCGCTGCGATGCGACACGGGCGTGCTGTGCAATTACACTGCTGCTGCTATTTACGATACCTCCTCCGTTCCTGGTGTGCGTCCGCTCTATGTGCTGTGCTGCAACTCCCGCTTTTTCCCCAGGTGAGCTCAATAAGGACCTGGCAGCGCCTGGGCACAGGTCCCTCAGTACACGGACGTGGCTTCGCCGTGTCTGCGTTCCCTCCCGCTCAATACCCTCTCGGAGCCCGAGCTGGGCTTCCCTCGGAAGCCCGGTGCCCTGGCGCTGAGTGTATAGCGTCCATACTGGTGGGCAGCTTGGGAACGCGCGCTGCGCTGCGCAGCAGCGCCGCTCCCATGGGGGTGGGACGGCGGCAGCGATGATCTTCGGAGGCCTAACTTTGCGCGTGACAGGTGATGTCGATGTCGATGCCGGGTGCCACTGTGGCCTGCGGTCTGGATGGCGTTGACGTCGACGTCGAGGCATGTGGGGTTCTGTGGGATGGAAGGGGGCTGCGGTGACGTCGGATCCGATTTTTTCTTCTGGTTGCGTGGGCGGTGTGAATGTCAGTGTGGACCGTTGGGCGGCGCTGACATTTAGCGGCGAACGCTCGCCGCTGGCCACGAATAGATGTCCTACTACTAACAAGTAAAATCAATGGTGGCGGTCCAAACGATTGGTAATAATTAGAGTGGAGTCGTTAGTACGAAGTCCTTCCTTTGTAACCTACGGGTTAAGTAGAAGGTGGTGTTAAGTAGAAGGTGGTGTTAAGTAGAAGGTGGTATGATCGGAATGGATGTTCCGTGTACCTTCTGAACACCGTAAGTACTATAGCCTCCGCCCATTCCTGCGAGTCCATCGCAGCTCAAAATCCGTTGCAAATATGCAAGTGACATCACTCCTATGATATATCAAGAAGCCATCCCCTCCTCGAGCTTGAACCAATTCGGATTCCTTCCAGTACATATGTACACTGCACCGCCACCTTCGCCACAATGCGGGCGCTAATTTCAACTTCTGGTCCCGATTAAATGAAATAGTCCCCGGGGCCGCGCAGAGCATGCCAGTGGTACGCGCAGTGGAACGAAGTTGGGGTATGACTTGAGGTGATGTACACAACGCTGATATTACATCCGTTTCCGATACGAGTTGTTCCTCCAAGCAGTCCATGACGCTCAGAGGCTGCTGATGATACTATCGCCCTCGACGAGGATGCACGGCCCGCCGTAGATGACCTTGTCTTCCAGGCCGTTCTCCTTGACATATGCAATGACTGCCGCGTCCTCTGCGCCGGGCTGGAGCCAGAGTGCGGGAACGCCGAGAGCCTTGGCTTGCTCAAGCACTCCGAGAGTCACCTGACGCGTAGTAAGCATCTTGGAAAGCACAGGGCAGATAAGCACACGTACCTTCGGAGGGGTGATGATGCTGATAGACGTTTCCGTGGGTGCGGACAGATCGCTCACGGCGCGGATCGTCTTAAGGCCCTCGAGCTCGTCCTCTTTCTGTGTTGCACGTTGAGTGAGAGGTATAAGTATCCTGGTGTGTTGAATGTACCTACCGGGTGGATAGGAGTGACGTCCTTGCTTCTTGCCTGATACCACTTCAAAACCTGCTCAAAAGTGAGAACACGGCCACATGTAATTCGCGAAGCACCTCGGGTAACCAACCTTGGTCCCATACTTGGTCTGGTCCTTCGAAGCGCCCACGACAGCGTACTTCGGGGAAGACAGGAAATTCTTCTGCAACTGAACGAGGCTGGACATTTCTCAGGTCGGCGGTGCGTGTTGTACGGTGGTGCGATGAGAGAGACGGGTGGGCGGGATCATTAGATAGGTGCGCGCGGTATTTGAGGCACTGGCACTCTCACATCCGGAACGGGGTTGTGCTTCGCGCTGCACATGGCGGTGTGGTGGACAGCGGAGATCGCGCCATCCGTGCACCAGGGCGCGCGTTGGCAACGATAGCGGCCGCGGCCGCAGAGCGCATCCCCGCGCGAGCATATGCATATGATAAGTCTGTCGTTGGTCCACCCACGGGCGCTCGGGGCACGGCAAGGAGGCGGAGGAGAGTGTGAGAAGCGCGGACGCGTCTGCCCTGCCCTGAAGAATGGCCCGTGCGCGGCATCCGAGGGTATATAAGGGATTTCGAGACACGATGGCAACTCATACTTACCTTGATGGCACGAGCCCCTTCATGTACCTGGGTCCGTGGGCCGTGGGGACCTCTCATAGCACGGCGACCTTGTCCTCAGGGGGGCCTTGCGGTTTGTATGGGCTTCGGCTCATGCACCGTCTCAATATTTTCCTGTTCCGCTTCGGCCCTCGGGCTGGGCGGGCCTTTTTTTCGGTCCTTTCGTTGTCCTAACCCTAACCCCAAACGCATGTAGTAGATTAGATTACGCCGTTTATGGGAGATATGACCTCATCCGCTTGCATCCAACGTCTGTGTGATCTGACCGTGCACAACGCGTTTCTTCCGTTCCCTCTAGACAAGGACACGTCGACTTGTTTTCGCGCTCTCTCTTAGCACCTTGGGCCCTTGCTTCATGCATCTACCACGCTTTGGAGTCATCAAGCTGCCCTCGAGATCATCCAACAGATATATCTTCTACGGTGTCCTTCTTGGTCTTGCTCTCTCTCTCACAACCACCTCGGTTGTTAGCTATTTCCAGCAGCGGAAACGGAAGCGCGCAGAACTCACCTTCGAACCGCGTCCTATTGAGCTGCGTAGCGATGATGTGGTACAGGGTGTTACGGGCTTGATTGGTAAGTTAAACATGGCGACATTCACAGCATACAGGTTACCTAACATGTCTACGCATATCGTGCCTTTCATGAAGGCAATACACCGCTAGTGAGGATCAACTCTCTCAGTGATGCGCTTGGTGTAGAGATTTTGGGCAAGGCCGAGGTAGCTTATTCCTTTCCCGTGATCAGCGCCACGAGTTGACGGTTATGTCAGTTCATGAACCCAGGAGGGAGCGTGAAGGACCGTGTAGCTTTGCGGAGTACGTACTAGTCATTTTCCCTATGAAACACCATCCCTCAAACTCTACTTTGTTCAGTGATCGAGGACGCGGAGGAGCGCGGCCTGTTGCACCCACACACGGGTTCCCGCATTTTCGAAGGAACGGTCGGCTCTACAGGCATCTCTATTGCTACGATCGCACGCGCCAAGTAGGTCCCAGGCCTCCCTATGGTTCTTAGCTCATCGAACATAAATGTAGGGGCTATGAAGCCAGTATGTCAACGCCCGCTGAGGATATTGAACGCGTATTGACGAGTTTTGTAGCGATCATCATGCCTGACGACGTCGCGGAAGAGAAGGTCAAGGCTCTGCTTGCCCTCGGGGCCCAAGTAGAACGTGTTCGGCCAGCAAGTATCGTGGACAAGAAGCAGGTATGCACGTCCCGCAACCCGCATATAGTCACTTTGCTCACAATCTCTATCCCTAGTTTGTGGTATGCATTGTCTTTTCAGTGAGGCGCATCGGTTACTCATCATTCCGATGTAGAACCTGGCTCGCGAACGGGCAAGAGACTTCGGTTCCACGCCCGACCCCACACATCCGTCTGAGACCCATCGCGCACACCTCATCCCTACCGCATCATCTTCAATGGTCGTTACGACCACTGCCGACGATGCGCTTGAGGACAACGTCCTCATGAGCCCCAGGGAGGAGCGAGAATTCGCCTTGAAACCGCGCGGTTTCTTTGCAGACCAGTTTGAGGTACTTGGCACGACATGACTATACGCGCCCCTGCTCAAAACTCACTCGGTATCGATTGATCATAGAACAGAAGCAACTACCACTCCCATTACGACGGGACGGGCCCGGAAATCTGGCGCCAGACAAGCGGTGGAATCGATGCGTTCGTCTCCGGGGCAGGTACCGGTGGCACCCTCGCGGGGACGGGCCAGTACTTGAAGTCGAAGAAAAAGGACCTCCTGGTTGCGCTCTCTGACCCTGAGGGCAGCGGGCTGTATAACAAGGTCAAGCACGGCGTGATGTTCGACCGCAAGGAGGCGGAGGGCACGAAGCGGCGCCATCAGGTCGACACCGTCGTGGAGGGCATGTGAGTGCTACCTACGATGCGGGAGTTGTGGGCTGGCTGACTTTCGCGTGGCGCAGAGGTATCAACAGGCTAACGCATAACTTCGAGCTTGCGCTGCCGATCATCGATGATGCGTTCCGGTACGCCGCTCGCTCTATTTTGCACCGATTCCTCTTTCTTACTCGGATTCAGGGTGTCGGATGCCGAATCCGTGGCGATGTCGCGCTACCTGGTTCAAAACGATGGACTCTTCCTCGGTTCGAGCAGTGCGTGCAATGTCGTCGCATGCATAAAGCTGGCCAAGAAGATGGGTTGGAACAATGGTCAGCGACTGGTCACGATCCTGTGAGTGAATTGTGCTGTTTGTGTGATGCATCATGCTCACATCTTGAGCATAGATGCGATTCAGGGACGAGACACTACTCAAAGTTCTGGTAAGTCTTATATAACGGCCTTACTGAAGAGCCCACGAGCTGATTCATCCCCCGAAGGAACGACGATTACCTCGCAAAAGCCGATATCCCAGTCGACACAAGCATCATAGACAGGCTGCTCGCCGAGCCGTCAAGCGCATAGATAATAGTGACACCCCAGCGGCGTGTATGCAAGAGATCTGATGCTCGGTGGTAGTGTACAAATGCGATAGTCTACACTGAGTATATAATGGACAACACGATAGCAGTACGGTCGATGGGTGTAAGGTATATATGTCGGAGAGGAAAGGTGCCGCACATTCACGTCGGCGGTGGCCAAGATGCGCTCGGTTGCGAATACTGCGCGTTCGACGCAGAGCCTGCGGACGCCAGGGGCACGGTGGTGAACGGCGGCGGCCGCGGCGAGCGCACGGTCGACTCCTTGCTCGGCGACGCGCTCAGCCCCGGGGTCGCAGACGGCCGCCCGCCCTCGCCGCTCGCGCTCCCGCCTGCCTGGCCGGCGCCCGCGGACGCAACGACGTCCGTGTTGCCGAGGCGCATGAAGCCGGCCTGCACGAGGAAGTCCCACACGCGGCTCGTCTTGTTCACGTCGATCTTGACGAGGTCGCGCGCCTCGCGCCGGCGCAGCTTGCCCCCGCGCCGCGCGTACTCGCGCACGAGCGTCTCCTTGATCACGAGGTACGGCTTCGGGAGGATGCGCAGCTGCGAGCAGAGCGTCTGCTCCTCGGGCGTGAGCAGGTGCAGCGCGGGGCTGTTCGCGAGGTTGAGGGGGGCAGCTGTATGAGTGGGGATGCGTGAGCGACAGAGTAGGAGAGAGGAGAGGATGGGACGCACGCATCTTCCGTACAGGCGGGCCTGTGCCGCTGACGGATGAGCCGCCTGGCTTGGGGGTGGCTTCTCGCTCGTCTCCGTCGATACTTCCGCGGCGCGGATCGGGTCCGGAGGAGGCACGGGCGCCTGCAAGTCGCCGATCGACATAGTAGTCACGCGAGAGGTTCGCCTTGACGCTTGCCTGCATGACAGCCTGTGTGAGCGAACCGGAACCAAGGGGTGTGGTGGGGAACTCACCCGCTTAGCGACATCCGCCTCGTACTTGTCGATGTCAGCTGCTGTCCGCAAACCCATGCGGCGGTAGTGTTGGAGTTCTTGTATCCTCTTGCGGAGGATGTGTTCGTCTGAGCGATGATGAGTATGGTGGTGGGCGACACGGTCTGCTGGAACTTACATAGAATATCGGCTTGGAACTCCTCAAAGTCTTCCGCAGTCTGTAGTCTCGCAAACGGCCGCAGGCGGTGCAGGATGTCTTTCTCCTCCTTTGGCCGTTTCTTATCTGCCGCTTGCATCTACGTGACTGATCAGCGGGCGCTCCGCTTCTCTGCAATACCCACGGGCCACGTACCTGCTTGTAGTTCAGCAGACCCCGGTCGAACATGATGCTCTTGGCTTCTTGCCGCTTGTCAACGCGCTGATAGTACGACTCGAGGAGCGAAAGCTTGAACTCCAAGGACTCGGGCGTCTCGAACGGCGGCGGCTGCGTCTGCTCGTCGGCATCGTCCCCGTTCGCGTCGCTCCCCTGCTTGTCGTCATCCGGCTTGGAGCTGGTGCCCCGCCGCGGCGTGTCGCCGTTCGAGTAATACCCGTTCACCAGGCCGTTCATCAGGCCATTGGGCTGCCACTTCCCCGGGGACGACTCCTTGCCTCTGATCTTCAGCTCCTCCTCAAGTCGCGCCCGCGCCTTCACATCCTGGTCGCTCTCGTCCTCCGGAATCTCGTCTCCGCCCCACTCAAGACACACGCCGAACTCGAGGTCCTTCACCATGTCCTCGGCCTCGTTGTCTAGCTCGTGCTCGAACTCCAGGCGTCCCGGGAGGAAGGTGGCGACTTCGTGCACGCCTGGGGCAGAGACGGGCGCGGCCTTCGGTGGAGGAGGGTTGGTGGTGGTCATGGAGGATATCCGCCGCCGTTTCCGCTCCTGGAACTCGGCGGGGTCGACTTCGAAGTCTGCGTCCATACGCTGCAGGGAGTGGCGTAACGTTAGTTGGAGGGAGGGTGGAGGAGTGTAAAAGGGCACGAACGGGAAGGGGCCAATTGGGTGAGTCGATATAGACTGTACGATAATGCTTCTCGACCTCTTCCTTGGTCCGGGTCCCAACATGTTCCGATATGGCTTGCCAGTTGCCAAGCCCTTGCATGGTTATGCCCTCGAGGAGAAGGAGCTCCCTGAGGCCATTGAGTTATTCTGGTCATAGGGCATGAAACAAAGAGCTCACTCGTCCGCACCCCAATCTTCAACAAAGATCGGATAAGAATGTAACTCCTAAGCAGAGGGAAAGGTTATTATTGATGGAGGTTGACGCGTCATTGCTGCAGTCACCCACCACAACACGGTAAGCGTGGTCCCGTTTGTGGACATTGAATTCCTTCCCGTCGCAAAAACATGCTGGGCAGATATCCACACCATCTCCGACCTCGCACACGGGGTCGGCGCACTTTATTCGTATGGAATGCGTGAGGTCGCAAGCGCAGCTGTCGCACTCGATCTGCAAGCCGGGCTCATTCACAGCTATTACGTAAGCAAAAGCAAGAAGCGTGAGATTCCCAATGTGGCAAAGGAGGAAAGGCCCGGGAAACGCAAAGGACGCACTTTGAATCTCCTCTGGCTGGTACGCCCGCTTCCGATGAGTAACCGTCATCTCTGCACGAAAAATCCAGCGATTCCGCCCAGAAACGAGTGCCGCACGGCCTGACCTTCGGAATGGGGCAGTTCTGGAGATTCCCCCAAGGAGTCCTGCAGGAGCGTCCCCTGAGGGTCGAGTCTAGCACGCGCCGTCCAGGATGTCAAAATGGGGTCTTGAAATGCGGATTGCGAACGTCGATGTGGTCTCGTAGGAGAGCGAGTGGCTCACGGCGAGCGTCGTGACTTGGCCAGTGTAATGGCGGATTGTGAGACCTCTAATGGATGCCGAGGTGGCTTTGGAGGATGGTCTGCGACTCCGGGAGTGTGTTGGATGTACGAGAAGCTCGCAAGTGGCCTTGTCGTCGTTGTCGACGGCGGCGGCGACGGAGGCACAGTCGCTGACGCCGACGGTAGTGCAAATAGGGCCAAACAACGCGTCGTGGACGTGCCTGTCAATTGGGCGCCTATGAGATGCGTCCTATACTAGCCACACTCTCTCGCTCACGCTCCGTCTCTCTGCCGTCTCCAGCTTTCGTTCGGTCGGCCTCTCTCTGTGGCCCCATTACTGGGCGTGTTATAACTGTGCTGGGTAGCTCTCTCCTACGAATCCTGCTTGTCAACGAGGGGGAGCTTCAAACGTCATGAACGGCGTTGGGTCACCTTCTCCGCCGCCACCTGGCCGGTCAATCGACATTGAACTAGGTGGACAAGAAGTTATTACTATTGAGCTAGACAACCTCGACCCAAATCCGGACGATCTACTAGAGGTGCTCAGAGAGGGCCAGTGCAAGGTGTGGATATGGACGAGACTTGCGGCGGAGTACTGGCGGAGAGGGCTTGTGGATGCGGCGGAGAAGATCGCGCAGACGGCAGTCGAAAGTATGTGTGCATTAGACACAGTTTGTCGTGACTTCTCACACAAGATTGTAGCCCTTCAAGCCACCGGCGCGACAGCATCATTACCACCGGTCTACTCCTTCCTAGCGAACCTCCACATCGCGCGAGCCTCCAAAGCACCGAAGTTGAAGCTCCCTAATGCTCGTAAGTCCTTTCCTCATTTGTCGTTGTACATGTCACTCAGTCCTGCTTAGGGCAAGACGTCATTAAGGAGAAGATCCGGGACGAATACAACCGAGATGCCGCGAAAGTATTCAACGATGGAGAACGCGTTGCATCAGAGAATGGGCAAAGCGGCACGATGCTTGCTATTCTTACAAGGGGTAAGCGTACCTGTGGCTGCTTGTTGCTCGGATATTCACCCAGGCGTCAGGCATTCTCCAATTGAGCACTGGCGTCTGGGATGACGCCGCGAGGACATTCGACGCGGTGCTCGCTGAGAAACCGACAAATGTTGTGGCTTTGCTTGGCAAAGTATGTCGTTCACATTTCCCCTTCCCCACAACGCCCATGCTCAACGCCAGAATGTAGGCCAAGATAGCATACGCACGACGACAATATTCTCAGGCTCTCAAACTCTTCCAGAAGGTTCTGCAGCTAAATCCGAACTGCCATCCTGACCCTCGCATAGGAATTGGATTGTGTTTGTGGGCGATGGATCATAAGGCCAAGGCGAAGTCTGCGTGGCAGCGCAGTATTGATGTGGTATGGTCTTTGCTGTACCTATACACTCATGGTATATGTATCCTAACGTTTGGCGCTCAGAACCCTGGGGAATGGTCTGCGCAGCTTCTACTAGGCATCGAGGCCCTCAACACCAGCAAGGACGAGGCCCAGTCTGAAGAGGACCGCAGGGAGGAGTTTCTCAGAGGTACTCGCTTGATTGAGAAGGCCTTCAATGCCAACCAGAAGAACTCTGCGGCGGCCAACGCCCTATGCGAGCTGTTCCTCCAGAAGGGCCAGACCAAACGGGTCAGTAGCTCCGGCGTGTCCACGTTTCAATTTTATAACATGTGGTACACACACAGGCACTCAAGCTCGCAGAGCGCACCATCCAGTTTGCTGATGTCAAGGGTATTGTGTGCGATGGTTACATCCGTGCTGGGCGCATATGCCACAAAGAAGCTTCAATCCGTGACGCCATGACCCATTTCCAGAAGGCGAAGGAGACCAAGAAGGACAACGTTCTTGCAACCATCGGCTTAGCACAATTGCAGGTGAAAAACGGTACGCTGATTTGTCTTGAATCTGGGCTCGACTGACTGTGCATCAGAGGAGCCTGCGGCTGCTATCCATACCCTCGACACCTTCATGCAGACGCCTGCGAACCCCAAGTCGGTGGAGCTCATGGCAATGCTCGCCTCCCTGCGAGCGATGCCTCGACCAGGAGTGTCTAGCGCAGATAAAGTCGAGGAAAAGAAACGTGCACGCGAGCTTTTCGATCGTGTCAGCAAAGCTATCACCACCCCCGCAGATGGCCTACCACACGCCAATGGCCACACACAACCTCCTAGCTCTTCCGTGCGCAAGCTCGGGGACGACTTCGAGATGTTCATCGAGATTGCCAAGCTTTACCAGGACGAGAGCCACGAGAAGATGACGCTTGCGTACAAGCAGGCGCTGAAGAACAGCGAGGTTAGCGGCAAGACCGAACCGAGGCTGGTCAACAATCTCGGTGCCTTGCAGCATCTCGAAGGCCATCTCGACGAAGCCCAGACCTTGTACGAGACTGCGCTCACGCAGGCTGCGGGTCTTGATTCGACTACGGCGGAAGCGATGTCCACGTCTATCTTGTATAACCTCGCGCGAGTATACGAGGACCAAGGTGAGGAGATGAAGGCAAAGGAGGCGTACGAGAAGCTCCTCACAAGGCATCCGGAGTATGTCGATGGCAAGTCCGCATTCCCAAAACTGCCATATAGTATGCTGATGTATCATTTAATTCAGCCAAAATTCGACAAGCCCAAATGCTGGCGGGCCTCAATCGCCACAATGACGCACACGAACTCCTGAAGCAGGTTCTCTCCTCCCAGGCCAACAATCTCAACCTCCGTGCCTTTTACACCCACTTCCTCATACAATCCAACCTCCCCAAACCCGCCAAAGACTTCGTCTTCCTCACCCTCCGTGACCACGACAAGCACGATGTCTACTCATTATGCGCCGCCGGCTGGCTCCAGTACCACCAAGCGCGTGAGAACCGTGACGGCACGCCGAAGGGTATCGAGGACCGCAAGCGCGCCTTCCACCGCTCAGCCGAGTTCTACGAGAAGGCGCTACACCTCGACCCTCTCTGCGCTATTGCGGCGCAAGGCCTAGCGATCGTCGTCGCAGAAGATGCCCTAGGGAACCTCGGCGGCGCGCTGGGCACCATCGCCCCCGATGAGGCACAGAAGCGGCTGAAGAACTCGCGCGAGGCGTTAGACATCTTCGCGAAAGTGCGGGAGTCGATCAACGACGGGAGCGTGTACGCAAACATGGGCCATTGTTACTATGCGCGCGACGAATTCGACCGGGCGATTGAGAGTGTGAGTCGTGGGGACAGTCGGTCGTGTGTATGTTGGAGCGGGTCCGCTGACGTTTGTGGGCAGTACGAGACGGCGTCGAAGCGGTTCTACAGCAACCAGAATGTGCCTGTGCTGCTGTGTCTCTGTCGGGCGTGGTATGCAAAGGCGAACAAGGACCAGTCATTCACTGCGATGAACACTGCTCTACAATATGCTCAGAAGGTGAGCACCACGATCGCTACCCTCTATGCAGCCTTCTTCATCTCGTTTCCAGGCTCTACATCTCCATCCATGGGACAAGGCAACACTCTACAACATTGCTATGATTCAGCAGAAGGCGGCAGAGCTCCTCATGTCTGTGCCCGCCTCGAAGCGGTCCCTCAAGGACATGCAGAAGGCAATCGAGCAAGCGACTCACGGCCAGAAGTCAGTTCCATTCTTTCACTTACCTCACGAACGTGCCTGAACGACGTCGCGTATAGGCTCTTCGCGTCACTCGCGGCCGACAAGTCCCCTCAGGTCCCGTACAGCCGCGACATCGCGGACCAGCGCCGGAAGTACGGCGAGAGCATGCTCCGGCGGTGTGAAGAGCACCTCGCGACGCAGCGCCAGTGGGAAGCCGATGCGCAGGCCAAGATCGAGGCCGCGCGGCAGCGGCGGCAGGCCGAGAAGGAGCGTCTCGACGCTGCAGAGGTGCGTCTCGCGTCCCACGCCCGGAGGGCTCCCACCCCGTGGAGTGGTGCTGACGTGTTCGTGCCCAGCGCGAGCGCCAGGAGGAGCTGCGCAAGCAGGCCGAGAAGCTCGCGGAAGAACGGCGGATCGCCCGCGAGCAGGCGCTCGAGTGGACGCGTGAGGTGAAGCGCATGGAGAGCGACGAGGAGCGCGAGAAGCAGACGAAGAAGGCCAAGCGTGGGAAGCGCTCGGAGAACGTCAGCGGGGACGAGGGCGCCGCTGGCGAGCCGAAGCAGAAGAAGCGTCGCGGAAAGCTGAAGAAGGCGGCGGAAGAGGGTGGCGAGCTTCCGGAGGCAGAGGATGCCGCCCTCTTCAGTGGGGACGATGAGGAGCAGAAGCCTCGGAAGGTAAGCGGATCCCGGACGATATTGTTGCTATCGAGAAGCCAACGCTGATGATGATCATGTAGCGCACTAAAAAGCGCGCCGTCCGAGACGACGACGATGAGGAAGAGGCCGCCGCCGTTCCTCGGAAAAAGCAGTAGTAAGTGATCTAGCCCTCGGAGATTCGTGCGCGATACTCAAACTTCGTCTCCAGCAAAAGCAAGGAAGTCATATCGGACTCCGACGAGGACATGTCGTGATATCTGCGCTTTCGTTTGTTGCCTTCTATATCTCGTCCCATTTCGCGATCGTGCTTTGTGTATCCATCCTAGTACATTTGTAATTCATACTCGACTCTCAACAGGTGGGCGACTGCTTTTGGCCACCCTCAGTCACCCCAGTCGAGACCCAGAGCGTCCTGCTTGCCACCGCGCACGGCGCCCTCCACAGCCTCCGCCAACGCTCGCAGTGCCGCCCTATCCTCCTCACTCTCGCGCGCCAAAAGCAGTTTCCCTCTCGACTCGCCGATACCCAGAGCTTCATGCAGCGCCTCTTCTCGCTCTTCCCCACGCAGAGCATCTATCGAACGTAAAATTTCTCGAAGACGAGGGTTTGAGCCAATGACGCGGCGAATGACCGGTGATGTCGCTGAAACGTGCACTTTGAGAAAAACGTAGAGAACATTTAGCCAAACGGCAGACCTATCGCTTCGTATTGAGGCAGCTGGAGCGGTTTTGGATCGTCTCGTTTGAGAGGGTCTGGGAACGCAGATTCCTCCGGCACGTAAGGCCAGTTGAGCGAAGTCAAAGGTCTGATTTGGACCTCGTTTTCGTCGGTTGTTACTTTTCCAGCACCGTCTTCTTGGGTTGTCCCGGCATCGGCTGCATCTGGCGCACAGATGAGGCTGTATTTCCTGGCAGACGGGCGATCATGCGTACCTTTCGTGCTACGAAAAGGGATATCTTGCTGCTGTTCGCTCAAAAGAGAGGGTGCAGTTCGCGAAGACGACGCCGCAGATGGCTGCCTCGCGGAACATGTTTCTGTTGTGGGTTTTGATTCAGCGAAGCTACGTGCGGACATGCATGCGCCGAGCTACCTTGATGTCTCTTGTAGCATGGCACAGAGCAACTGAATAGTGCAAATCAATTCGTGAATTGCAGCACAGGATACACGCTCAACGTACTAGACCACACGGCATTTGGCGCATGTGTACTTCGATTCTGCAGACTCGCAGATTTGGCAAGCTGCGCGTTTGGGAGCCATCTAGCAGGCAGACTGGTAAGTAAAACGTATCGTGATGTCTTGGGCGTATAAAAACGCACCTTTGAGTGTATTTCACACTATCGTGAGATGTGTGTTGCACTGTTCCATGCCCGCTGGCGGTAGTGGTTCTTGTCAAGAACAGAACCTGCCATTTTCGGACGTGCTCCCAGGAAAGAAAATTTCCACAAATATGACGGAACACGCGTGGTGGCTGTGCATCCACGATCGGCTAAAATCCTCTCGCTGAGTCGCCGCTCGATCAAAGTGCTCAGGACACCGGATTTTCTGAACAGCAGCAACGTCTGCGTCGTGCAATTCACCATGCAGGAACAGGTCGCATCAGAGTTCGTGCATTGGTTCCAGCTGCAACATGGGAACCTCGACACAGAGAAAGTTGGCATCGTGGAATTCCCTGAACATGGACGTGGTGCAATCGCGCTGCAGGACATCCCCGTACGTATCAGACCCTTACTGCCACGACGTTTCAACCACAACCAGCTGATGTTCAGTATTACAGGAGGACTATACTCTATTCACTATCCCTCGCGAGCTGACGTTGTCAACAAGAACGTGCTCGCTCCCCACTCTCATGGGCCAAGCGTGGAAAGAGCACGGCCTTCACGAAGGCTGGGCGGGCCTCATCCTCTGCATGATATGGGAGGAGTCTAGAGGATCCGACTCGAAGTGGTCCGGGTACCTGGGTCAGCGTGCCCTCAAACACATGTATTGTGTATATACTGACCTTCGTGAACAGCTACCCTCCCAAGTTCGTTCGACACACCGATGTTTTGGGGACAGGAAGACCTGAACGAATTGCAGGGCACTGCTGTGGTAGGTCTGTCGTCTTTTGCTGTACCATACTCCTTCGACTCCTGACCCGGTTTGATAGACAAAGTAGGCAGGGATGAAGCCGAACGCGACTACCATGGAAAGCTCGTCCCGGCGATCACAGTGAGAGACCTTCTCACTTGCATTGCGTACGCTCCGCTCACACAGACGTCTCAGGGCCGAACAGATTTATTCCCTGCAGACAAGCTCTCGCAGTACTTCTCACTAGAGCGGTACCATCTCATGGGCAGCCGCATCCTCTCGCGCAGCTTCACTGTCGAACAGTGGAAAGGCGAGCACCACGATGGCGGCGATGAGCATGACGGGGATGACGAAGCAGCCGATACTAGTGCCATGGATGTGGACTCTCAAGAGGCCCCCAGCACCGATGCGGCAGAAACCACGGAGCCCGCGCCAGTAGACGGAAGCGACGGGCCCGAAGAGCTGCAGATCGAAGGAGATGGTGAGGATTCCGACGACGAAGACCATGAGGATCCGGGAGACGTCGCTATGGTGCCTATGGCAGACATGTTGAATGCGCGCTTCGAGTCTGAGAACGTCGGTCCACGTTCGACTGCCTCCACGTCCTAATGTATCCTAATCCTGCTTTTTTCAGGCAAAGCTCTTCTACGATGAGCGGGAGCTCAAAATGGTCTCTACTAAACCTATCAAGGCCGGAGAGCAAATTGTAAGCCCAGATCTCCTCGTGTTCCTCCTCGCGTCCTAATGCCGAAGTACACAGTGGAACACCTATGGCGACCCACCAAATTCGGACCTCCTCAGGAGGTACGGCCACGTGGACCTCGTCCCTCTGAGCGCACCACTCTCGGGCCTGGGCAACCCCGGCGACGTCGTGGAAGTCCGCGCGGACTTGATCGTGTCCGTCGCGGCAAAAAAGGTCAAACACGACCTCAAAGAGCGCGTCGACTGGTGGCTCGAAGAGGCCGATGACGAGTGCGTGTCCCCTCTCGTACGCCTCACTGGCTGGTATGCTCATGGGAAATTAGCGTCTTCGTGCTGCGCACGGACTGCGAACTCGCAGAGGAGCTTGTCTCGTTCGTCCGTCTGCTGCTGCTCCCGAAAGACGAGTGGGAGAAGGCGGCGCAGAAGAGCAAGCTGCCGAAGCCGAAGCTCGACAAGGACGTGCTCACGATCGCGGTGGACGTGCTCGAGAAGCGCCTCAAAGACTACCCGACGACGCTGGAGGTACGGACCTGTGCTCTTTCCTTCTCGTTTCGCGCGATTCTGGTTAACACTATCCTACCATCAGGAGGACGAAGCGCTCTTTGCACCAGAACGCTTTGGAGAGCTTTCGCTGAACAAGAGGCATGCCGTGGTCGTCCGGCTGGGCGAGAAGCGGATACTGCGGGGCACGTTGAAGGACGTGCGGGTAAAATTGATTGCGAGTTCTGGGACGAGCAGGAAACGCGGGCGGGAGGAAGAAAAGGGCGGGAAGGGTAAGAAGGCCAGGAAGTAGCGGTACCTGTATGCCACGCCCGGGGATAGAGGGCGACATTGCTTTAGTCTTTGCCTTCAAATTCAGCCTCCAAACGGGCTCTCATAAATTGCATAACAAGGTTCGGATATACCATCTCCGGGCACCAATACATATCCAGCCTCGACACGAGGCGTCTAACAAGAGTACAAAACCTCCTACAATCCGGTTGCGTGCGGTACACTGCAGAAAAGCTACGGGATACAAGTGAGGCATGTGTGTGTCGTCAAGAACGTGAAGTACAAGCCGGGCAGGAAACGCTGGTCGTAAACCTGCCGCGGGTGGTCGTCGTGAAAGTAAGGCTTCAGTAGAAGTCGGGCGATTTGCCCATCGAGTAGGCATTGAGGCACTCGACGAGCGGGGCGTGAACCAACGCAGCCGCGCGCAGGTTGCTGTCGCATGCCTGCGGTATGGGCGGCACACACTGCTCACAAGCGAGAAGGGTCAGTCAGCACGCTGCAGGTGTGAGACCGATAAAATAAGAACCCACAGAGGTGAAGCTCTTTGCAAGCGCGAGGTCTGAATTGAGCCGTGAGCACGCCAGTCGCACCACATGCCAGGCACTCTCGAACGCGGTGAGCTTCAGCACGATCTCCTTCGCGTCGTCCTCGATCGTCCCGAGGACCTGCCTCGGCGACATCTCGTGCATGTCGCCCTCGGACTCGAGCGACTGGTCTGGGAGGAACGTGCGCGGCCCATCAGTACGTGTGCGGGGCCCCATTCAGCGTACGCACATCTGCTAAAGTGTACGTCAAGCGAGATGCCGACTGTATGGGCGGCGGTCAGAGTGCTGTGCGGTCCATTCAGGGGGCGCGTACGTACAGCAGGAGAAGCGCAGCTTCTCGAGGCGGGAGAGCATAACCTTGAATGTGTTGACTATCTTTGTCAGGAGCCGATTCAGGGTCTGCAGGAAAAGAGAAGCCCGGTGAGCGTCATACGTGGGCGAGCAGCGGGAGATCCGCGGACTGACGTTCCAGATCGACATGCACAGTCTAGCGGACGCCCGGTGAGTACATCGTCCGGCATCGCATCGATATGGGGAGAGCGGTCACGCACTCCTCGAGTCCCGTCCAGACGCTCTCGAAGAAGCCCTCCGGCTCGGCCTTTATTCGCAGCGTGCTCGCAACCTTGCGCGGGAACACCTCGACCTCCTTGCTCAGCTCGCCAAAGCGCTCCGCGTTCTCCTTCGCCGCGTGCAGGTGCACGGGAATAGTCTGCGTGTGTTCCCACCGGGCGGTCAGCACCCGCGCTTCGACGCGCAGCGCTATCGATGTGCGCACCTCGAGAAATTTGCCAATCATCTGTCGCTTCTGGCCCATGGAGACCTCGGCCGACTGGGACAGCGGCACCAGGATCTCGGCAAAGTCTGTGTGAGCAAGACGCAGGACGCCATTCAGCCACCATGCACACACACGCGGCCGACCGGTGTGAAGTAAATGCGGGGAACCCACTCTTGAGGAAGTGCGCGCACAGGCCCGCGTTCTGCTGCGAGTCGCGATAGACGCGCCGATGTCTCTGCCGTACACTCCGTTGGACGACGTCAAGGGTGTAGCACACAACCGCACGCGCGCACCTGCCGCAGCTCGTTCCATTCATCGCACAGCGGGTGCCGCTCGCCGATCTCGGGTGTGCTCTCCAGCTGGGCGGAGACGGAGCGGAAGAGCTCCTGGATGTCCAGCTGGTCGTTTGTGAGCGTGACAAAGTTCTGCTTGAGCTCGCTCCGCTGGCGGTACGCCGCCTGGACGTCGCTGTACGAGGGCAGCCCGGGGTCCGTCTGAGGCTGCATAGCGGGCGCTTCTGCTTGGCGAGCGGGTATCGAGTGGTCAAGGTCGTCGGGGGCGCGATGAGAGATAGAGAGCAAAGTAGAAATCTTGGCTGCCGCGCGCGACTCGAGGGTCGCCCGCCTGTGATGGATGGCCTGCTGAAAGCAGGGCGCGAGGCCCGCCTCGAGGCGCACCTCCCTCACCCCGCCATCACGTGGTGCCATGCGACATTGTCCCCGGGCCCTAGCGTCAGGGACTCAGGGTGCTGCGGTAAGTGTGAAGCAAGCCGGAATATTATAACGGTGTGTAGAGTGCAGTTATGATACATGTGCAATGTGCGATGAATATTCCTTCCTTCCTGGTGCGTCTGAATGTCCCGTCTACGCCGTCGATGCCGCTGTCTTCACGTCCTTTGCCGCTGCGCCCACCTCTCCTTCTCGGCCGTCTGGGTCTCGACCATACTACCCGCACCGTCACCGGGCGTCGGCCCTCGCTCGCGCTCCTTCTCCTTCTCAGTCCCCTTCTTCTCTTCCTCCTCCAACAACCACACCACGCCTTCCCCGTCCTGCAAGTCCACGCCCGCACGCTCGAACCGCTCCGTCCACCAGATGAACACGTCCGGCGCGAACGGGTCCGTCGACGTGCCCACCAGGAAGCCGAGCGTGCGCACGACCTCCAGCGCGGGGAAGAACGCGCGGCAGCCCGCGAGCACCGCGAGGTGCGCCTGCGCCTGCGACGGCTTGTTGGGGTACAGGCGGCTGATGCCCGTCCCGCGGATCCCGACGCGCCGCAGACGCGGGTGCGGCGCCTCGAGCAGCGGCGCCGCCGCCCCCGTCGTCCCCGCCGCTGCGCTCGCCGCGGCCCGCGCGGCGTGCTCCCGCGCGTCGCGGTCGGCGACCTGCGCGAGCGCAGCGCCCGAGGGGCACAGCGCCTTCTCGCGGCAGTCGAACACGAGCGTGTCGAGGTTCGGACAGGTCGTGGGCGAGAGGAAGGCGGAGATGCCGATCGGGCCCGGCCTGAAGGACTGCGTGACGGCGGGGAGGAGCTCGACTGTGGTGAGCTTCGGGCCGTGCTTGTCGAGGAAGTTCGCGAGCTCCTTCACTACCCAAGGCGCCCATACCGTCCGCGGGGCCCCGTCTGCATCGAGCACGAGATACCGAAGGGCGGGCATGTCTTGCATGCTTGCGAAGCGCAGGAGGAGCGGGCACGTCGGCAGGGCTAGATAGACAACGTGAGGGAGAGTCAGCGCGACAAATTGGACGTCCTTGATACTGCGCTCCGCGTCCAGGATGCAGATCTTGCGAAGATCGAGGACACGCAATGTAGAGAACTTGGACAGGAAGGACGTGGTCAGAATGGGAAGCTCCTTCTCCGCGACGACGACGCCGTCCTGTTGCCAGTAGAGCTCCTGTAGGGTACTCGGGAGATACTGTTCCAGCGCGGCGGGCAGGTTCTGCGGAAGGAGGTCCTGCCATATGCCGCTGAAGACGCGGAGCCGCGGGCACATGTACACAGAGCGCACCACACACTCCCAGTACTGGGTCGACCGGGTCGTCCGCGCCCACCGGCGCACCTCCAAGTGGCGCACCCAGCGCCCATGCCCCATTACCTCTCCCCCGCCAACGGCGATGGCTTTCCTCTCCGCCTCGCGGCTCTCAAAGAGGGTCCTGTAAAACAGCTGCACGCGCCGGGCGCTGCCGAGGACGACATGCCCGTACAGCAGCTCCGTCGCGAGGGCGCGCCAGACGCGGCACACGCGCACGAGCACGCATTTGGTGTGCATCGACTGGATCGGCGAGTTCATCCCCCACGCGTAGTTCGCGGGCCGCTCCGGCGTGAAGGGGTCCGCGGGTGCGATCGTGCGCGCGCGGGGAACGTGCGTCGCGTACCGGAAGATCTCCAGCCACAGTTCTGGGGGGAGGCTGGTGTGGTCGGCGCGGGGGGCGCGCACGCTGCCGTCCGTGCCGCTGTTGGGAGAAGCAGCGGCGTTGCTATCGGGGACGAGCTCGACTGCGGCGGGCCCGGGTATTGAGGGTGCGGCGCCGGGTGCGAGAGAGGGTGCAAGATTGGTGAGACCGACGGCGACGGGGGGCGGCACGTAGCGCAATACGTCATAATCAGGGGGCGATTCGTCTGCTATCGTGCTCATACTGGCGGCCTGATGGACGTGAACAGTCAGCGCGCAGAAATAAGGTGGAAAGACACGACCTAACGATCCCCATGGGTACAAAGTACTCAAACCAACTCTGCAGGCGCGAGATGCGTGGACTGCCGTGCGGCACACGTGTGTAACGCTCGAGGCGGAGAGCAGGAGGCTACTCACCACCCTCGAAGGATCTGAGTGGCACAAGCTACAATTGTCTGATGGCGAGACACGACAGGGGCGATCGCACGGACCAAGGCTCACGTTCCGGTCGGACTTGGGCGTCGGCAGGGTGTACGTCTCGCCGTCCAGAATTCAGGTCCACGGATGAGTAACGTTCGGCGTCCGACGCAAGGATGTGGGGGAGGCTCGCAGCTCGCGTACAGCGCGTTGCTCGCAGCAGAGGGCGTGATCGAGGGTGGTGGTGGTCGTCGTGGTCGTCGATGGAGCTCGATTGGAGGGTGTGCGCGCGAGAGAGTGGATGAGGGGAAGGACTAAAGCAGCTCAGGGCCACTACCCCCGCCGCTAGAGGACGCCCCGATTTGGCGTGCTTTGCCTCCAGCAGCGCAATGGCCATTCCCGCCCAGTCGGCATCTCGGAGCCGGGCCCGCACCGCTGCCCCGGCGCGCTGTGCTGTCAGACAAGCGTACGAACTTGGCACGGATTGTGTGCGCCCCGCCGCGGGACCATCTCCCGACGCCTGCCACCCATTCAATGTTCAGCGCACGATCTCGCTTCGCCTTCGACGGTGTACACGCCTCGCCCCGCACATCCGACTCGGACGCTCACCTCTGTGGTCGAGGCCTCCAGTGCGACGCGCAAGCGGGAAAGCTTCTACTCTGGCAAGCTGGCCTGCTCGTCCCGGATCCCGACATGTTTCCCGGTATTTCACACCGTTATCTCCATCTCCGTGTCGGAATCTAGAGTCAGCCACTCTCTTTCCAAAGGGTGTTGCTCATTTTAGTTAAGCAGCATGGGAGGAACTGCTTGTTCCAATATCGATGTCGTTCCACCAGCGTTGCGGATCATAAGGCACCACGGAGTTATCCCGCCGCTTCTAGATGTTGGCCCAACGCTAGGGACATGCAGGACGCGAGTCTAAGCCTAACTCGCCCTGCGCCATAGGCCGCACGCATCACATCGGAAACCAAGCAAAACAAGCCGTGTTACTGCTACAACGGGGTCCTTACGATCCCCGGCTATTATGTACACTACGCGCAGCCACGAGCGGGGTGGTATCGTCGCCCCCGTTCGCGGCCGCGATTCCATATATGCGAATGTCCTGACCAAATTGTCCGATGGCCGAATGCTGGTGGTATACGTACACATGCATCACCCCCTCCCCCCTCCGATCGCCCTCCTCCCCGCGGCGCAAAATCCACATATGCGAACAAACGAACAGGCCGGGATCGTCCGAGTCCCTCGGGTGCGTCTATGAGCAGTCTCGCTGGTGGTACAACGCGCATGCACGCGCGTCAAGCAATTCGGGGGCGGCGCCCTGGATCCTAGCGGGGTGATGCGCGCCGCGCGCAGGTGCGGCCCCGTCGCATCGACCTCGGTGCGGGCCATAGATAGCGCGCCCTCGCCGGTCGCGGACCCGGGCGCCATCATGGATCTGCGCGCCGCGGCGCCCGCAGCTGCGTCGAGTAGCCTCGCCTCCGAATCTGTTACGCCCCGTCCCGGGCGCAGGTGAGCGCGATTCAACGCGCGCCGGGGCCCAGGGCGAGCAAGCGCAGCGCCCGATCGTCCGTCGGGCTTCGCCGGTATACATGGCTCCGAGGGAGCGTCTCGAGCGGGACGAGGTCCACCCGCGGCGTGAGCATGTCGTCGTTGGCGGGCAGCAGCGGAGCGGGTTTGTACGGCTCGCCGTTGTCCCACAGAGGCGGCGTCTGCGCTACGAGCATGGGGGAGTCCTGGGACGATGTCGATGCGCTGGACAGGGTGGGCGACATGTTCAGAGGCGAGGGAGGGGAGTTCGTTGAACGTCTCGAGCCATCGGAGAAGCTGGGCGAGCGCGAGTTCGACATACGATGTGCGGTAGCTGCGTAGCCCGAATCGGTGTTCCAACCGTAGTGGGGCGTGGGCTGGTTCACTGCAGCCGTGCCGAACGAAGACAACGTCGAGCCCGTCGGCAGCAGCATCGGCTTGGTGTCGTCGGGTGACATGAATTGTTCCGAGAGGGCGTGCGACAGCGAGTTGAATGATTGCTGCTGCGGGATACTGTAAATACGGGATGAATGGCAGTCAGAAGTACCAATTCACCTCAGAAGTAGAGAAGTAGGGAAGCGCGGAGGCGTGGTCGGGAGGTGGGTGTAGAGGGAGCGGACCTGCCGGAAACGCGTCTGGCGGCGGCGGGAGGTGGGGGTCATGGGGGCCGCTGTAAGCTGCCGCCGTGCCCGCGAGCGAGCTGGGCCCGGGGGGAAGAGACGGCGGAGGCGGAGTGTCGTTTGACCGCGCGCGGCGGGTGGGATGTGAAGGGAAGGGGGCGTACATGCGCTTGACGGTGGAGTTTGAGGCGCGCGAGCCCTCGCCCCGCTTGCCAGGTTTCGCCGTCCGCGCGCTGCTGAAGATGCCCTCGGGCACGACGAGGTCGCGCACCTGGGGGATGTCGTCGATCGTGCGCAGCTGGCCCTCGGTCAACTTCGTAAAGTAGGCGTCTGCAGTGACGTACGAGGACGGTCAGCCAAGTCGGGATAAAGACGGATGCGAGAGATGCGCGGCGGCGTACTCATGTGCCACTTTGGAGGTTTCTTGAGCTTGTCGGCGGGGTCTTTTGAGTGGGACGCTTCCATGAGGTCCTCGCGGATGACTGAATAGGTGAGCTTGATGTACAGGTCTTGTTCCCCAGGGCGGACGACCTGGTTTTCAGACGTCCTGATGCGCGCCGCGCGGGGAAGAGGGCACCATCACTATCTGCACCAATCATTCGGACCTTGTAGCGACGCACCTGGCGTTCCCCTTTCCTTTGCGGGGGCTCTCGAAATACATGAGGAAATCCTGATTGGGGAATGCGCGTGGGCACACACGAAAATAGCGAGGGCGGGATGGGAAGACGCACCTCTCGCACACGCGAAGCCGTCCAGGACTTGCCCTCTGTGAACCGCTCCATGCTCACGCTGAACGAGTCTGAGCCGGGTCCCCTCTCTTCCCACACGTAGACATCGCCCGGGCGGAGGGCGGCACGTTCGTTTGCGTCGAGGCGTCTTTCGATTTTGGGGAGGAGGCCGACCTGGACCGCGTAGAAGAGCTTGTGGGCGTCGGTGGCGGAGCGGATGTGGACGTTTGTCAGCGTCGGCCGCTGCATCGGGGTGGTCATACGGGCGTGATGGGCGGGGAGGGGGGAGGGGGCTCCAGTGGCGGACGGCGGAGGGGGAAAGCAAAGGAGGACGGGAGCGGGGGGACGACGATTATATAGCGATCTGGGGTTCCGGCTGATGAACTCTGAACCTGGAAGGCTGTAAGCCGCACAAAGAGAGGTCTTCAGTCTGTGAGAGAACGACTATGATTGCATAGTACTGTACCTGTAAGCCGCACAAAGAGAGGCTACAAGTACTAGTAAGTAAACATGTAAGGAAGCATAGGTAGTGTGGGACTTACTCTTCAGTCTGTGAGAGAACGACTGAAGAGCAGAGGCCTGCAGAGTCCTCCTTATATACTACTGGGGAGACGATGAGTAAGC